CTCATTAAATAGGAACGAAGAGTACATATATTTAGAAGGTTATCGATTATTATCTAACAAAAAATAAAGTTGCATCAAAATATCTATATATTCAAAACTCAAAACTAATTTACAAATTTTCAAACGAGAACAAAAAAATTAGATCTAAAATTAGATTAAAATAAAAAGTATTTGAAAACTTTTGCGAACTCATAAATTTGAAATGGAGAGGAGAAAAAAGAATTTTTCCAGACAGGGAAAATTCAAATGTCTGGAGCCTTCAAAAGGAAAAATTAAATTATCTTCACATCCTATTTAGAAGGAAAAAAAAAAACAGTAACAATTAGGAGATAATTCTTTATTAAAAACCCATTAACTAATCACCAGACACAATTCATTAAAACAAAATTAGAACCAGACACAAAAAAAAAATAATCTATTTTCAAAACTAAATCTAAAAATAAATAACCAATTTTCTACCCCTAGGAAAGAATTATCTCTATACACCATATTGGAAAAAAAAAAAATTCTCATCTCAAGACACGTGTTTCGACCGTGGACCCATCTCAAAAACATCAAGCCATCAAAACCACGTGACAAAATCTTTCAGACATTCTCTCACCTTCTTTATAACCAAAGATCTACGCGACATCTTCTCAAAACGCTCCGAATTAAATCCGATTTGCAAAAAGAAAAAGAAAACCACTTTGACCTTTAATCAAAAACTAATCAAAAAAATATTTTTTAAAAAATTTTCAGAACTAATAATAACCTTAAAGAGGAATTTAGAAATACTCACCCATGGCAGTCGACATATTCGTTTAGATTTCCTCCTCTTCAATATCCAAAAAAAAAAAAAAAAAAAAAAAAAAACAATGCCTGATAATTAACAACTACACTTTTTCATCATTGATTCTTGTCCCTTCTACGCCACGTGTTTTTTTCTTCTCAAAAAAGAAAGTTTCACATTGATAAAAAAATTTTCCCTATTTCTTCAGAAAAAATGTATAAAAATTGTTTATTTGGGAAATTCCCCCTCTTTTTTTTTTTTTTTTTGCCTCACACCAATGGGAAGTGAAAAGAACGCTCGCTTTAGAAATTATATAACCTCACTAATAGTTGGCGCAACCCAAAGTGCGTGGGCCGGATAGTACTCCAAATAAAACCCAGAATTTTTCCACTGCCAAAAACAAAATTTTTTTCCAAACTGAATTCAATCGAAAAATTAATTTTTCACTTTTTTTTTGGAAAATTTTCTCCCACCCCCCTTTTTTTTGAAACTATTTTTTTTTTCTAATTTTTTTCCCTTAAATTTTCATATTTTTACAAAAATTGTAAATAATTCACCAAAAATTTTGAAATAAATAAGCCGGTAATCCAGATAGCTTTCTTACCAAATTGAATATCAGAGAGCTAACATATGCTGTGGATCGTCAAAAGCCATGCTTTTCCGAAATAAGAAGATAAAAAAGTGAGGTCAACACTGTTTTTTTTTTTTTTTTTTTTCTTTTCAAGAATGACACAAACACAAACACACAGACACCAAGGCCGATGCCTTCTGCGAGGAAGTGAAAGACCTGGGTTACGAGGAAAGTCTCGTCAGATGGTTCGATAAAAGAGCTATTAAACACTACAACACGGGGCAACGAAAAAAAAAAAAAAAAACCCGGTCACGTGTATTGAATTCTATAATTCACCTTTAAAATCACCGTTCTTCATCGATAAATGAAGATATTAAAAATTTCTAATTTATATTCCAAACAAATTTCACGTGATTAATAGTAATATGTTTAAAAAAAAACAAAAAAAAATGATAAATTTGATATAAGAAAATTGTGTACCGTGTGGCTTGATTGCCACATGTACACCGACTACGTGCGATCGCCAGTCGAACAACAACTTCGGTTGTTTCCGTTAAATTTCGTATCGTCAGTAAAATGCTGCAAGAGTTTCATCTTTCTCCTATATACCGACCCGGAGCCACAATGATAATTTTTTTTGCACATTTAAAAAAAAAGGACCCAATTTGCAATAATCAAAACATACCCTCTTATCATTGTATTAAAGCAAAAATTGTTTTTCAAATTATTCAAAAATTAAGAAAAATTTAGTAATACAAAAATAAATCATACAGTGAAAAAAATATTTATTTTATTCAAATATTTATTTCTATTAAATTATTTATTATTTGAACCAAAATAAAATTTGTTTCAAACAAAAATTATTGATTCGAATAGTTTATTTAATTTAAAAAAAAAATTATTTGATTTAAATAAAAATTATTTGATCCAAATAAATATTTATTTCATAATAGCTATTGAATATAACTGTAGTAGCTATATATGACTATTTGAATCAAATAAATTTTTTTTTATTTACCTAAACTTCTCAACGATCAAATGAATAAATCATTTTTTTGGTCTATATATATTTTTTTAAATTACTACAAATAAAAAATAGTTTCATTTCACCAAAATTTAATTTTCATTTAACAGAATTTTTTTTTTTTAAACGAATTTCATCGTATTTTTATCCCTAACGATTGCTGGGAAAAAAAATTTATTTGATTCAAATAATTAGATATTTGACTATTATCGAAATAACTATATTTATTTCTATTCTCTAAATCTGAATTAGATAAAAATAACAAATTCTTAGTAAAATATTTTGTCAGAGTTTTTGTTTCGGTAAAAAAAAAACAAACTAATTATTATTAAAAAAAGTAATTAATTTTTAGAAAGAAAAATAACTAAAAAAAAATAACAAATTATTAGTAACTAATTTTTTAGAAAGAAAAATAGCTGTAAAAAATAACAAATTCTTACAATTAGTAAAATTTACCTGACTTTTCGTTTCAGAAAAAAAAAAATTATTAGTAAAAAAAAAGTAATTAATTTTTAGAAAGAAAAATAACTAAAAAAAATAACAAATTATTAGTATCTAATTTTTTAGAAAGAAAAATAGCTGGAAAAAATAACAAATTCTTACAATTAGTCAAATTTACCTGACTTTTTGTTTCAGAAAAAAAAGTAACTAATTTTGGGAAACAAAAAAAACTGAAACAATTATTCAAATTCGACTAATTAAATTAGTTACCAATTTAAGTTGTCATAACCAAAAAATGAATTTATAATAATTATTTGTTTATCTAAATGATTAGCAAACATATATTTGAATCATTCCATGATTATTTGCTATTTTAGTTATTTTTAACTAATTCAAACTAAAAAATTATCAAATAAATTACTTCTGGGCCGAAAGGTTGAAGCTTAATAAATTATATATTATTTAATTCAATTATATTTAAAAATAATTAAAAATTTCTTATTAAAAACAAAAAAACACAACTCCTAAAGTTAAATAATTTCAAATAGGGCTATATTATAAAATATTTTAAAAATCTGCAGAAAGAATGTTTCCTCTGAATTTTGGCTTTATCACTATCGTTTTGTTGAGGCTTATCAGTGAGAGTTACAGATAAGCACTATATACCAGTACACGTTAATAGTAGCGTTTCTAAGGCTCGAGGGTATAGAAGAAAGAAAATGATTTAAATGATTACATAAAATGTTTGACTTCCGGTTCTCCTCTATTGCCGGAGGACACTATACTTTCGTAACAGAACTAAAGAGAGTAAATTGTTGTTTTTGTGTATTGTCACGGAAATATTAAAAAAAAAAATAAAAACATTCCATTCAAATTGTTATCTCCTTTGTAAAAAAAAAATGTTCCAAAAAAATACAGTAAAAGTACTTCAAATTAAATACAAATTCTTTGCGAAGAATGCAAATAAATTATTTAAAAATCAAAGCTACGATTAAACAAAATTCTGCCAAGAAAAAAAAGGAGAAATAATTACTCAACAAATGTCACTTTCTATGCACCTGTTTACCATCGAGAAGATATCGTGCATGAATCATTCTAGACTTGATGAAAACAACCTTATGGAGCAACAAAACCTTATTCGTTAAAAACCATTCGAAGGACGAGACAACTAAATCAAATTATTTACTCTTATCCAGAGCTATTGAAAAAAAATGACATCATAAATTATTCTTGAAATGAGATTGTCATTTTCTGAGAAAACAAAAATTAATTTCTAATTTCAAATAGCTATCGCCCCTTATGGAGAAGAAAAAAAAAAATCATCCTCTAAATGATATATCAGTTAATCTTTCAAATATCAAGAATAGTAATCAAAGAATGCAAACAAAGACAACAAAATAATATATCTACATCCGTCAGGAAGTTCAAAATTAAAAAAATAAATATTTTTCCGAAAAAAAAATTAGTTGAATCACAAATTATTTTTACGTTAAAATAAAATTCACTATAAAAATTCTTTCTATATTTAAAAAAAAAAAAACATTCCCTTTACTTGTTCTCTAATTTTTTTTATTAATTCTTTTTCAATTTCTCTTTAATTTTCAATTATTTTTATATTTGACATTTTTTTTTTTCACTCTAAAAGCACATGCTTTACAAGTAGTCTAATTAGAGAACTAGATAAAGAACCACGTGTCTCATGCATGCTGGTATTATTTCAATGCAAAGTTCAAACTGGTGACTGACTTCTACATAATAATTATTATAATTTAATTCATTGGGATCGTACATTTATACTCAATCTTAATACTGAATAGACAAAAAAAAAAAGGATACTTTCCCTCGTTTTAATATAATGGCGAATTAAAAGAATATATTTCGAAAAAAAAAAATTTTTTGATAATAAAAGAAAATTCACCTTCTTTAATTATTATTAAATTATCCATTTATCTCACTTATTTTCGTTACTAATTTATTAATTTCAAAAAACTTCTGTAAAATTCTAGAAAATTATACACTGATCTGAGATCGGGGCGTGGAAGACAGCGCCGACCTAACCTAAAAATTTGGAGCACGCTTAGCGACAGACGAGAATATTGCCGATAAATGATATTAAATGGAGAGAAACCTTATTAATTATGAAAAATAAGATTTAAAATATTAAGAAAATTAAAAAAAAAAAGAAAAACACTCACCAGCATGCGGCACAAAACGTTGATTAGCAGCAACTACGGTATTATATTGCGGCGAATGAGTCACGCCGGTTTGATTGACGTTCACGTTGACGACGTGCGATGCTTGATGTAGTTGTTGCTGTTGGGGATGATGTTGCTGTTGATGATGATGGGGCATATGATGGTGTTTATTGCCCTTTCCCGGCATGCTCATCGCAGGCGTTCGCCTCCTTTCGAGCTGATAACTTGCCTTCCGGGACTCACCGAGGTCCACATAGAGACGTGGATTCTCAAACGGAACTCTTACATTTACAACACCTTCCAGTCACTAATTTAATCAATTAAATACTAACAGTTTTTTTTTATTTACTTGAAATGTTCAATTACACATATGAGGGAGGCGTTTTTATAATTAAAAATAGACTTACTTTTTCGAAAGGCGGCAAGAAGACGCGCGCGGTTATCTATCTCTTTTCAATTTCCACCTTTCCTTTCAATTTTGTATCTTCTGTTTCTTTCTTGCACAATCACCGCCGTCCACTGTTTCCCTCTTGTTTCACGCCTTCACTCAACACGAATAGCTCGCACGACGCGGCCTCGCTAAATCTGCAAATTCAACCAAACAATTATTTGTCATTAGCGGCGTAAATTATTTGACACGTTTTTATTTTTTTACACAAATCAAAAAGAAACCAACAATTTTCACAGTCAATGAATTAACCGAAGCACGCCTTATGACGGTGGGATTCGTAATCATATATATATATCTTCCTTTCTTGTCTAATCTTTTTCTTTAGCGGTTCTCTTTGTCGCACTAAGCTGCGCAATAAACCAAAGTAAAAGTCACTGCGCAGCCTAGAAGGCGCTGCAATCAGCCATTTAAGACCGTATCAAGAATTTTTTAAAAAGGGGGCTTGGACAAAAAAATATTTTTCGATATTATAAAAAAAAAAAAAATTTTTGCAAACAATTTTTTTTCCAAATTTTTTAAAATAAAAATTAAAAATTTCAGAAACTAAATTAAATAATAATATAATAAATTGTTAATCTTTCGGACTGGAAGTACCTTGGAAACAGATGCAATGACCTGCATACTGTATTTTATAGTCTAGTCTAAGAACCTTGTCCTCAAACACGCAAATTTAATTAAATTACAAATATAACAAGGAATTTGAATCAGAATATAAGAACATTTTATCTAATTTTTTTAAATATTATTTTCCTTTAAGGTATATAATAAAAAATTCTAATTAAATTTTGTAAAAATTACTCCATTTAAAAATTACTAATTTCAATAGTTTTATTAACTATAAACCTTTGCAAAAATTCAAAATATCCGTTAAAAAAAATTGTCATTTTTTTTAATTTGACTCATTAAAACTTTAAAAAAAAATTCTCTAATTATTTTTAAAATTTTCATAAATCTACAATTTTTTATATCAATTTAGTTGTTTAACACAAAAAAAGAATTACAACCAGAAATATTAAATTTTCAGCCATTTTGATTTTCGCGAGAATGAAAAGACGCAACTATTGTGTTTAATCGTAAAATTGCGTAAAAATTAATAATTCGAAAATATAATTAATATTCTATGTAAAATTAAATATCGAATACTTTTTCATTTGCAGTATACTTTGTATATATTCAACTCGAAATAAACAAAATTAATGTAAAATTCTAGAATTTTTAATGACCAACGGTTTTTCCCCCACGTCTTAGAATTATAGGTTAGAAAATTCCAATGCTATATATCTTACCATAATATTAAATATTTTCATCATAAATATCAAATTATATAATACTATTCAATATTTAACAAATTATTGAAAAAATATTACCTATTTTCAAAAAATAAACACTCGAAAGATTAAGAAATGAAAAAAAATTCCTTGCAAGACATGTGTTCACTTTCTTTGCGCCAAGATTTCATCACCAACGATAAAAAATACATATACTACTGTTTCAATGAACGGAAATAATTTAATGACTTTTTAAAAGAATGCAAACAAATGAATTAAATTGAACTTTAAGATTCTATAAATTTCTTAATTATATCATACAAAAGTATTAATAATTTTTTTCTTTACCATAAAAAAAAAACTTTATATCCATCCCCTTTATCAACAAATGCGTTTTCTATCCTGATGAAAATTAACATTATTTATGCATGCAGAAAAGTAGAATATACGTACATTTTAGCGTAGTGCCTTGTTCGTTGCTTTAATAATATTTATCAGTACTGAGAATTTTTTCACAATAGTCTAAATAATAATACAATAAAAAAATAAATTCAGTAATTCGCAAAAAGCATTCAATGATGAATTTCACTTGGCGATTGATGCGCCATTCGTAGTCGAAAACTTGAACTAAAACCGGTGCATTATGTTATTCATTTGAAAACATAAAATTAAATCTAATTCTATAATAGAAAACAGTAAGTTTATAATAAACGACAAAAATATGTAATAGTTTATACAATTCTTAATTGTGCATTAAACTAGAATCCTTTTACTTATAATCTTTGTTGGTGGAAAATTGAATTTCACTTTATATAAACATAACCTCGAATTTTACATTAAAAAGAATATTTTTATTTTCAGTCTATTTATTTATTATAGAAGAAGAAAAAAAACACTAAAAATGACTTCATACGGAAAAGCAGAAACTGAAAGACTGAGAAAAAATTTAGAAGAACAACTTGATCGGCTTGTACAACAATTGGAAGATTTAGAAAATTGCAGGTAATTGTTTTGCGCATTGGAAAAAAAATTGATTCCTTAAAAAAAAATTGATGTTTTAGAGATGAATTAGAAGACGCTGAATATGAGGAAACTAAAGAAGAAACTATGGAACAATTGAGAGAATTTAATGAAAGTTTACAAAGACTTATATCTGGAGATGTGTCACTTGTTGATGAACTTGGAGCAATGCAAATGGTAAATTTAATTTTTATTAATTAACAAATTAATAGAAAAAAAAATTAATTAATTTTCTTATAGGCAACACAAGTAGCAATTAGTTCAGCATTCAAAACTCCCGCAGTGATTAGAATGTTTGGTAAAAGAGAACCTGATCGTTTAAGAAATCGACTATTGGAAATTGATAGAGAATTAAAACTTGGTAAATTAAGTAAAGACGCCAGTGAAAGACAACGAGGTGAAGTATTAAGTGCTTTACGACAATTGGGAGAAAAATTAAATCAAGCTGAATTGCAATTACTCGAAAAATTAACACTAAATGGAGTAATAACTACAAATTTCATCAAAATCAGTGAAAACGAAAATCTAACTTCAAATGAAGAAAAAGAAATAAAAACTTAAAAATTCAATTTAAATTCACAGTTTGCTATATTGTTTTTTGTCACTAAAAGCTTGTAAATAGTAATTTATATTTTATACATCATTTTATGCAGTTATTGTTTTTAACTACAATTGAAGATAAATCTGAAAAGTCAAAAAAAAAAATTGAAATTAAGTCTAAAAAACACTTCAAAGAAATTACAATTACTAGACTTGTTTATTTTTTGTCCAGTTATAATTTCTATAATTTCTAAATGTAATTATAATTAATGTACTTTAGTACTTTTGATCCCGTTAATAATATTTATATGTATATGACTAAAGCTTTAACTTTTAACACTGATCGTGTATATATACTTATAATGGAATTAAAGCTTTTTTGAATTAAATGTTTATTTTATGAATCAAATTCATAATATACAAGAGTCTTTTTTTTAATATGAAAATCTTAACGGGCAATTATTTTTTTTTTTTCGAAGACAATTGTAAAATATAATAAACTAAATAATATACGTCGATTTAACTGCTATTCATTGTAATATATAATAGGAACGATTAAAATGCTTTCTTTTTTGTAAGGACTGAAAGTTTCGAGCTGTGCAAATATCTATTTTTTTTTTGGCGTTACGATGAGGAATTTAAATTTTATGCATTTTCTTCACTATTTTTAATTTCCATTCGAATTAATTATATTCTTTTGTATTCGTACTTTCATTATAAAATTTCAAATTAAGAAATTAAATAATAAATCTTTAAAATTAATGAGAATTTTCTTTTTTTTTTTAAAGTTGACTCAAGATAGAGAATATATATTAAAGTATTATTTGCAATTTTTTTTAAGGCTTTTTTTTTGTACAGAATGCTTGCACTATGTGCAATTTATCACAGCAATTTCTTTCTACTCATTGCTCAGAAATATAAAGAGCACAAACTTCAAGCAGTTTCTTTCTTAATTTAAATAAAATTAAAAAATAAACAAACACAAAAAAAATTAGAAATGCAATAACAAGTTCACCGACTTGACAAAAGGATTTTAAAAAAGAGAAAACAAATCACAATCGGAATATTCACGAGTGATAAAGAGTAAGAAATATTGCTAAAAAAAAAACATCAAATAAAGAAAAAAGAGAAAAAAAAAGTCATAACTTTTTATAAAGAAGAAAATAAATTATGACTTGAAAATTATTTTTAACTTGATAAAAGGATAAATATAAAAGGGAGTAATTTATGATATTAAAAAGAAGAAATTATTAAAATTTCTAAAGAAATTAATTTTTTTTTTTACTTTTTTATGTTTTAGAAGAAAAGCATATATATAGCTATGTAAAAGAAAATCATCTATAGCTTTTTTGAGAATAAAAAATTCTTTTAAGCTTTTCAAAAAATATACGACACTCTGACCTACAAAATACTTTTGTTTATGATACTGACAAAACTTTTAAATTTTTCAAAAGATAAGTTTAACTTATCTGAAAATTTTCTATACGTACTAAAATTTTAAAAGCAATTTTTTGTTGTTAAATTTCCATTCGAAAAAGAGACTCGTGACTCCAAACTATGTACAATATTAGAAAAAAAAAATTTCCGAAACACTTTAAAGATTAGTCAGTTAATTATTCAATATGTTGTCTAAATATTCTCTTTTCTTTTTTTTGTCCTAAAATCGACAAATTGTAATTATTAATTTTTTTTTTTTTTTTTGAAAGAGAAAAACCTCGTGTCAAAATTTGTTTGGTCAAGTGACTATTTCATCATTTTTTTTTTTAATAAAACATTGCCTTTTTTTCAAAAGAAAGGCTTGGAAAGCAATTCCGTCATATCAAGAAGAAATATTTGTGCTTTCAGCGATCTATTTGACAATGTTGATGAATTCAATCGTTATCGTTTGCGTCGACATACTCTCTTATGCTCTCGCTGCCAATGAAGTTGCTGGCAATCTGTGCTACAGTATGCAGTATTCCAACAGCAATGGTAAATTGCTTCGGTCTCGCAATTATAGCACTGTAAAAATTTTTTTTTATTTCACACATTTTACCTGTACAATAAACTAAATACGAATCAATGTTTATATCATTAAAAACCGGATTTTTTAATGAAATACAAACTCATAAAAAAAAAATTTTCCACACCAAATATATCACTGGATACCCTCGATCTTTGGGGCTAATCAGAAATGTCTTCCCAAATGATTGAGAGACAAATTTTCCAGCGTGAAAAACTAATTTAAAAAATTTCTTCTTAAAAAATGTTAGTTTAATAAATTATTTTGATTTGTTAAAATTATTTAATTTTTTAAATTAGTTTAATTTAGTTATTAAAATTTTAGTTTTAATTCAATTTTAAAAATAAATTTAACTTTAAAAAATTTTAATTAGTGATTTTTAATTTTCCTTTGAATAATCAGTTTTAATTATAGTTTTTTTTTTAAATTAATAAAATTAGTTATTATTAAATTTGTTTTTAAATTTTAGGAGAATTTCGCCAAAAAATGGTTTTCGTTTTGGAAAACAAAAAAGTACCTTTTGCTAATTGGAATAATATTAAAAAGACATACCCATTGTTTTTTCTTTATTTCGGAAACAAGTTGCTGATGTCTTTCCTTCAATTGTCGTATCTGCTTCGCATGTTCCGCCTGTAGATTTTCAATTTCTCGACATTTTTCTTTTTCCATTTCCTGACGAAGTTCCTGACGCATTTTATCAATTACCCCATGTTGATCAGAAGTTCTACGTTCTCTTTTCACCTGTAAAAATAAAAAAAACTTTTGTAAATTTTCAAAAATTTAATTAAATAAAAATTATAATTAATCGTGAAAATGCACCTTGCCAGGAAAAACTTCAGATTGAAGTTCCGTTTGTATTAGAACACATTTTGTTCTTGGTTCCTGACAACTTGACGTGACCATATCTTCTTCTGATCCTTCTTTTTTAATACCCTGTGTCAAAGAACTGGAAATTTCTTCAGTAATCTGATGAATTATTGGTGAATTTTTCTCTATTATTTTTTTCTTTATTAATTTTGATAAATTATCCTTATCATCTTTATCCTCCTTTTCCGAATGATCCGAACTACCTTCTGAACTAATTCTTTCAACTTTAACTCTCAAGTCTTTTAAAAGTTGTTTTTTCAATGGAAAATTTGGTGCGTCTTTGGTACATATTTTTTCTAATTTGCGAATTTTTTTCTCTTTCACATTATTCATTTCCTTAACATCAACATTCTTTCTTTTTCCAAGTTTTTGAAGTAAGGCTTGATGGTGTTTCAGTTCATCGTACGCTTTATTCCAAGCATTCGATTTTTTTATCTAGAAAAAAAAAAAAAAAATTAAATCCTATTTATCTATTTTTGATATTTAAATATATTTACCTGGAGATTTTTTAGATTAACATTAATTTGTCGTATAAATTCCTCACTGATATTCGCCCTTAAATGTTGTCCACCGAAAAATCTGACATCATAAATATTACCTTTTAAAATTTGCATGACTTTTGCTGGCCAATAGGGATAGCCTTTTTGTTTTGCATAAACTAATTTATGGGGTGGATTACAAGGTTTACAGAACCACATTTTCTCGCCTTTCTCATTAGAAAGTCGATAACAATCTGAACAACGACGTATTTCTTGAAGATCATAACAACAATCCTCATACATTCTGATTCCCATTTCTCCCACTATACTCTGCTCTAAAAACATAAGAATTTTTGTTAAAAATGAAAATAATTAATAGAAAGAAAAAAAAAAAAAAAAGAAAATTCACCTCCATGATAAATAATAATATTGTGCAGAATATTGTGAGCCTCGGCTTGAAATTCGGCAAGATTTTTATATTCTTTTCGACGTGTTTTTGCATCCATCATCGCAAGATCCATATGATTTTTAATTAAAATACCCGGTCTCCATGAATCCTCTCCCTCGCTAATCCAAGTTGGACCCGCTAAACCGCCAGGAGGTGCAACCGGTGTATTTTTATCCTCAACAATTTGTCGATTTGTAATTTCAGCCGGTAATTTTGTTTTTAAATGTCCACACATATAGCCTAAAATTTTATTTAATTCCTCTCCATTTGCAAAAACATCGCAATTTATTTTCTGAAAAAAAAAATCAGATTCGTTTAAAAAAAAAAAAGAAAGGAAAGAAAGTAAAATGAAAAAAAAAAAAGAAAAAACGAACTTCACAAAATGAACAAAGCTTTTTCTCCGTATTCTCAGGTACATGACATTCTAAATGAAATACACGATGACATTGTTCGCAACAATCAACTTTTCCAGCCTTATGACACTCGCAACAATACCAATCGTGTTTAACATCATCAAATGAAATTGTCTCCGAGGGCATTGACAAAATTTCTTGTTCAGTGCCACATTTGCCGGGAAGTGTTTTCAATAAAATTCCATCCAATAATGCACTACTCAATTCATCTTGTGCTGATTGTTCCGAAATTCCATAAACACGTGCCAAATGTCGTGCAATACGATCGTACGTCGGTAAATTTCTTTGGTTCAATGTAATTTTTATTGAGTCCCATATTCTCATTGCTTTCAATGGATCTGTTCGACGTCTTATGGACATGACGAATATTCACTGTAAAAAAAAAAACAAACAAATTATTGATAAATATTTACAATAATAAATAATATAACAAAAAAAAATTATAACAAGGAAATTTAAATAAATAATAATAATTTCGTTATATAAAAATAAATATTATATTTAAGAAAAAATTCTGCTTTTAAATTTTGCTTAGAATTTTATTACAAAATTTAATAGTCAGTTTATCAACCGTAGGCTATTAAAAAAAAAAAAAAGAATTAAAAATGTCTCAACAAAAAACAGAATTTAATAATAAAATAAAATTGAATAAATAAGTACTAGAAAAAATTGCTAAAAATAGCTGGGTTTAAAAAAATAAAACCCTAGCCCCTATTCTTTTTTTACAGTTATACATTTCCAGTATAGAATTTCTCTTATCAGGAAATAAGCCCCTATAAAGAATTTCACATTTGCAAAGTGGAAGTTTTTAACTAAAACTGTCTTTTAATTTGTAACGAGCATCTAAAAGAAACGGTATCGACGATTAATGTTTTAAAAAGAAACTTTTATTTTCTAAATAAAAGACAATTTTTAAAAAAAAACTAATTAAAAAAGTTGTATCTCTTAAAAATTCTTTTAATAAAAAATGTATTCGACAACATTGGGATTTGCTGCCTACGCGCTATTCGGTTCAAGTTTAACAACTCTTTTCTATTTATTTCGTGAAAATATCAAAAAATGCATGACATCTCCTCATCATTTATTTACAATATCCGACGCTTTTAGTTCAATATTTGCGGGAATAATTTTTCTCATCAATCATTTAAATATGAATACAACAATTAATGAAAAAAGTGACAGTGTTTTTAATAATGTGACAAAATTTAATCGTGATGTTGACTATTTTTTCAAATACCCAGAACAGAAAAAAATGGAAAATCCAATCAATTGTGAATTTAATATTATAATGAATTATGGAATGTTTTTTATTCCATTCACCAATGCTTTTATATCATTATTGGGATATTCTCTACATTATATTATCAATATTAATCGTCTTGATGAAACTTGCACCAAATCAATTAAAACAATGAAAAATTTAATGAACGAGAAAAAAATTGTTCGAGAAGAATCAAATGAACCATCAGCTGGAACATCAGAGGAAAATAATAAAGATTCCGATCTTGAGAATATAATTTCCGATAATATAAAAACATCAACTCTTCATAATTTGAAGAACATTAATTTTAATCAATCATCAAAATATAAAATAACACTGGTTAATGTTATTTTTCAATGGCTTCTACCATTTTTAATTACAATTATTTTACATTTTGGAGAATATCCAAAATTATCCGAGGAACGAACAAATATAAAAGATGACTGTATTTTCACCACAAATTTTCCATTTGATCATTGTCATTCTGAAAATAAATCACTTTTATCAGAAATTTTCACGAATTCAAGTCATTATTCACAAATTTCAAATAATTACATTGAGTCAAATGATTCAATTCAATCAAATTCTCAAGAAATAGACAATGTTGTTTCAAATATTTACAAATTAATCAATAACACATTATCGGAAAATGATAGAAAAAATCATCATTCCTTTAATACTTCTGATCTTTGGAATATTACAAAATTTATGGAAACAAATTTTTCATTCCCTCAAAATGAATTTGTCGACGAATGGAAATTATTTCAAGATTTAGAAAAAAATCAAACTAACTTAGAATTTGATAATACAAATAATTATTTCCAACCTATTGAATCTGAAAAAAATGTCAATAATTATGAAAATTCAAATTTGAAAACAGACATTTTACAAAATGAAACAAATTATAATTTTGATTTAAATACCAAAATTGTATCAAAAAATGATATTTACGAGGATCTTGTAAATAAAATTAAAAATGGAATTCAAAAAGTGAAAATTAAGGACAAATTACGTGTGAATAGAAATATGGAAATTATTTTTTCAAACGAATCACAGTGTTTAAAAAATCAATGTTTAATATCGACAAATTTTTTGAAAATTCATCTTTTTATTTTACTTTTCATCATTTATTTTATTCCAATTTTAACATCGACTATAATAAATGTTTGTGTGAGTTATAAATTTAAACAAATTAAGGACAAAATAGAAACAAATTGTATCACTTTGAAAATTTTTACAAATTTCAATAAAGATAAAATTGAAAAGAAATATAAAGATAATGACGAAATAAAGATTAAAAATATTAGTTGGTTTACAGAAATGAAAAAATCTCCAACTGAAGAAATTGTAGAAGAACAAAATTCATCTATGAAAATTGAAATTATTAAAGAAGACGAATTATTGAAGAATATTTTGAAAAATCTAGAAACAACGGAGAAATTTACCAAAATTTTAAAAATCAATTTAATCTTAGCATTTATATTATGGACTCCACTTTTTATGGAAGTATTAATTAAAGTTTTTTTATGTATGAACATTCCAAATTGGTTAATGGACAGTTCATTTTTAGGAGCAATTTCATTTGCAATTGCAAGAAATTATCTAAACATTAACATGATGAAAATATTAAAAACCAACGAAGTAACAAAAAAAGATAATTCTATTCATCCTAGTTTATAATTCATTTATTTTACATATAACATTAAAAATCTAAAATTTTATTTATGATGAAATATAGGGATACTTAAATGAACTTTTAAGGACTGAAAAATGAGACTTCCAAGTGAAAGTCGTTACGTGTCATTTGTGTCAAAAAAAAAAAAAATGTCACATTTTAGAAACATTATGTGAAATATTTACTAAAAGTTGTTTTTAAAACTAGATATAATAATAATGTTGTATTTTATTTGTTATATATTATTGTGGAATTAAGGGATTTTTTTTTTAAGATGAAACAAAAATTGTAAAGAAGTGTAAAAAAGAACTTACCAAGAGAAAAAACAGTATGGAAGCAAAAAATTTCTTTATAGAAACCTGAAATGGATTGTTAAAATTTCATTGCATCTTTGGAAGAGAAAAATTTACGTAAATAATTAAAGAAAATTATTATCAAGTAAATCAAATTGCTGACATCAATTTATCAAAGATGTGCACGTCACGTCTATAACACAATTTTTTTTTTTAAAGCGCCATCTATAAAATTTATAGATGGCGCCGTTATTTTAAACTCATACGCATGCGTAATGGCGCGAATATTTGTAACAAACATTTCAGTTTTCAATAAAAAAACTAAGATAATTTTTTAGTATAATAAATTAATTAACATTAATTAAACCTAGTTTTCTTTATTATATCCCAGTCTATATTCGTAATGTAGAGAATTAATTTGTAAACATTGATTACCAAGAAATTATTTTACAAATTTGAATTTTCGCGACTATCGTTCGATAAATCGATTCAGGATTCTCGAATATTTTTTTTTTTGCTGACGTTTTTGACATTTTTGACAGCTGATAGAAAATTAGTTTAAAAACATTAAAAAACTTTATGTCAGAAAAATATATGTATGTAATTTTTTTAATACTATAAATATGAATGAATCCACGGATTGGCAAAGCATTGAAAATGATGGTAATTTTTCAAAACATAACCTAACCAGTTGTAAACAAATAAATTATTTTTAAAAATTCAATTGTTTTTTTTTAGATTTTTTAAAACAATTTTTGAGAGGTAATGAAAAACAAAGTGTTACCAATCAGATACTATCTGTAGCTCAACAATTGAATAAATTAGGAGAAGGTAATAAATTTTTAGATTTTAACTTCTATTTTTTGTTTACTGGAAATAAATGACTGAATTTTTGTTTTATTTCAATTGTTTTCTTTTCTATTAAATATTTATTTGTTTAATGTAAATTTTTTTCAGCTGTCAGTATTTTAGACACTGAATTACAAAAGCAAGTTCTTGCAAATTACGAGGATTTACTGTCTCAAGCAACATGGGTGGAAAAACTCGAAGGAGTTCTAGCAATAATGCAAAATCACGTTCAAGTAAATTTATAATTAAATAAAGTTTAATTTAAAATAAATTAAAAAAAAAAAATTAATCTTAAACAATTTTCTGCAGAGTCTTTTATCGGCAGTAGAACGTTTACGTGGAAAAGTTGTGGAACCTTTCAATAGAATAGAAACACAAACTTTAATGCTTGCAAGGCTCCACGAAACTTCCGATTTATTACGTAAAATTGGAAGAATGCAACATTTGTCAAATCGCTTGAATTCACAAATGAGTAGCACTAACAATGGACCTGATATTGTTAAAGCTGCTAATTGCCTACATGAACTTGGTAATTAATAATTAATTCTCTTTTATTTAATGCTAGAAAAAAAATTCACTTTTTCCTTACACAATTTTTATATTTTTCTAATTAATAATAACAGAATTATTGATGTCTGACACGGATTTAAGTAATTTGGATATAATAGCAGATGATCATAAAAATATAAAAGCTCATAAAATAACAGTTCAAAAAATGGCGACTAATTCCTTGACTTCTGGATTGCAAAATAAAGACCGAGGCCAGGTATTTATTTTTTAAAACAAAAAATCTATGTTAAATATTAATTTTCAATGTAATATCAACAGGTAACAGTTGCAGTTCAAGTATTCGAAAATTTGGGTATTCTCGAAAGTGCAGTGAACTCTATAGAAGCATCGGCAACTTCTGAAATTGAAGAATTCGCAAGAGAAGCTTTAGATGTTTCATTGGTTTTAATTCAAGAACCGGGAAAAAGAGGTGCACCCGGAAGAGCCACTGTACCATCGCCAGGTTCATCAGGAAATTTACGCATTAAATTATGGGAAAATCTTGAAAAATTATTTCAAGAATCAATATACAATCAATGCATTCAAATGGAATTATTACAGAGGATATTACTTGAAAATCATTCAAAAAAATTTGACAACATGTCCGAACCATTTTGGACAAAAGTAACTAATATTGTTGCAAATATTCTCGTTGAACGAGCACAAGGTGAGAATTAAATTAAATTTTTTCAATTTCAACATTTAATTTATATGAAAATAATTTTCTCTCTGTTTTTCCAAAGGATCATCTTTTATAAAACAAGCCTTAGAAGGCGAGTATCCAAAATTTTTAAGAATATTTTTGGATTTAAGTAAACATCTCAAAGATCGTTCTCAAGCAATAGGAACATATAGTGTAGAGTAAGATTTATTTTCTCCACTAAATATCATTAAAATATTAGAATATTAAATAAAAATTAAATTACTATTTCTTTTTCAGTCGAAATATTTTAGCCCCTTTTGAAAATGCATATTTATCACGATCTGTATCAAGACTTTTGGATCCAGTTCATACAATGTTCTCCGGTGATTGTACACCAAGTCAAGAAGAAATTGACACTTTAATTCGAACAATAACCAGGTAATCAAATAATATTTCTAAAATATATTCTAAACTATCAAAATTTTCTAGAGGAATTTTCATTTGCAAAAAAAAATTTCTGTTTCAGTGAATTAAGTGTCTCATTGGTTGATGAGGGTTTATCGACAATAGTATCGCGAAATGTTGGCAAAGCAATTCGTTTATTTTGCTTGAAATGTGAACAAAATCTTGTAACTGGTGGTGAAGCAAGTCAAGTAATTGACACTGCAACTCCTGGACAACAAACGAATGTTAATCTTGCAAATCTTTTATATTATTTATCAGCTCAAATAAATCGTGTCATTGCCAATTTATCGAGTAATTTATCAACAGAAAGTGCCATTGTCATTGCAACTGCTTTAGAAGAAACAAGTAATTTATCAAAAAATATTCTCACACCACTATTATCATCGATTAATGACGCTATTGAAAGTATTATCGTTACAATGCACGATGATCCTGAATTTAGAGAGTATGAACATTTTACTCAATAATTTAATTAATATATTAAATAAAAATTTTAAGTAATTTTAAAAACTTACATATTTTTCTTTTCAGAACCAGTAGTCCTTTGGGACGGGAAATTGGATCTTCTCTCTACATGCGTGAGCTTCAGGGATTCATTTTGCGTTCTGTGAATACTTTTCTTGCACCTTACAAAAATCAAGCAGTTGTTGCTGATTGGTAAATTGTTCATTTAAAATTTAACTAAAATATTAAATCGAAATTCTTCTATTTATAAAAAAGGTAAATAAAATTATGTATTTTCAGTTGTAAATCTGTTGCTTCGAGGTGTATAGAATTATTTGTAAGACACGCTTGTTTATTAAGACCTTTAACGGATTATGGAAGAGCAAAATTAATTGTCGACTTTACTCAGGTATTTTTTTTTATAGAAAAAAGTATTGCAAATTTTTTTAAAATTAAATTAATTACCTTGTAACGTGATTTTGAGTGAATTTATTATTCCAGATGGAAGTAGCTGTCGCTCCACTTTGTAGAGGTGGTCAATTAGGTTCCATTGAACAGCAACAATACAGAATACTTCGTGCAATGAAAGCTCTTCTTCCTTTGGAACCGGAGAAAATTGTACAAAAAGTTCTTGAAGATGACGAAAGTAGCGTTCCACCTTCACTTATTCTTTTACATCTATTTTCAGGAGCACCTTCCGATTTACCCTCTCCTCATCAGGTAAAAAAAAATTCTATAATTCAAACTCATAAATAATTTTTATATACTCAAAATTATTTTTTTTTTAATAAAAACAATTTTTCAGAGTGCCGGTTGGTCTATTAATCGATTGTCACAATGGATGGACAATCATCCAAATGAAAAAGAACGATTATCATTAAGTAATGGACCACTTCAACGTTATGAATTAACGATACGACAACGAAATCTTCCGACATTCCATCCTCTATTTCCATTGATGACAAAACTAGTGAGTTTTTACGATCGTTAAATTTGAAAAAAAGAAAATCTGAAAATGTATTTTGTTAAATCATTCACATATTGTTATGCCCTTCTTTAAATAAAAGGAGAAATTATCAAAATTCAAAAATGTCTTAACTTAATAGAAAAATAATTTTTTTAAATGTATTAAATATTAAGAGATTTGATGAAATTAATTTGATTAAGAAAATTAATTTTTATATTTAGAAAAATTCTTAAAGTAAATCACAATAGTCTTCTCTCATTCTTAATACTAAATGCGAAAATAAAGTAATTTTTTTCTTAAACTATTAACAGAAGATATTTTTTAAAAAATGTACTTAATTCGAGGTAGACGATATTTGTGTTCACTTTTTATATAAAAAAAGTAAAATAAAAAATACTTCTCCCTTAATCGATGCACAATTTGGAAATTTTCGATTTTGCAAAATAAATGGTGATTATTGCAAAAATCCCGATGGCTATTTTCAATTTATAAGTCCTTCTCTTCTTAGCAATGAAAGTTGCTGGCAGTTTAATCTCCGTTTCTTTATCGATCTGAAATTAAATAAAAAAATAGTTATAATTTATATTAATACCATTTTAAATTTCTATAAATTAAAATCTTAAAATTCGTTTTCCATACTTTATCCGCAAGTTGTTTCACCAGAAATAGATCATTTTTAAGTCTTATTAACTCTTTTTCCGTTTCTTCTAACTCATTACTGTAATCGACTTTTTGCTGAGGAGAAAGTTCCAAATTTTCTTTTTGCCCTCTCATCAAATTATTCACAATAAAACGAAAACTTGTTCCAACGATGTTAATTTGTCTCGCAGCATTGCCTAAAGTTAGAACGCCATCAAATATTCTGTGAAAAGAAAATTATAAGTTTTACATATTTTACAATTTCAAATGACCATAACAAAAATAATTGAGTCGATTAAAAAAAAAAAACGTACGTATAGGGTAAATTTTTTTTAATAACTCCCAAACTATTCATATTCCATTTTTTTGAATGAAATCTATGAAGATCGGCAACAAATCTCTTTCTATGAATACTGATATCCATTCCCAATTTTTCTAAATCGTCTTCACCGAGTTTTAAAAATGTTTTCAAATCCATTCCACGAAAAAGTTCCTTATATCCATCTAAATTCATTCCATATAATATTGTATTTATTTCAAAATTTAATTTATCCTTCCTCTTTGATGCAATTGCCGGAAATAAATCCTTCCATTCATTTATATCCAATATATCGGCTGTTGGTGGAGATTCATCAAATTCCTCCTCATCTAATAAAGCAGCAATCTATCAAAAAATTTTTTGTAAATTTTTTTCAAAAGCAAAGAAAATGAAAAATTTTTTTCACAAAAATGAATTGTAATTACTTTATCGTATCCTTTAGTTTTTGCAATATCATAAGGCATATCTCCAAATCGATCTTTTATGGATATTTCTGCATTACAATACAATAGTACTTCAACAATTTCATATCTATTAGCTTTTACTGCATAAAATAATGCCTGTAAAAAATAATTATTAGATTTATGAAAATAATTTTCATAATTTATGTAAAATATATCGAACCGTCTGATTTTCACTATCTGCTGCATTAACACTTCGCATATTTCTAATAAGTTCTTTTACAAATTCAACATCTCGCATTTTACAAGCAAGCATTAAAGCCGTTTCTCTGAAAGAAAAGAAGGGAAATTATTCCAGTAATTAGTTTTTTTTTATGTTTAGTAGGAAAAATATAAATACCTTCGTTTACCCCATGCATGTGTATTGGCTTTGGCGTTCAATAAAACTTTTAGACATTCTAAACAATTTTGAGTTGCTCGCGGACAATTACTTAAGGCCATTAAAGGTGTGAAACCATCTGGAAAAAAATTAAATGTAATACAATAATTAAAATGAGATTTGATTTTGTCATCAAAATAATTCTAAACGAACCTTGATGTAAATTTGGATTTGCTCCATTGTCAAGCAAATATTTCACGAGCTCTGTCTGTGACGCGGAAGCAGCGTATAAAAGTAAAGACCATCCTGAATGTAGAAAATCATCAATATGTCGACCAGCTAATAATAATAAACAAAATTAATAAAAATTAATTTTTAAATTTTTAAAATAAAATTTAATAATTACATGCTAAATATTCCTCAATAAAAGAAATCGATCCGGACATGCAAGCAGTAAAAGCTTGAAATTCATCATTACGTCTTCCTCTAATTGTATCACCCGAACCATTATTATCAAAATTAATTTCCCCATTTGTTTCTCTCTCGTTCTCATATCTGTTAAATCTATTGTCAATCTGTAAAACAAAATACAAAAAGAAAATATAAAAATATTTATCTAAATTATCGAGTAAAAAAGTGTATCCTTTTTTAAAATCATTTTTCTAAAAATATAATTTTTATGCAAAAAAAATTTTAAGGTTATGTTTATATCTCGCAAACCTCGTCGTCGTCATGAAATGTAAAACCATCGTCCTCAGATTCCTCATCGGACATTCCTGCCGGTCTATGATACATTTTTAAATATATTTAATTAAAATGTCATGCAACTTGCTGTCAAAATTTTCTATATATAAATGTCAATGTTTATAAACAATATCCTGCTGGCGTTATTCCAGTGTTACTTGTCAATCCCACGTGACTAAATTTTTCACATCACATACCGATAGTAAAAAAATTTAAATATTCCAGTGCCGCTTACAATTTTATAAATTCATTTAAATCTTAATTTAATTTAAAAAAATATTCTCAAAATTCACACGTTTTATCAATACATAACCATGTTTACAAGAGTTAAAAAACAAATATAATAATAATATTCAAAGGCGGGAAAAATTCGTCTGCTAGATAATTATATTTTTTCGATTTTTTTTTCCACTCCGCTCCTGAAGTTTAAAATTGTTTAAAAACATTTAATGGACATTGTAAAATTAATTTTCGCCAACAAAAATTTATATAAGAGACATTTAATAAGAGCTTGTAATAATTATGTGGACATAGATCAGCAAACAGTTAAGTTTGAAACAAGTATTTAATTTATAAACCTGTGATCATTCTGTCATTAAAAGTCTGAGGGGGAAAAAAAAACCAATAATATTAAGACATTTTAGTTTTATATACGATTAAAAGAGGAAGAATTTAAATTAAGGTACGTTTGTTTCTAAATTATAATAATTAATCAATTGAATTTAAGTTTGACATAACCTTTTTATCCTTTGTTTGAGACGTGTTTTTTTTTTAAATTAAATTTTCGTTTTTGTTATAATCGATGCGAAATTATTAGGTTTATTAAAATTTAATTTAATCTTAATTTTAGATGTCTCTACAATTTTTGGTTGCATTTGATTTTGATCACACAATTTGTGATGACAATTCAGATATCGTTGCTCGAAAATTAATATCAAGTGATAAAATTCCTGATACTGTGAAACGAATGTATCAACCTGATAATTGGAATGCTTATATGGGAACAATTTTTCAATTACTTAATGCAAATTTCATTGATGTGAAAACAATTAAAGATGCCATAAATCGAATACCATCAGTAAATGGAATTGATGATCTTCTAAGTGAATTACATTCGCGTAATTGTGAAATAATTATAATTAGCGATTCAAATTCATTATTTATAGATTGGTGGTTAAAACACAAAGGTCTGAGTCACACAGTTAAAGAAATTTTCACTAATCCAGCAACAATAAAAGAAGATATGCTTAAAATAGAAATGTATCATGAACAAGATCATTGTAAATTAAGTAGCAAAAATTTATGTAAAGGACAAATATTAGATGATTATATTTCAAAAAGATCATTGGAGGGAATTAATTTTAAACGAATTATTTATGTTGGCGATGGAAAAAATGATTTTTGTCCAATATTAAGACTTTCTGAAAATGATGTAGCTTGCCCAAGAATTGGCTATACATTGGTGAATATATTAAAAAAAACAAATGAAGATAAATCACAACAAGTGAAGGCTAAAGTTATTCCTTGGGAAACTGGAAATGATATTTTAGAGAATTTGAAGAATTTAAATAATATTGAAAATAATTGAGAAGGAAAGGAAATTATTATCATATAATCCTTATTTTACGATTTATTCTACGGTGATGATTTTTTAATAAACGAATTTGTGAATTTTTATTACAGCAATAAATTTTCTAAATGATTTAAATTTCGAGTTTTATTTAAAAAAAAAAAAAAAAAAAAATGTCTAACAATTTTGAATTAAATTTTTTTTCGAAAAATTGGAAAATTCAAAATTAGCGGTAATGCGCGTGTGCGCAATTGAAAAATATAAACATAACCTTAAAAGTAAACAAATTTTTTTTTACAGTTCCCCTTTGCTTGTTTTGTTTATTTAATTTCTTTGCAATAATGAAAAAAATATATATATAATTAGAAATATTAAAAAAAACAATTACGGAAATAATTAAAATTAAAAATGCCTACAATGATAGCATTGGACGTCTCACTTTCGATGAGACGTCCTGTACCTGGTGCAAGTTCCACTGACACTTTACCAAGTGAACAATTAACAAGACATCATTTAGCAGTTCAGGGTATCAATGTTTTATTGGATTATTTGCAAACAAATTGTAAATTAGAATTCGTCTCATTGGTAATTTAATTTTTTATGTAAATTTAAAATTTTATATTTGTTTTTTATTTTATTTCAAAAAAAAAAAAAATTAAAATAATTTACAGGTAGTTTTTTCATCATTATACGAAGTAATTTGTCCCTTTACACGTGACTATGATCAAATTCGATCACAATTACAAAACATTGAGGAATGTGATAAAACTTGTATAGAAACAGCTCTACTTGGAGTTAATAGTATTATTATGTCAGAATGGGGAAATTCAACGGCATGTCAAGTAATTTTAATAACTGACGGTAGTCCAGGTGTGGGACCAATGTCATTAGGAGATTCATTAAATTCATTGAATGTCTTGAGGGAGTCAAATCCATTTCCCCTACCGTTTCCCTATCCGGGAAAATTGACTGTGGTTTGCATTGCTGGACCACAAGGTATATGAGGAAAAAAAAATTATTTCCAAATTTAATTTCATTTTGATATTAACAAAAATTTTAATTTTTTTAAGATCTTGGCTTAATCACTGGTTTACCATTATATCAAAGATTAATCGAATTAGCCGGTGGTGACAGTATGGTTTTATTACCAGAGGGACAATTAACAAAAACATCCGTTCATAATTGTTTTAAAAAATTAGCCGAAACCACATACGTTCCATTTCAAGGATATTTAAAATGTGGCAATTTAGGATCACGTATTCTACTCTCACCGCCACCAATGGTAAATATATTAAATTTTTTTTTTGCAAAAAAATTATTAATTAAAAAAACTAATTGAATTAACTATTTTAGACATACTCGAAAAAAGCAGATTTCGAATCATTCACTGGTCTAACACTAGCGAAAACAATGGAAATTTGTGGTTTTATATCAGTAGCTGATGTTGGTAGTCCAAGTGCAGTTTCTCGTCATTTAATTTTACCATTACCAACTGATAAAACAACAAGTATGCAAGGTATTTCACTTGAAGAAGAATCTGATAATGAAGATAATGGTGACGATGGTAAAATTCCATCATTTTGCGTTTTATTACATGGCGCATTAAAAGTTGAAAATATGGCAGCATTGTGTGCATTAAATTCCGATTGGTATGGATTTATATATTCATGGGCGGATTCAAAGAAAAAATCAAATTTAATGTTAACCATATTGGAACCTGGTACTGATATTATTCCATGGTTGGGCAATTTAAGTAATCTCGGTCCAATTGAATTGGCGGGTAAAAATAATGATGCTAGTTTTCCCGTTAAACCAACTGAGAAACGAAGTTATTCACAAAATGCACCATCATGGATTCGTCAAGTTGGCTTACAATCAGATATACAAAAAATTTTACGTCACGCCAGAAAATTGCCCGAGAAAACGCAAAATTTTTACAAGGTATTCAAGAGAATATTCATAATTATAACAATAATAATAACAAGAATATTAATAATAATAAAATAATACAATAATAATAATAACAACAATATTAATAATAATTTTAGACAATTCTAGTATTTTTTAAATTTTTTATTAATTTTTTATTAATTTTTTTTAGGAATTAAATCGTTTGCGAAGAGCCGCATTGTCAATGGGTTTTGTAGAATTACTAGAAGGTTTAGCATTAATTTTCGAAAGGGAATGCACTCTTTTACCGCCAAATTTACATCCAGATTGTACAATACAAATGGGTCATGTCGCCGATATGTTAAGAAAACCCTATTCACGTGAATTGAAAAATAATATTACACCCGTACGCACGAAATTTCATCACGGAGGAACTGAATGAGTAAAAGATGTATAAGGGTGATTCTCTCAAAAAGAACAAATTATTTGTGCACAATTTTTGGACGAGGTTTTTGTTAAAAAATAATAACATTAATTTCAATTAATAAACATTCTCCCAGCCATACGATAAAATTCAACAAATTTTTATGGGATCACTAAAGAAAATTTCAAAAAAATGGCAAACAACTGAATTATTGAATGAAAAATAGTGTTAAAACTCCATTCCGTAACTCCATTCCGTAACATCAATTTTTATTCAATATTTCAGTTATTTTACCTTTTTTTAAAATTTTCTTTAGTGGTCCGATTGAAAATTGTTAAATCCTAACGTATGGCTGACAGAATTTTAAATAATATCAATTAATTTTCATATTTTTTAACAAAAGATCTTAAAAGCGTAATTTGTCCTTTTTGAGAGAATTACCCATAAATTTTGTGTAAAAAAAAATTGTAATTTTCCAGAGAATTTTAAAATATACATTTTTATTAATATAAATTTTTAATTTTACATTAATACTGCTTTTTATAATTAATATATATTTAGATCAGACGATAATTATAATGAATGATTCATTCATTTTGTTTGCATTCTATTAAATGACAAATAATGTCATAAATTCCTTTAGCAGTTTGATTACTGTTGTATATATGTAATTCAGGTACGTGAATAAATAAGGCACGTTCGGGATTAATGTTCAATGAATTATAAAAAATAAATTCACACAAATAGCGTCCAGCATCTTCAGAAATACAGGCAAAACAACCAGTTTTTGATGAATTATTATTTACATATGAACATAATGTATCAACGTCAATTGTTGTTTTTAATAATTTTTCCACATTATCACTATTATTCAATAATTTATTATTTACATCTGGTCTATTATATCCTTTATTACATGCTCTACATTCGATTGTTAGACATTTTGCTAGATGAGAAACTCCTAAATGCAAAACCATCTGTAAAAATAAAAAAGGCTTTTTAGTAGATTATTAATTATTATTAATTAAAAGAGGAACTTCATTTTTTAAATTAATAAAATATTTAAATACTATTGGTTTATGTTGCTCCCAAAGTTCAGGAATTCGTTTTGAAACATGATCATAAGCAACAGGCACATTTTCCGTAATTAATTGAATACCATATTTTATATTTAAATCATCAGACATTTTTTCTAATTCCTTCACTGCCTCCCAACTGGCGTTTACTGTATGTTTACCAAAAGGTCCAAATCCAGTGACTAAGATTTTTTTACTTTCTTCATTCTTCATGTTGAATTATTTAAAATATCTAAAACTCGATTTTTTTTTATTATTAATTTTTAATAAAATATATTGATATCTCGCTAGTTTGATTTCTTTTTCAAAACTGAATGACAAAATTAAACTGACATATTGATTTTTATTTTCCTACATACCTTATGTGTAATAAATAATAAAACTGATAACGTTATCACTATATTTGTTTAATTTACCTCACTTCAATCACTTTTAAATATTAATTTAGGGATAAACATAACCGCGATTGAAAATTTGTAAATCTTTAAACTAACAAAATTCATCATTAATAATGATTTTAAATTAAAATTATAAGGTATTTAAAAAAAAATTTCAAATTTTTGTATAGAATATTTTTTTAAATTTTGAAAAATATGAATAAAAAGTGAATTACAATGCGGTAAATATAAGCCAATCATGCCTTTTCAATTCTTGTAGATCCAATTCTTGTGGATTAAATATAAAAAAATAATTTTTTAATTTTTGAACTAATAATTTGTATTTATTATTTTTACTTCAACAAAAAAATTAAATTCTTTTAATTAAGCAATTATCAAACAAAAAAAAAAATTGATAAATTTAATTAAAATCCAATAACTGATATAATTAATGTAAAAAAATAGTTATTTTCCGACTTTATTTCATGACCTCGTATGAAAAATTATATTATAATTAATTCTAAGACAAAAACAAAATTTAAAAGAACAATCTTTATTTCTCAATAATAATGCATACTTTTTTTTAACATTCATACTTTTCATTCACAATAATTATTCTCTTCAACCATATTTTCTAAATGATTTTTAACTATTAATTCTTGTTTACATCTAGTTGTAAATTAATAATTACATTAAATTCAATTATCATTACATTACACATATATAGACTCTATTAACATTTTTAAAATTATATATCTATAATTTACAATATAATAATTACAATTAATTGGAAATTGAAATTTGTTTACAAGCATTTTTCATATTATAATGTTCAACTTTTCATAAACAGGGAAATCTGACAATAAATAGAGAAAAAAAACAAAACAAGTATTCTTAAATGGATAATTTTCATTCCATCTAATTGTCTGCAAGTCAGATATAATTCAAAATTGATTTAATATTTAAAAAAAAAAAATTGTGGAATATCTTCATTGTTTTAGAATTAATTATTAAACACTAAGCGATGAACGTGAATTAAGATAAAATTGATAACCAGAGAATCCTAAAGTAATGACATAAAGAATCGCTGCAATCCAACAATTAACAGCATTTGCTTGAAAGCCCTTATTAACTTTAAAATAAAAGTCTCCAACATCATCAAATGTTTTTCCTTCAAGTGGAAGATCCTCAATTAATGCAACACTCTTACAATAAAAGAATATTCCCATTAATGCCTAAAACATAAACAAATGTTTTGTAGAATAAAAATATAGTGCAATTAGACGTATTTTTTTTAGTTAATTAAAATAAAATTTATAATAAAAATAATTATTGATGAAACATATTATATATTTACCAGTTGAATGACACCCCATGCTGAAATTATAACTCCACAGAGTGCGTATTTTGGTCCACAGACTTTCATTTTGATTAAAAAATGTGTTTATTTTTTAAGGAATTATAAAATTAAAATAAAAATTCACTTTTTCACAAGAAAAAAATCACGTTACAATTAAGTACGCCCAAAACACGAGTAGTCATATGATCGCAAACGACTGAAAATTGATTACCAAACGTCACATTTAAGTCACAAGGGAAATTAAAGGGTAATTTTTAAACCAACTATAAATAATCTCTAGGGGAAATAAAACCTAAAGAATAATTTTGATTGGTTGTTAGGGTAAATTTCGTCTGGACATAATGTGTATTAAAAAGTATGAACCGTCTTTAAACTTTGTCCGAAAAATTAAAATTCAATATCACGATATTTTTCTAAAATTTATCATTTATTTAATTGAATAAAATATATATTATTATCATATTGTTGTTATTATTATTATATATTTTGCGATCGTAAATAATTAATAAATGACTTACAATTTCATTGTTATATCCACTTTGTTGTTGTTCTTCTTCTTCTTTTTATAGAATTCTCACTTTCACTTTCACAACTTGCATTAAATAATTTAAAAAAATAAACAATTATTATTTTAATAAAAAGTTATTAAATATTAATTACTCCAAAAATTTGATTATTCTCGTTATTCCCGCCAAAAGCTCTAAATAATACATAACCTAAAAAAAGTTATTAGGTTATTATCGCTAAAAAATTAAATTTTGGTCTAAATATCAAAATTTTTAATTTTGTTCATGAAAAATTTTGCTTTTTCTGATATTTTAATACAAATCGACAAAGAAATATGAATATTTTAATGCGTTTGGTGGAAATTGTCGAGATTGTAAAATTGTATTGAAATTTTTCTCAATTAACTTTTTAGTATATGTAAAATCTTCTTACGATATAAAATTAAACAAAATTTATGACCTTTACCACTTACAATAAATATTTAAATCGAAATTTATAAGGAAAGACAATTAAAAATTAAAATAATTAACAAAATATGAAATGCTATAAACGCATGACTGATTTCAACATTTTTCTTTACTATAGTGAAGTTAGGAGCAAGTTGAAAGGAACAACATGATCTCTAACAGAACAATCTGATTGGTTGATCATTTGTATCTAATTTTCAAATTTAATCATTAAATTAAATAATTAAATGGTAAAAATTAATCTTTTTAATTAATTATAAAAAAATAATTTAATATTTAAATATAAATTTTAAAGAAAAGCAATAAGAAAAATGGATTTTTAGAAAAAAATATTTGAAAGGAAATGTAATGAGCATTCTGATTGGTTCGCGACTATTTAATACCGGATGCGGAAGTGCATGTGGATATACTTATATAGGTTATGTTTTTATAAACAAAGGGAATTGACACGCTTATTGTTTACATCGTTTTTTCATGTTATGATTTAAGTTTTAAAAGTTTTAATTAATTATATATTTATTTACAATGTCTACACCTGCTAAAATAAAAAAATTGGACGAAGTCGTAGTTAATAGAATTGCTGCCGGGGAAGTAATTCAACGACCGGCAAATGCTTTGAAAGAATTAATTGAAAATTGGTAAATATAATTAAATTTCTTCTGTAAATTAAATACGGGTTTTTTTTATATATAATATCCAATTTTTAGTTTGGACGCGAAAGCTACTAATATACAAATTGTAGTAAAGGAAGGTGGTTTAAAATTGTTACAGGTATTTTTAGTCTTTTTTTATTTTTATAAAAATGTTAACATATTTTTATTATTTAATAAGAATTATACCTACTTGATTTGAGTTGATAATTAAAAATAATATTCTGAAATAAAAAGATTCAGGATAATGGAACGGGAATTCGAAAAGATGATATGGAAATTGTTTGTGAAAGATTCACAACAAGTAAATTAGAGAAAATTGAAGATTTACAAGCACTAACGACTTATGGATTTCGTGGAGAAGCTTTAGCTAGTATTAGTCATGTTGCTCAATTGACTATAACTACAAAAACAAAAGAGGAAAAATGCGCTTACAAGTATAAATAAATAATTACATATTTACTGCTGATCTTTTTGTATCAACATTTTTTTTTTCGTTGTTTAGCTATTTATAAGATATTAATTAATTAATATTTCCAAAGATGTTCTTACTGCGATGGCGTATTAAAAGCTTCACCAATTTATTGTGCTGGAAATCAAGGCACTACAATTACGGTTGAGAATTTATTTTATAATGTACCAACACGTAAAAAAGCATTGTCCAGTCCTTCAGAAGAATTTTCAAAAATTGTCGAAGTTGTTACAAAATATGCTATACACAATCCTTCGATTGGCTTTAGTTTAAAGAAACAAGGAGAAACTAATACACAAGTACAAAATAAAATTATATCTAATATAATAGAAAAAATTTTTTAAAAAACTTTTTTTCAAAAAAGAAATTTAAACTTATTTTATTAATTTAGGTATTTTTTTTTTGTCTTAGGTAAAAACGCCACATTCCTCAACGAAAATTAATAATATACGACTTTTATATGGCAATCTAGTATCACGTGATCTTCTCGAAATTGAAATAAAAGATGAGAAACATAATTTTAAATTACATTCACTCATGACAAATCCAAATTATTCAAATAAGAGATTAGTATTTCTTCTATTTATCAATCATCGATTAGTCGAATCTTCAAGTAAGTAAATTAAACATTAATTCAAACAAATATTAAGAAATAAAATAAAATAAAACTAGATACCTATACAAAAATTATTTCAGTGTTGAAAAAAATGTTAGAAGATCTTTATTCAGTGCATTTGCCGAAAAAAACACATCCCTGGTGTTACATGTCATTGGAAATTGATCCACATAATATTGACGTTAATGTTCATCCAACGAAACATGAGGTACGCTTTCTTCACGAGGATTCAATAATTGAAAAAATAAAAATTGCCTTAGATGAAAAACTTTCTGGTGTCAGTGCAACAAGAACATTTTACATGAAATCAAAATTACCAAATGTCGATGTTACAAAAAACATTTTAAAAGAAGTATTACCCGATTATGATTCTCAAAAAACTGATAAAACAAAAAAGCCATACGCTTATCAAATGATACGAACAAATTCATCGGATCAAAAATTGGATAAATTTAGTTTCACCATTAATTCGAGCGCTAAAAATGAGAAAGTAATTTCTATTGAGAATACAGATGAGGACAAGTCAAAAGAATCTGAAGAGAGTGAGAAAAAAATTGAAGAGAAAAAAACAAAATCAAAGGAATTTGAAAGTAATGAAAATATTGAAAATATTGAGAATATTACAGAAATTGAAACAGACAAGGAAATGTCAATTTTGGAAGCAACAAATTTAGAAACGTCAAACAATTTAGAGGATTATGCAATGCAAGAGGACAATTCAACTTGTTTTATGCTTTCAGATTCAGACGAATCAAATGCAGAGGTGTCGAAAAATAATAAACCAATTGATTTTGAACTTGAATCAGCTGATAGTAGTTTGATTGCAGATAAAGCGATGGAAAGAATTTATAAACATTGGGGAGGGGCGCCAAAAACAAAAGAAAATAAAGAAATTAATAAAGAAATAGAAAATGAAAAATCAAATGACGACATTCAAAAGGAAAATGAAACAAACAAAAAAGATGAAGAAACACCGGAATTTAAATCATATTCCGTAAATAATTTCAGAAGAGAAGTGAAATTAAAAAGTATTCTTCTGTTGAGAAAAAAAGTCGAAGATAATTATCATTCGGGTCTTCGGGAAATTTTGTCAAATTTAATATTCATTGGATGTGTTGACGAAGGATTTTCTCTTATTCAAAGTGGAATTAATTTATACATTAGTAATACACAAAGTCTTGTGTAAGTTTTAAATAACCACAAAATTAAAAAAAAAAAAAAAAATGAAAATTTAATATGATTTAATCTTTTTTTCTAGGGAAGAATTATTTTACGAAATTATGCTCTATGATTTTGCAAATTACGGTGTTATTAAATTCTCCGTAAGTAGGATAATTATCTCTAGAATAGTTTATATGTATAATTTTCTTTATTATTTTGAATCTTTTAATTAGGAATCTCTGCCAATTTATGATTTGGCAATGTTGGGTCTCGAGACAAAAGATGCTGGATGGAGTGAAGAAGATGGAAAAAAAGAAGATTTAGCCATGAGAGTACAAGAATTACTTTTGGAAAAAGCTGATATGATGAAAGAATATTTTTCCATTGTTATAGATAAGAATGGAAATTTAAAATCTCTTCCAATATTATTAGGTGAGCGATGTAATTCAAATTTGATGCATATTTTTCTAAATTTATCTTTTCTTTTTTAGATCAATATTATCCTAACGAAGCTGGAATTCCATTATATATATTGCGATTAGCGACAGAAGTCGATTGGAATGTGGAACAAATATGTTTTCAAAATATTTGCCGTGAGACTGCAAAATTTTATAGTCAAATTGACACCGAATCAGAAATATACGATTGGAAACATATGACAGAACATATTTTATACAGCGCAATAAAAGAAAGTTTACTTCCACCAAAACATTTTGCACACGATTCAACATTACTTCAATTAGCATCGTTAACTGATTTATACAAAGTATTTGAAAGATGTTAAGTATTTATTTATTTTACCGAAATATAAAATATATTTTTTATGATGAATTAAAAGAATTTCTTTTTTTTTTTTAATACTTTTGCAAAAAATTCTATTTTATTCTCCTTTTTTTATAGTAAAAAAAAGAGGAATTCATTTAAAAATTTCTTATACAATTGATGACGTAACATTATCAACGTCTCTTAAAATAAAATCTAGATTCAACGTTTTTTTTTTTTTCTCACCACATCTCAAACATTCGGAAAATTCTTGTTGTGCAAAATTTGCATATACATTTCCTTTTATATATATATAATTCTTTTTGAAATTCTGCAAACAAGTTTTCTTCTAATGTAATATTAGAATTTAAAATTCACCAGATTTCTTAATATCATGCTATACAAATCTTTCTAATAAATGATAATAATAAATGCAATTATAAGTAATATTGTAGTAAAAATAGAAATTTTTTTTTTATCGGAATTGTAAAACACTTATCTTGAGACCGCTACATTGTTTACCGACTTGAGAGACCTCACAAACTTTACATAATGAACCATTGAATTGGGGTTGATAGGTTGCTCCACAAAGAGGACATTTTGTCTCAGGACTTCCTTGATAAATTGGCGTATATGTACCGGCGCATAAAGTGAATGGATTGTGTTCATCATAAGCCAAATTATGTTCATCAATTGGATTTTTATCGCATGCCTGAAAATAAATAAAATGAAATAAAAAATTTTTAATTGACATTTAATTTAACTTAACAAAAGACAAATTACCTGCAATATTTTTCGAACTTGTTGAGCAACTTCTGCCCTCGGTCCCAATTCAAGAAGTCTTCTGGCAAAGGATGCGGCCGTCTTATAATTTTTCAATTTGAAAAACATATTTACAGCTGTGCGAAGTGTTAAAATTTGATGCACTGGTTGTAAATTACAATGCGTAAAATATGCAGCCATTTCACAAATTCTCTTTTGTTCGGCCAATGATGCTTTAGGTAGATTTTTTCTCTCCGATTCCATTTTTAGACCAAGAATATATTCCCGACAAATTTGAATAAGCTGCTGTGCCTCAGCAATATCTTGCCTTGTATCAACAACCAAAAATGGAACACTAAGAAGAATAACTTGTAATTTTTCCGTAGCTTCAACGAATTTTCCACTAGTTGTCAATTGATAGCATGCCTGAAGTCGTTGAACAAGATCAGTGAGACGTAAACCAATTGCTGGTAATCCCGTTTTAATCGTTGCTTCTTTCCAATTTCTCAATGGATGATTGTACAACGATGGAATACTCGGTAACAATGAATATGAAGTACGTGATCGTGCAAATGTATTCATAAATAACGATTGATATGGCTGGAAATTAATAACTCCAACTTGTTCATATAAAAGTGTGGAGGCAGTTTTAAATGATCCTGCCAAAACATGATCAACTGGTAATTTGGAATTATTAATCCAATGTTGAGTTGATGGTACACCTTTCGTTGGCGCTGCATAATAATTCTCATCAGATGTTGTATTACTGACTTCAAGTTCCGGTGGTAGATCAACATCCTCAACTTCCCATCCAGCTGTCTCATCACCTTCGTTACCACTTTTTGCATCCTCCATCTCGTCTTCGTCCATTCCCAATTCGTCATCGTTACCCCAACCCTCAACAACATTTTCATCTTCCTCAAGGGCCAATGCCGCTGAAACTTGACTCTTACCACGTGTCATCATTGCACCCTCAAAGAATCCTTTAGACACTGTCAATAGCGGCCAATTATTCTCCACCTGCTGGACCGGAACCGGTGGACACAGATAAATTGCCCCTCCTTCCAATTCTGAAAGTTCCTCCTTCATTGATTCATAAACAGCATCGTCTTCCTCATTTGAAATACCGTGAATCTTCTCCGTGACATACGCCAACGACGATTGACCAGAATTCTACAAATCAAATGTTATTAGAATAAAAAAAAAAAAAATAAAAAGAAAATAAAAAATAAAATACCTTGAGAATTTTCACACGTTCATAGATATCACCCAATAGAAGGCTTCCTTGATACTGTCCAGACACATCTTTTCTTATTTCGGCAATTTTTGTCATTTTCTTCAATTTATCCAAATTTCCCGTAATAAGATAAAGAAAAGCGAGTTTCTCAAAATTCTTTGTTCTTTGATAACACATTTCAACAACTTGATGATTACCCTGTAAAAGTGCTGCGTTTGCTAAATTCTCCCAACATGTTTTTTCATCCAACGATCTTGCTGCTTCAAGTGCAACTTCAATATTTCCACATTCAAGTGCAAGACCAAATCTTGTTTTCTCATCTTTGACAAAATGTAATGCAACTTCGGGATAACCTTTTTGTTGTAAATAAGCAATTATCGATTGACCAACTAAATTTGCAGTACGCACCATATGCAATACCTCCTCATATTTACGATTTATAAGCGCTAATTTAAATTTATATTCCGTTGGATCTATCCTCAATATTCTTGGTCGACATTCACGATCAAGACAATAGACTTGATTGCCCTTGACTTTTGTCACATAAATCGGTAAATCAAGAGTTCTTATTATTCCATGATCACCATTATTAATTGCATATTTAATATGATTACTTGTCGTATAAATAAATACACCGGATTCATCCCAAGCACCTGATTTTACTCTCGTATTCTCATGAATCGAACACAATGATTCAAGACGACGATTGCAAATATTCACCGTATGTTTAGCAAGTAGTGCAACGTATGACATATCTCCTGACCAAACAACATAACGACATTTTGATATCTTCACCTCAGCGAGCGTTCTCTTTTGTTGAACATCAAATAAAATCACCTGATCAGCATCGCGCAACAATAACATTCCCGTACCAGCGTAAAAGATTTCATCACAATTTGGAACTTGTACTTTCTTCGTGACTTCATTTTTCAAATTTTTTATCAACAACTGCAAATAATTTTTATATTAGAAATGAACAGGAAAAAAAAGAAAGGTGAATAAAATAACTTACCGAATAGGCACGATCCAAAACTGCGAAACGATTACGTGCAACCCAAATCGCAGTAATTCCACCAGCTCTCTTAGCATCTGCATCGGTATTTGAATCACCATCCCTTGGAATAACGTAAAGATCATAACTACTATTATCAATATTCGATGGATTTCTCGTACAAATAAGAACTGCATTCTCCGCTTGATTATATGACATACTGTAGGGTGCAATTTTCACACCAGTACGTAATTGCATCACCGATACATCTTTTGAAGTTGTAAAATCCAATTTACGCAAAAAACGTTCCTTAACATAGAAAAGAATATTTCCCGAAACAGCATACGCTGGTCGTTCACGTTCCAATTTAAATATAATCATTCCTGAATCATGTCCAGCTGCAAATAAATTTAATGTTGGATGCGCTGCCAATACCCAAAATCTCTCATGTTCCCTTCTAAATGTATGTAAACAAGTACGTTTCGTCATATCCCATACACGAATACTTTTATCCTCTGAATTTGACAATATAATATCCTGTCGTGGATGAAATAAAACACAAGAAACATTATTATAATGTCCCCGACAAACATCAACTTCCCATGCTTTTAAATCATTCATTCGCCATATTTTTATTTGTCTATCGTCAGCGCCTGAGACAATTAATGGTAAAGTTGGATGAAAACTCGCCCAATTAACACCGCGATCGTGTCCCTCTAAAACATGTTTAACGAGTGCATCAGCCTGTCCAAATAAATCGGTAGCGCCTGGATTTTTTAAATGATCCTCAAGACCACCAGGACCTGGTGCAACATTTTTTTTTCTTAAACCAGAAATATCCCAAACGCGTACAGTTTGATCGAGTGAGGCAGAAACAATTAAATCCTCCGATGGATGAAATTGTGCATACATCACATAATGATTGTGTCCAGTTAAAACACAAATACAGGTTCGACTTTGCCAATTCCAAATGCGAATTGTCTGATCGTCCGAGGCACTAAGTATCCATGGATATTCATGATGAAATGCTGTTGTTCGAATATAGTCCAAATGTCCAAGAAGTGTGAATATACATCGACGTTGTTTATAATTCCAAACTTTAATTTTATAATCATCTCCTCCTGAGACAAACAATGGTTGTTGATTATGAAAACAAATACCACGTACCGGACCATCGTGCTCGTCAAATTTATCCAAAAGAGTACACATTCGATAATCCCATAATTGAATGACTCCATTGTGCAAACTGAAATATTAATTTAAATATCAACATCTTAATCAGTTAAATGTTTCAAAATCATAATTAGAAACAATAAGGATATTAAAAAAAAACGCTGTGTCTATTTAACCCGCTAACGGGAAAAATGCAAGATTTTGGCTATTTACACGCTTTTTTTTAAATCACAAAAATAAGAACTATTTAGTTTGCAGTAAGTATTTAAAATATTTTTTATTTTTCTTATTTATTTATTTTAGAATAATAAAATATATTTTATTATATAAAATGTATATTAAGTGCAATTAAAAATAAGGCAATCGTTTATTTAAATATATTAATGTGATTTAATACAAAGTTTATTTGACCCAATATGAATTGTTTTGGTAGGGTTGTTTAATTTAATTAATTATTTAATTAAAGTTGTAAAAAAACAATTATTTGTTTAAACCAAACTGTTTAACTACAGGTACATTTATTTTCTAATAAATTATTAGAAAATAGTTTATGGAATTATTTTCTATTGAAACTTTAAATTTCCAAATAAAAATTAAATTTTGAAATACAATTAAAATTCTTATATTTTATAAATACATATGGGGCATTCCACAGGAAATTTTCATTCAACATTTTTTTTGTCCGAATCTTTTTTTTTCGAAATCTAAATGAAAAATACGTATTTTTTAATTTTTTTATTTGATGAAAATGAAGGATAAAATGATAAAACTGAAGTTACCAACGTTGATTCAACGAAAAAAATAAAAGTTAAGGATTCTAATTCCCATCAAAGAAATTTATTTATTTTCAACCCTCCATAAACTATTCACTAATAATTTATTAGAAAATAAATATACCTGTAGTTAAACAGTTTTCTTACAATAAATTTGGTTTAAACAAAAAATTGTTCCTTTACCACAACTTTAATTAAATAATTAATTCAACCCTACCAAAACAATTCATTTTGGGTCAAATAAACTTTGTATTAAATCACATTAATATATTTAAATAAACGATTGCCTTATATTTAATTGCACTTAATATACATTTTATATAATAAAATATATTTTATTATTCTAGAATAAATAAATAAAAATAAAAAATAATTTAAATACTTACTGCTAACTAAATAGTTCTCATTTTGATGATTTTTTTTAAAATAAGCGGGCTAAATAGCCAAAATCTTGCATTTCTCCCGCTAGCGGGCTAAAATAATCTATCACCACTATTCCTTCCGCTAGCGGGCTAAATAATCTGTCACCACTATTCCTCCCGTTAGCGGGCTAAATAGAGACAGCGAAAAAAAAAAATGAAAAACAATAGCTGTCAAAAAAAAATTGCAAACATAACCAACAAAAATCTATACAAATATTGTATATAAATTTTTTAATATATTTTTATTAACAAAAAATAATAAAAAAATTTTTATATTTACCTTGCAAGTATCCATGGGCGTTTTGGATGAAAGGAGAGTCCTTTAACTCGAGCAGATTTTGTTTCGAATTTCGTCAACATTATTCCACAATTCACTCACAATGTGTTCAATAAAAATTCATAAATTCTTTATCACTTAATAAATCTAAATAATAATTTAAAATTAACGTAATTTCTTTATTACAATTAATATTCTTGATTTTTAATGAATAATATTGTGCACTTGTGGCATTGCCATCGTGTCATCCGGAAGTGTCAAACAGGTTAACCACTGTAAATCAATGGTCTTTGGGAATATTCTGTTTAACCAATTAAAAATGAGTTCGAAAAGACGATAATACATTTTATTGGTCAATTGAAACTGCCAATGAGTAAAATTATTTTGAAAATACACCTTAAAAAAATGAAATGTCATCAAGAAAAGTAGGTTAATTTTTTGTTTATTATTATTTTTTTTAAATCAATTTTAGTTAAAATAAATAATATTTTGTGTAATTAATTTTAAATATTTGGTGTAGAAGTTAAAATAAGCTATTCTGCGCAGACGCAACCTTAAAAGGTTCAAAGTCCACAAATAAATTGTAATACTTAAACTAATAAGGATATTAAGAAAAAAAATATATCAGGTATAAAAAATAACTTTTAGTAAAATTTAAGAAAACATTTAGAATATAACAGTAATTTTTTATTAAATTAATTAAAATAATAATTAATCGAAAAAATAATTCATTTCTTTGTTATTATTACATAATAATATTAATATGTGTTATTAATTGTAAAAATTTTGACTTGTCATCATGAGTGAAAGTTTTTATATTTTTTTCATTATTATCACTGAAAATGTACATTTTTTATTTATAAATATAAAAAATATCATTAATTATTAATTATTTTAAATTATTATTATATTATTAACTATTTTATTTTATTTATAAATATTGTTTAATTTCATTTTATATAAGTAAATTAGGAATAATTCTTTTACTATATCAATAATTAATATTTTTTTGCAACATATTTTTTTTAATTATAAATAAAATAGTTTTCATTTTTATGTAATTATTTTTCAGTACTTATATTTAAAGACAGACGTACAGAAATTTTTATAAAATGTCTATTATTATGAGAAAATTGCTAAAACCACAAGTAAATTTATACTTGAGAAGTTTATCATCACAAGCAAAACTTGTTGAAGTTGAACGAAGAGACTCAGGTAAGCTATCTGAAATTAATTAATATTAAACTGATAATTAATTTCCATAGAATAATAAAATAATTATACTAAATGAAATAATTTTTTTTTTCGCAGGTATAGCAGTGGTTTCTATGGCTAGACCACCAGTAAATAGTCTTAATTTGGAATTATTAACTGAATTGACGACAACTTTAAATGAAATGAAAACACAAAAACTCAAAGGAATCATTATAACTTCGTCTCTGTCAACTGTATTTTCGGCAGGACTCGATATTATGGAAATGTATAAAGTTGATGTTAAACGTTGCTCTCAATTTTGGACTGCTTTGCAAGATTTTTGGATGACACTTTATGGATTACAAATACGAACTGCTGCTGCTATAAATGTAAAATAACAAATATTTACTTGACTTTCGTATATTTCGAAGTAGTGCTTTATTTTTAAATAAAATATTTTCTAATTATTTTCTAATAGGGAGCAAGTCCAGCTGGTGGATGTCTCACAGCGCTTGCCTGTGAATATCGAGTCATGGTTAATGGAAAAAATAAAATTGGATTAAATGAGACAAAATTGGGAATTGTCGCTCCTCAATGGTTTAAAGACACCTTCATTTCAACAGTTGGCTATCGAAAAGCAGAAATTGCTCTCCTTCGGTAAATATTAAAATAAAAAATTAATTACATTTAGAAATAATCAAAAAATTATTTTGTAGATACTTTGCCATTGGATAATTTTGAAAATTTACATTTTTAGAGGAACTCTCTTTACCCCTGAGGAAGCACTCAATATAAATCTTGTAGATGAATTAGCATCCGATAAAGCTGATGCAATTGCAAAATGCGAGAAATATATCAATAGTTTTGATAAAATTCCCGGTGAGTGTACAAAAATTTTTTTTTTGTAATTTTAATTTCTTTAATATATTTATATATTTTTTACATTACAGCCGAAGCTGTAGGTGTAACTAAACTCCAATTGAGAAATAATCTTATATCATGGCTGAAGAATAATCGTGAAAAAGATACGGAAATATTTGTTAATTTTGTTATGAATCCAAGAGTTCAAGCAGGTCTTGAAATTTATCTTCAATCTCTGAAAAAGAAATAATTATTTCTATTCTTATATCAAACTGGGGAAAAAAAATCGAAATTTTTATTCCTATTTTTATTGATTCCTTCCATTTTTTTTTTTTTGAATGAAACAGTAAAAAAAGAGACTGATTCATCTAATATAATTTTTAATATCATGAGATATTTTTTACATGAAATTTTAATATTCTATCTAACAGTGAAATAAGATTTTTACTAATATTTTTTAGTATAATGTATAAAAAACTAAATTTTATATCATATTTTTTATACGTATTATAAGGAAATTATTTTTTAAATTGTAATTATATAAAAGTAAAATATAATAAAATGTTTACATTTTTCATTTAATATTGTCATTATTCATTTTGAAAAATATTATAATCATAAATCGAATTTTGATGAGAAAATTCTCCAACATTTTCATTGGAATAATATTCCTTAATACTGTGTTCATTAGTAATGGATTCATGAACCTCATCTTCATTAACATCTTCTTTAACATCTTCTTTAATTTCTTCATTGATTGTACTTTCTTTAGAAATATCTTTATTATCATTATCAACTTCTTCTTCATAATTCATTAAAATACCTTCCTGAAGTTGTTGTAATTTATGAAATTCTTCACGTTGAAAATCAAAGAAATGAGAAATTTCCAAAATTTGATTACGATGTCTTTGTTTTTCCTCTCTAATAATAAATTTTTTTTTTTTTTAAATATACAAATGAGCGTTTGTAATTATTAAGAAATAGTCTTTTACTTACTCAACTTGTTTTTCAGTTAATTCATCTAGCCAATTTTTTAATCGATTCACAAAAATATCTTCACGATCATCAATTACCTTAAAAAAAAAATTCAATTTGCATATTTATTTATTTATATTGAAATTTACATTTATATTGTACCTGTAAATGTATGTCGTGTGATGCACCAAAATTATTAATCATTATATCTTTTGAACCGCAAATCTCTTGATATTCAAGTGGCATTGTTTTATCACCAAAACTATTCATAAATAATGTCACCAATGATTTCAAATTATCATTATATTCCCTTTCGGCATTTCTCATCATTGTAAAAAATCCTTGTGCAGTTTCTAAACACGAGCCAATCATATCGGTCATGTTAATTTTGAAAATTTCATTTAAATCCTAAAAAAGGGTATATTATTTTCAAATTTATAATAAATTAATTAAATTTTTTTTTATTTTATAATTTTAGTAAAATTAAAAAATTACTTCAAATTGTTCGTGTAAAATAATTTCCTTATTCATTAATTTTTTCCAAGTTTTATGTAATAAATCATCGAATTCTTCGGAAATTACTTTTACTTTAGAAATATTCTTTTTGAATTCATCATTATTTTCTCCACTGTTTTTTATTAAATTTGTAACTTGAGCGAATATTGAAGACTTATTCTCTAATATTTCTTCTATTAATCTAGAAATTAAAATCAATTTTTGTTTTTATTTAATTTTTAAATTTTTGTTTCTATATTTGTTTATTAACAATTTATATATAAGAATTATTTATACTTACTGTTGTGCCTCTTTTTGCGCATCATATTTACCATTTTCGATTGTTTTTTCAAAAATTTCAATTTCATCCATTCTACGTTTCTGTTCTTTTAAACCATAGTCAAATAATTCGTGACAAAATGATAAAAATGTTATTTTATATTGTTCATATGCAGTTTCTGTTTCGCGATTTATATTCATCAGTGCTTTTCCCTCTGTTTCAAAAGTATAATAAAATTTATTCATTAATTTAAATTAAACTATATTTTAATTAATATTTCTTGCCTTTATCATTTTTAAATATTTGCTCGAATAAATGATCATTATCTAAATATTCAACATAACAAGTGGAAACTTGAATAATGTGATCTTCATATGCTTTTTTTGCATTTAATAATTCTTTCTCCTCGTCTTCTTTTTCCTTGAGATTACTTATTTCCCGACTGAAGGAAAATAATAAATAATCAATATTGTAAAAGAAAATGTAAAAAACAAATTTTTTAATAAAAATTACAAATGCTTATCAATTGATCTTCTTCGTTGATCTTCAGTTATCATTTTATATTGTAAATAAACAAGTTGAGGTATGTAGGCAATTAAATAATCCAAATATTCTTCATCATTTGTACATGGATTTCCCTCCATATTTAAACTTTTCAAATTGTTAAATTTACGTAAATACATCACCTTAAATAAAATTTATTTTATTATTCATAAAATTTGTAATAATAAAAATTTTGAAATAACATAACTCACATGATTTCGACATTTAATTTCATTTCTTCCAAGACTCATTATTTGAAGTTTATCCAAATTATCTATACCCTCGACTATTTCAATTTTATTATTATAAAGTAATAGAATTTCCAAATTTACAAGATGATTTAAATTCTCTATAATTTTTATTCGATTGAATGATAAATCTAATTCTTTTAAATTAACAAGATTATCGAGATTTTCAATTTTTTCTATTATATTACTGGATAATTTCAAAATTATCAAATTACTCATAATCCAAAGATGACTGATGTTCAAAATATCTGAAATAAGAAAATTTTATTTAGATATAAAAACAAGAATTAAAAAAAAAAAAATTTGCAAAGTGAATTTACTTACTCAGATGTTCAATTCTTATTTCCTTTATTTCATTTAGTTTAATATCATCTTCAACGAATAATTTACCGGCTTCATTCTTGGGACCTTGATCAATGACTAAATTAATTAATAAATCATGATTTATCACAGAAGGTGCTGATGAATTTGGAAAAATTAAAATTTCTTCCATTTTATGTGACATTTTTTTTTTTTTTCTAAAGTGTTAAAACAATTAAAATTAATAAGTATCTTTTGTTACTTTTCACACTAACCCCAATATTCAATTCAAGAAGCAGTTTCAGTTGCTAGGTAACCATTTAAAAGCGAATTCTAAAAATAAATACTAATAATGAAAAATAATAATAAAAATTGTAGTTTTTACACTTTTTATTGGAATGCAAACAAAAGGCATATTTTTTTTATAGATTACAAGTACTTTGACAATTTTAACTCATTAATCTATAACATAATAAAAATACGTGTTTTTTTTTATACATCATGCCGTGGCATAGGAATATGTTCAAGCGATTTGTAGGCACTGTACCTAAGTACTTCTGTTTAATCTTTCGAAAAAGCAAAAGCACTAAATTCATTGTGAAATATCGGACTATATGTGATTTTCTTTTAATAGCCTCGCATTCATTATTTTTTTTTATCTATCGTTGCAAATTTACAACGTTTTTCAATTTATTGTGAAAAAAAAATTAAATATCAATTGATTTGAATTCTGATTTAGGGATTAATGCATTCTTGAATTTCACTTTTGTGTCTTGTACTTTAGATATTTTTTTTTTTTTTTTTTTTACTGATCTAATGCCACATCATATATTCAATATACGTACAATTTAAGGCGACCCAAATAAAATTAAAGCCTGAGTCTCAAAAATTGACAGATTTTTTTTCTTTTAAATCCACTACAAACAATAACAAACATTGAAAGCCCAGTTTAACATAAAAATAAAATTACACTTTAAAAAAAAAACAAAAATTCTCAACAAGCACACAATTTTAATTTATAACTTACAATTCTTAAATATAGTTTAAAATATTTATACATATTTAAATATTTTTTGTCGAATCAACGATAATTTTTTTATCAGTTAAAACAAAAAAGAGGATTTTTAAAATAAAGCTATCATTTCTTTTGGGTGCACCTTAGTACAACTGTAAAGATCTCTTATACTTCTCCCATATGTCAGAATAAATTGAAAAAAAAAATAATAAACCCTTTTTCCCCTAATTGCAAGAACATTTCAATGAAAAAAAAAGCAAGGTTTTTGAAAATATTTACCATTGCATTTAAATGCTTTTAACGAAAAGTTCAATACAATTTTCTAATAATATTAATACAAAAAAGTTCTTACATATGAGAGAAATAAATCTTGTTAAAAAATATTCTATTTCATTTCTCATGTGAAAAATTACATACATACTTACATACAAGTTAAAAATTTAAAGAATTCTCAACAATCAATGTGTGACAAAAGAACAAAAAAAATTGTAGCGATGAAAGAGAGAAATATTACTTTTTGTACTTACAAAAAACAAAGAAGATAGTTCATGAGAAGAATAAAAAATCAATTAAAGAATTGAGCGCGATGAACTTAATTAATATCGATATTTTTTCTACACTATTAAAATTTAGAATACAAATTGCGCCATCACCATATTTTTTTTTTTTTTTGGGAGAATTAGAATGCTATGATAATTATGTAAGACCGATCTGATATGATTTGTCCTATTTGCTATCCCAAATCTTAATAGAAATTTTTTTCCCCCATTTCTTATTTTTTATAAAACATTATCATCAACAGGCGCATTCTCAACTACATCGGTAGTACTTTGTTCAGCCAATGGTATTACATTCTCTATTGAATTTTGTATAACATCCTTTACATCCTCTTTAATTTCCGTAGTTTCAGACATCCTGTGATTAAAATTTTTTTTTAATTAAAAAAATAAAAATATCTACTTTTAATTTTATTCACTTACCTATTTGTAACAGGATTGGCATTACTATCTGGAGTATTTACAGAATCTACACTTGTTGTTGTTGTTGTTGTTTTCTCAATATTCTCCGTCGTTAAATTAGTTTCTGTTGAATTTATCGTAATTTCATCGCCACTTGCTTTGGGATCATTTAAATTTCCTTCTAAACTAATTTTCTGTACATGAATTGTTTCTTCAGCTAAATTTGGCGTTGGTGTTTGTACTAAATCCGGAAACGTTGCCACAAAAGGTTCCGATTTTTTTTCACTATCGATACTTAATTTTGAATCGAAATTATCAAAATTTGCCCAACCTGTCTCTTCAATTAATTCTGATGATTCAACACCCCAAGGATTAACTTGTGGCAATGCTGAAGCTAAGAAAAAATTTTTAATTAAAATAAATTTCGAAAAAAAAGAAATGCCAAAACTTTAAAAATTATTTTACCATCATTTGAATCTATTTCCATGTCACAGGGACCATCATCCTCTTCTGACCAACACCAATTTTGTTTTTCATTATTTTCGCCAAAATTTATCCGTTTTTCGAAGCAAAGCTGTATTTAAAAAATTAAATTTATTGAAATTGTTTTTTTTTTTAATAAATTAAATTCTATTACCTTGCTAAACATATCTTCTCCTTTGCTGATATCATCATCATTGAGAATAAAATCTATTGTACCCAATTGACCAACTGTATTACTGCTATTAAAAAAAAGAATAATAAAAATCAAAAATTTTTTTTTTTAAATCTTAATTCAACACTTACTGTAAATCTTCATCTCCATCAATGAATTTTTCATCATGAACTGAATATGAAACATAGTGAGATCCTAATAGTTGTCCCTGATAATTAGAATATACCTGAGATTGTAAAAAATACTCTTATATTTGAAAAAAAATATTCGAAAAAAGTTAAATAAACACATTTCTTTTTTACAAACCTGTTGTGCATAAACTTCTTGTGAATAAGCGTAAACGTCAGATTTTTCTGCAGACTCCGACATATATACCTGTGCAGGTCCACCCTAAAAAATTAAATGGTAAAAAAAAAATTGAAGAATACCGTTAATTTTTTTTCAAACTTACCAACATTATTCGTTGAATTTTATTTATTTCACTCAATTGTTCAGCAACAAAAGTTTCCCATTGATTGAATGTTTCTTCAGGCAATTTTGTCTTGAGAAAATCATTGAAAGACTCATTTTTTTTACATTGTTCCACTATATGATTTTCAAGTTCAATCAAATGACCCATATAGGCGTGTTTAACACTTGATTTTTCATTTCTAAAAGATGAATTACATAAAATTAAAATTAAAAAAAAAAAATAATCCCATAACAATTTTTTAAAAATAGACAATAACTTTGAGTGAAATATAATCGAATATAACTCACTTTTTGTCCCCATTTTCCTTCCAGCATTCCATTATTCGTTCCAATAACTTACACTTTATAAATACCTGAAACAAACATTTTTGTTTTTAAATACAATATTAGATCAAATTTAATTTTGTTTATAATTTTTTATTAAGAGTTTTAAAGAACAATTCAGAATTATAGAAAAAATTCAATCAACTTACATTTTCCAAAATAAGCTCATTAATTTCAGGATTAAACCAATTTATTGCAACTTGATAAAATTGTTGTACTTGTGTGTGTAAGAAATTATTAAAAGAATATTTGAAAAAAAGATCAAGAAGTATTTGGAATGTTCCAAGTTCCATTAATTTTTCAATTGTTGGAAAATTGCTAACTGTTTTTTCAATTAATTTTTCTGTTGATATTAGAGCGACAAATAATTTAATAACATGAAGACGAGTATTTCCAAGTGGAACTTCCAATAATCCAACAGTTGTATCTACAGGTGGTTTCTATAATAAAAAAAGGAAATTCAATAATTATAACGCTTTCTAAAAATGGGATCTAAAAAAGCAAAAAATTAGAAAAATTTTGAAATAAAAATAGTAAAAATAATTTCTTTGATACTTACGTAAGGAGGTTCCAATAAAAGTTTATTAAGCTCTTCGAGAAATGGTATCGTGGCATTTATAATTTTCTGACATTGTTCATCGCTAACGATATCATCAGAACCACTTGAACCACGATCAGCGTCTGAAGAACCACTTTAAAAAGAAAAATATTTTTAAAATTCTAAATATTTAAATAAATTTCAATTTGTAATATTTCTAAAATACCATTTTGTTTTTTGTGTCAAAAGAGTTAGAAGTATTTGAATTCCGCCAATAATACTGCTCTCTATTTTTTCTCCATTTAAAATAGTCTTCAAAATAAGTTCAACTGTTTCTACTCTGTAAAAATTAAATCAAATTTAATATATTATTTTTAATTTAATTTGGAAAAAAAAAATAACTTACGATTCTAATCTTTGAAGAATGGGATCTGGTTCGGAGCGTTCAGTTAAATTATGTTTGTACTCCCTTCCTTCTGTAATCATATCACAGATTAATTGAGATGCGTTTGAATGTTTTTTCGAACCTAATTCAGGAGAAAGAAGTCCAATTAAACGTTGCACCAATTCTTGATCATCTAACCACTGTAATAAATTTTTTATTTTTGTTTAATTTGTTTTTAATAAATAATTAATAGAAAAATAAAATCTTACAGTTAATATATTTTGTCGCATATCACTTCCTTCGACCTGAGTTACAAGTTTCAATAGTAAGTCCATAATTGCTGATGTTTCTAAATGATGTAAAAGTTGTTCTACGCAACGTTGACGACTTTTTATAAATTCTAAGAACTGTAAACAGGTGAATTGATAGGAATACCAATTCTGTAAAGATAAATGAAAAATAGGAAAAAATTCACAAAGAAAACAGAGAAATAGTTATATTTTCAATTCAATACCTGATCACTTGCTCTTGCTACTAACACACCAATTGTTCTACTGAAAAATGAAGCTAGTAGAGGATTTAAAGGCTCTTCTGTGTCTATAAAGGAATATAGTTTCGTTAAAAGATCTTCATCACCTGTAATTAAAATTCATTATTTAATTATTGTTTCAATTTTGTTTACTAATTTATTTACTTTCAATTTTAATTCGATTTAAAGAAATTAAGATTTTATTAAAGCAAAAAACAAATAAAATTACCTGCTAATTTCTCATTTACTGATGGTAAATCACAAGTGAGAAGTTCACAAGCAACATTCGGATATTTATAACGTCTACGTTCTTCTAAATCAAGTGGAGGCTCCTTTGTTGTTAACGTAACCAATTCTTTCATTATATCTGGTCTTGTTATACTAGAAAATAAAAGAATTAATAAATTAAATTTAAAAAAATTAATTCGTAAAGAAAAATTATACTTACAATTCAATTAGCTTTTTATTTTGACTTTTACATTCTTGTAGAATATCATCTATATCCATTAATTCATACAAGGTAAAATCCTATAAATTTAAATTAATTAACATTGATTTATCAATTTTTCACTTACATAAGAATGTGTGGGAAAAACATTTTATAAATCATTCTCATGAAAATAAATAAAAGTACCTAACCTATTTCAAAATAATTCAAAAGCAATTTTTAATTGTAAATTAAAAATTATACTATATTTTCAAAAAGTTAACTTTAATATTCCACATTATCTATTTAATAATACAAAATTTGCAATTGTCAATAAAGAAAAATTTAAATAAAAAAAAATACAATATTCTAAAATGTCTTTTCTTTGGAGACAAAAGGTTGTAAATTTGCAATAGTGTATATATTTTTTTTCTCCCAGAAGAGAAAGTAGGGTTATGAGAAATCAATTTCTTTTTTTTTTTTAAATTACCTGTTTACTTAACAAAGCCTCAACTTGAGGAGATGACACATATGAATTCGCCCAAAACATATTGAATTTGTAATTACAATATAACTACATTAACGTGCGAAACCTTTTGTTGTTTTGTAACAAGGATATGAGTTGCACTTCAAAGGGTCACAGAATTGGAGTTTGAAACGCACTATAATAAAAGTGGTATAACAAAAGCTTATTAGCCCAATAAAAAATCAAAAATATAACGTCAATTAATGAAAATAATAGATTTTTTTAAAAAAAAAAAATATTTACTCCATAAAGTATTATGCTCTCCAAAAACGTCACTTTTTTTTATACACGCAAATATACAGACAAGAAAATAAAACGTCCTGATGCTTGTTCCAATTCATTCCAATTGAATAACTTCAGACGATTCTTAATACCAACATATAAAACATTAAAAATTTCATCGATTTTATAATGTTTCCACATTAAACTAATAGATGGCGAATATTTTCACTTTATCTAAAGATGGTAAGTTTTTTTTTAAAATTTATTTAGATGTTTATTAATTGATTTTAAAGTAAAAACAATGTTTTATTTTAAAGTATTTATATACTTATTTTCTATTAATGTTAAAATATTCACAAAATTTGTTGATTTTGAATTTCAAAAATTGGCGGCAGTGATGATTGGCAGCACTGCAACGACGTCAACTTCAACATAACCTCACTTTTTCTGTTTTGTTATAAATGTCATCAAAACACGTGTTTTTTTTGTAAATTGAAAGAGAAAATATGAATAAAACCGAAGTTACCAATTTTCAAGATTTAAAATTAAATCAATGGCTCGCTGATCAGTGTAAAACAATAGGTGTGAAAAAACCAACACCTATTCAAACAAATTGTATTCCAGAAATATTGTCTGGAAAAGATTGTATCGGTTGTGCAAAAACTGGCAGTGGAAAAACACTTGCATTTGCATTGCCAATTTTACAAAAATTATGTGAAGATCCTTATGGAATATTTGCACTTATATTAACACCTACAAGAGAATTAGCCTTTCAGGTATAAACATTTTTGTATAATTATAATTAAATCATTAAAAGTTAATAAGTTCCTTTAAAGCATCTCCTTAAATTAATTTTTTAAATAATTAAATTTAAATTATAGATCGCTGATCAATTTGCCGTGATTGGAAAGCCAATTAATTTAAGAAAATGTGTTATTGTCGGTGGAATGGATATGGTTGTTCAGGGTCTTGAATTAGCGAAACGACCACATATTGTGGTGGCAACGCCAGGTCGTCTTGCTGATCATTTAGAAAGTTGTGATACATTTTCATTGCAAAAAGTAAAATTTGTTGTTCTCGATGAAGCCGATAGACTTCTTAGCGGTCATTTTGATGAACAATTACAAACAATTTTTAACGCCTTACCAAAAAAGAGGCAGAATCTTCTTTTTAGTGCCACTATGACTGATACTCTTGAAAAAGTCAAACAAATGACAGCAAACGATGTAAATTTTTGATTTTTAATAATATATATATTATCTTTGGAAAATTTTTTTGTTATACTTAGAAATTATTTTTTAAGGTCTTTTTGTTCGAGGCTCAAGATGATACTGGAATAGCGACTGTAAAGGAATTAAAACAACACTTTGTCCTCTGTCCTGTTAATGTTAGAGATGCTTTTTTAGTTGAAGTCATTAAAACCTATAGAGAAACATGTAAAAGTGGATCTATTATGATTTTCGCCGACACTTGCAAGTATGTTTTTTTAATTTTTTTAAATTTTAATTCATTTACTTAAAATTAATTTTATAAAAAAAGTTTCGTTTTTTTTTCAAAAATAGAAATTGTCAACTACTATCAATGACTTTAAATGAAGTTGGATTTGAAAATGTCGCTCTACATGCAATGATAAAACAAAGAGAACGTCTTGAAGCTTTACATAAATTTAAAGCTGATCAAGTGAAAATTTTAATAGCCACTGATGTGGCAGCAAGAGGTTTAGACATTCCCATTGTGCAAATGGTTTTAAATCACACGATACCTAATATTCCTAAAGAATATGTTCACCGTGTAGGTAGAACTGCAAGAGCCGGTCGTGATGGTATGGCTATTAGTTTAGTAACACCACACGATTTAAAATTACTTCAAGCGATAGAAGATACAATAGGCACTAAATTAACAGAATATGAAGTAGACGGTAAATATTTTCGTTTTTTTTTCTTCAAATTTTTTTCTAAATTAATATTAAATTTGATTTTTATTACAGACAAGGAAATCGTAACGATTTTCACACAGATTTCAGTGACTAAACGAGAAGCAGAAATGAAGCTCGATGAAACTGATTTTTTTGAAAAGAAAATGATAAATAAGAGGAAAAAATTAATTTTAGCCGGAATGGATCCAGACGAAGTGGAAGAATTTCTTGAGAATCGATTTAAACACAAGAGAATGAAAAAAAGAAAAATTAAATCTGATGTAGAGCAGATAAAAGAAGAAAAAGAAAAGAAAGAAGAAAGTGACGATGAAAACGAAAAAATAAATGATTTAACAACAAAGGTAAAATCTCCAATTCAAAAAGAAATTAACAAAAAAGATAAAACACGACAAATTGAAAGTAAATCCAAAATTTTAATGAAGAAATCAATAACTAAAGGTAAGAATAAAAAAGATTCTGATATCAGTTTAGTGAAAAAACGAAAAAAATTAAAAAAATAAAAGAGTACTATTAACTGTAAATAAGAACGGAATATTTCCGTTAATTTAAATTTTAATTAATAAACAATAGTGTAGAAAAAAAACTTGTTTATTGTTGACAAATTTTTAGATTTTAAGTTCAAGTTCTAAAAATTTTTAGAATCATTTCTATATTATAAATATCTCAGTGATTTTCTTCAACACTGAGTGTTTATAGAATTAATTTTTCTACCACAATTCATTGTTATAAAAAATTTACGATAAACACTATTTTTATACATAATTAATATAAAATTTACCTCAACATTCGAAAAGGTAATATGATAAAAAGATTAATGTAAAATTTTTTTTTTTTTGTCTTAATTTTTTACTAATTAACATTTCAAAAAATATAAAGAAAATTATATAAAAATTTTAGTGAATAATTTGATTATTCCCTTCAAAATAGAATAGAAATAATTTCTTTTTCAATATAAATTTTTCCAAATAATACTTGTAAGGTTTCGAGACATACTATATATTTTAATATAGTAAGAAGGCAAATTTCCACAATTTTTCAAAAAAACCGAAAAAAGGTGGTTAAACTAGAGAAGGCAATTTGCAATTTCTTGCTGATTTTTTTTTTTTTTTGTCACAGCCTAAAATTAACAGGCTGTTTATTCTGTGGCTTAAAAGCAAAATCTTTTTTTTCCTTCGAAATTTATAATTTGTTGCTTTTAATATTTTTCTTTTTCCAAAATTGACTGACAATTTTTTACCAATTAAACTGCTTTTAAGTCACAGATTTGTACTAGTGTCTTTTGATGATTTATAAACTGATTTTTCATTTTTTGAGTGATATTAAAGTCGCGTTTTAACTTTTTCCACATCCTGTATCATTTGTAGCATATCCATAAATGCATACAATTCCGCAATATATTCCTTTGGATATTTTTGAAAATGTCCAACATGTGGAGAATCTTCGAATATTTTTACGTACGTCTGCAAAAAAAAACAAAGAGGATAAATTCATATAAAAAAGAATTAAAAACAAATTTTTCTCTATTTTTTTTTAAACTGACCTTTATTCCAAGTGAATCCCAACTGTCTCGTACTCTCATATTACTTTTAACAGCTCCAATTGTATCTGTTTTACTTAAAAGAAATAATGCTGGCGAATGTACAATATTCGTGTGAAAAAGTTGACTAGAACGAACATAATATTGCGTTGCTTGCTTATGAAAAGCTTTCAAATGATATCTGTAATTTTTGAAATTTTATTAGAAAATTAATCGAATAATTTTTTTTTTTTCTAAAAAAGAAAACTTACTCCATGTATTTTTTAAACATATTTTGCATTACGTCATTATTAGGGAAAACTGCAGGCGGTACTCCAATTGTAATTTCAGTAATATCAACAGCACTATCCCAAACTTGACCTACAATTCTTTCTATAATATGATCATATCGTTTTCTATCTTTGTGTATAAAATCACAAACTTCACCCCACATATAACCGCCAATAGAAAAGCCGTGTAGCATTATTTGTTGATAATTTTTATTTTGATCCATAAATTCCAAAAGTTCAGCAGCTACTTTCTAAAAAAATTTTCAAATTATTAAATAATTTTTTTTTTTTTTAAATAAAAATATAAACTTACTCTAGTTCCATTGGCAGGCCACATTAGTTGCCATGGACTGACAGTGACAGTAACAACATCAAAACCTTGTTCCATGTAGAAATTTGCATATTTCATAACGTGTTTACGTTGAGCTAATAGCCAACATAGTAAAATTAATAGTGGTCGATCTTCGGAAACAATAGAATCTTGTTTATTAAATTTATTAGTTTGAATTGAAGTTTCTTTTGTTATAAGTTCAATATTTTTTGTAATTCGATGAGTTGATACAAATCTACTGGCTATTAGTCTCAGCATCTAAAAAAAAAAAATTATCAATTACTTTTAATTAACAAACATATATGAATTAAATAAAAATAAAATTACCATATTTTGCTGATGTTTGGAAATGGAAACTGTATATTGAGAGAGTCTATTAGTTGTTAATCTTGAGAGAGCCATTCTTGTTAGTGCCATTTTTATTTACTAAAAATTCTGCGCACAAAACGATCTAAAATCTAAAAAAAAATTAATTTTTTTTATATATTTACAAAAATTTAGTTTAAATTTACAATTAATTATTTATAAATTGTTTACTAAAACTAATCGAAACAACATTTTTACACTTTATCTATTATAAAGTAAACTGTTTATCTGTTAAAATAAAATAGTTTTTATCAGTTAATATTATAGACCTGCTGCCAAAGTGGGAGTCTTAAAACATGATAAAAAAAAAATAATAGAAAAAATGCAAATATACAAAATATAAAAATTTACGTTAATTAAAATTAAAATTAAAACAAAAATTCATTGTATTTGAATAATAATTATATTTTTAATGTGATTCATTTTTAATTTGAAAAATGTTCAAAGAAGAAAGGGAGCTTCATTAATTTATATTTCAATGTCCGAAGCCTCAAGTCCTAACATTCACTGATCACGTGATCCTAATTCCAAAGATCATTGTCTCTGAATTTATTTAAAACAAAATAATATATTTTATTAATAATTTATTAATTATTATTAATGGCAATCTTTAGCGTTTCAGAGAAATTTAAAATTATTCTTAATCAGTAAATGTAATAAAATCAAATAATTTCTTAATTAAACTTTTTAATTTATTGTAATTATAACAATTATTAAAAAAATTAATTATCTTCCACTTTTGTTTTTTTATTAAACATAATAATAATAAAAAGATTATTATTAAAAATGCCAAACATTATATTAAACAATTATTTTGAATTACAAATTTCAATAAATATTATTTATGATTTACATATGAAAGTTTGGTTATGTTATGAAATTATTAATTACAATTTCTTGTAAATGAAAATTCAAGTCTTGAATTTTAAATTTATATCATGAAATGTACTCTATTTGCTTTCTTTATTTGCAAGCGATGTTATTCACCTCACTAAAAAAAAAAAAAAAACAGCAAATCTCCATATTAAAAAAAAGAAAAGACTTTTACTCATGAAAATATTTTACACGTAAAATATATAATAAAATACACTTTTGATATAAGTATTTAGAAAGTAAAATCACTGCCGTTTAACATAACAATAGAAAGAAAACATATATATGTTTCCTTTTTATATAAATACACAACACAATAGTTTGCATATGACATTGAAATCAACTCTTAAAATAATTTTATATTAGTATAATGAGAACAAGAACCTTTTTATTATTACCGTTAATATGCAAGTGAATGTAAATGATGACTAAAAAAAAAAAATTAAATTATGTTTTGTCAGCAAAATTATTCTGCTCTGGGAGCTTGAGTTGGTTCGAGTTTTAACTCAAGACTGAAGTGACAGATCATGGCGCCAAGCATGCGTATACTATTACATATTATGTATATATGTGTATACATATAAGCAATATATATAAATTTAAAAATAACATTTTGATAATTAAACAAAAAATATTTGAAAAAAAAAGTTATAAAAATATAAATAAAATTAAACAAAAACTCACATAACCTCTCTTTTTTGTTTTTTTTTTTTGTTTATAAAAATAATTTTTAATAAATAATTTATATTATTTATTGTTTTTATAATAAATAAAAATTAATACCTGTATATGATGAGATAATACTATTAAGAAAATTATTCATTTGAATAAACATGAAGGAAGATATGAATAACTTCAATATAATTATTCCAATAAGTGATTTTTAAAGTCACGTTTCACGTGAGTCAAACATAAATTATTTAAAATGATGTAAATATTTGAAAAAAAAGTTATTATTTTTTTTAAAAGAAATTTTTTAAAATTACATTTTTAATAAGAAGAGTGAAGAAAGAGTTTAAATATTTTATTTATTTTTATAAACACCAATCATCAATTGGAAAATAATTCAAAAATTAACCAATTAAAATGGAGAACAGTGTTTTTTAAAATTTAAATGCCGTTACGATTTAGTTCAAATTCTTCCCGCTAGGATAAATTTTCTCTGAAGCTGTCAAATTTTTCAGAATTAAAAACTATTAATTTTATATAATTTTATATGAAAATTATAATTACACATTATTATTAAAAGGTAAAAATTTAATTCTTATCTATTTATACTAATTGTTATAAATTTAAAATTTATACTTATCGTGAAAAATAAATTTATATCATTTATATCTTCCGATTTCAATTCTAACCTAAAAGTTGGCATTTTTTTGTATATGTAAACATTGTTTCATAATATAATTATAATTTTTAATTTTCTTTCAGATTAAAAATGAATTTAAACACAACATCAACTGATAATAAACGAAAGGAATCAAATGCTTTAAAAGCTTGTAAAGAAATATTAAATGAACTTCTTTCCGAGAAACACATTGATTATGCTTGGCCTTTCTATCAAACATTTAGTAAAGAACTTACAGATGTAATTGAAAAAAATCACGGTTCAATTGAAAATCCAATGAATTTTCAAATAATTAAATTGAAAATGGAAAATCGTGAATATAAAGCAGCTTATGAATTTGCCACTGATATTCGTCTTATGTGTTCAAATTGTTCAAATTTGGAATTTTTACCTTCATTAGTTACTATGTCGAAGAAATTACATCAAGTTTTTGAAAAATTGTATGCAAATATAATTGATGATTCAAGAAGAAATCTTTCTAAACAAATTGCCGATTTACTTGTTGTAAGTAAAAAAACTCTCATTGCTTGTTCTTTAAATCGACAAAAATTGGAGCAAACAGTTTGTTATAAATTGAACAATAATTTTTCTCAAAATAATAATCAATCAAGTGATAGTGATTCAGATTCTATTAGTTCTTCTGAAAATATAGACGTTTACTAATGTGAATTATTTTCAAAATGTATTTTCATACCTGAATTAGTTAATTAATTGTTCGACTGAATTTTGTTATTTATTAATTATCTAAGAAATATGGGTATGAAAATAAGATTTTATATTTTTCTACCTTGCTGATATATTTTTTTTTTCATAATATACAGTAATTATACGACTATTTTTAAGTTTACATTTTATGTACTTAAAAAACATTTAAATTTTCCTAACATTGAATTGTAATATTTTTCAATAAATTGTTTCTTTAAAATAATTATCGTTTTCTGATTTGGAGAAAAACTGAAAGATAAAATAAAATTTTCAAAATACAAGAAGAAATTAAATTATTTAAAATAATTTTTAAGTGCAATATAAGAAAAATTGAATATTTAATAATAAAACAAAAAATAAAATATTTAATGACATTGTTAATAAGAAAATAAAAAATTTTTTTTTGTGAATATGAAAAAATTAAATAATAAGTAAGCACAGTCGAGTTGCAGGCTATTCATTTATAATTCTGCAACAGACATAAGAACAGTAAAGAATCACTAATGACAAATAATTGATCGTAGATCGTCTGCGTGTCACGCATGGTCACGAATGAACGAGTACAGTCTTTTTAGTACAGTTCAAATTCAATAAAACAAATTTTATCGAAATATTTTACTTCAATTACAATTTTTATTAGTGTCAAGAAATTATATTTTTTTGAAACCAAATTTTATTTTCATTTTCCTAATTATTATTATTAATTGTAATTAATCTTCATAATTTTGTATGATAGAATAATTTTCTAATTAAAATTATTTATATATTTTTTATATTAATCAAAATTTTATAAAAGGCAAATAAAGAATTCAAATGAAAAAATTTATTTAACGAAACTTTTTTCTCATAATTAGTATATGCTAGAAATTCCAAGCTATATTCTTTTTTTTTTTTAGAAAATACAAAATTATTGCTATCGTTCGTCACGCAAGACTTGACCTCCTTTTTATTATATTCTTCAATGATAATATATATTTATAATATATTTTTGTTATAATTTAGATTCAATGCTCAATTTGAAATAATTTTAAGTACAGATGGAATGAAGCTACTCATTACGCAATAATTTAAAGCTTCCATCAGATGCAATGAATGAAATTCAATTTCTAATTGCATAATTTTCTGCATTATTAATTAGAGAACGATTTATTATCAAAAAAAAAGAAAATTATTTGTGCTTTATTTAAGGTTGATTAATGTAAAAAAAAGAATAATAATATTGAAAAAACAATATTAAAAGTAAAATAAAAATACTTACCGGAAAATAACACTACTGTAGAGCATAATGAAAAAAAAATTAACTATAATTAATAATTTAATAATTATTTTTAAAAGAAGATGTATGTTTAAAAAAAAGCACTCACTATTCAATATACTTCAATTACTGTCGTTACTGTCGTTTGAGTGGCTGAGATAAAACTCAAACGGAAGAAGTATTCTGAAGCCCCTCTCTTTTTCTTTTATGAATTTTGATGAGGATCCCCTATTCTCTTCCTCTGTCTCCCTTCGTCTACAACCGGAAGAAATCATTAATTAGATTCAAATTTAATTGACAAACGTAAATAAATAAGCAATCACAGGTCAAAATTTAAATTAAACTTGCAAAATTTCTGAATTTTTCAATTCTTTCAAATATTCGAAAAATGTTGCATTGTTAAAACAATTCGATCTTGAAATGTTTTACAAATCAAAAATTTGAATATGAAAATATTCTTTTTTTACTAACAATGTTTATGTAATCTCATTAAATTCAATATTCAAACTAACAATCAAATTACAATTTTCCGGTATTGTATTATGTATACGAAATGAAATTTAAGAATTATATTAGGCACCTTATTCCATAAAGAAACTAAGTCAATATTTTTTTTTTTTTTTTTTATGTGTTTAACTGTTTACAGTACTTTATTATAGTTTTATCGACGATTCGGACATTATGTAAACCTATTTCTGAATATTACAATGGGCACAACAAAGACGAGTGTGATTTACAATATGCAATATTTTTCAATTGCAATGTATACACGGCGTTTGAGGCAATTTAATACTACCTAAAATTGTATATTGAGCACTCTGAACGGTATTATGATTAGCGAAAAAAAAAATGGTTAAATAAAATTGAAAAAAAAAATATTTATAGAACTAAAAAATGTTAACAGTAAAAAAAAAACATTAATTTTAAAAATTAAAACTGAATTTTTATTAAATCGAATTTTCTTTTTCTGGAATTTTTATTTGTCACTTGACAGAATAATCAATCAAATTAATTTGAAAATTCAGTTTATAGTAAATTCGATGTAATAAAATATTCAATTAAAAGCGATTACAATCACAGGAATTTCTATCAAATGAAAATGAGAATTTAAAGAAATTTTCACACGTCTGATGAATAACAATGATAAATATATAAATTATAAAAATATTACAAAAAAAAAGATATTGTTTCCTAAATTTAAAAAAGAATTGAATCTTTATACACAGAATTCATAATAAATAATATTATTACAAATATTTGATATTTTCACATTTCGACTATTATTATCTGAATAAAAAAAAAAAAAATAATAATTTCTAATTGGTGCAGTTTATAGAGATGCTCATTTACTTTTCATTGGAAAAAAAAAATTTGTGTCTCGTTTGAAGTAATTGTTGCGTTACAGATGCATATATTACAAAGTGAATACCTATTTGGTCATATCATATATATATATAACGTATCACTAAAAGTTGCTATGGTGTTTTTCGTGTAAATTCTACACAATATTACCTACATTTTTCAAAACTATTAATAATATCGTATCTTTCACTTATATTCTATTGTCATACAAAACACGCATCATATGTGTATAAATATTTTTTATATATAATTTTAGCTATATTTTTTTCTAGTTTACTTGAATCTTATTTTAATTATTATTACTATTATTATTATTATCATTAATATAATAAATAATAATAATAATAATATTTTTACTATTCATTTTCATAAAAAATGAAAAACAAAAGTAAAACGTATAATCGTGGTTTAAGTGTGCAAATAAAAAAAAGCTTCCGTTTTATCGGAAGTAAAAGTGACATGAATACTTCTATATCTTAATAATACCTGTTTTTAATTAAATCTAGCGCTCATATATTTTCCTATATTATAATATATTCGGTATTATATAAACATGAAGCTCTTTTTTTCTGCCTTTTTTAAAAAAGAAAAGCCGATCACAATTTTTGAAATTTTGTTAAAAAAAAAATTAATAAACACTTTAATATTAAATGAATTACTAATTATTCATTTAATTGCAATTATTTTTCAACTAGATATAATTGATTTTATTTTTGTTTCTCTTTCACTCTATAAATATTAAAAAGCAAGAGATCTAAGTGCGAACATCAAAGATATGTGCGAAATTGATTTTTCATATTGTAAATATTAGACAAGTTTTAAATTGAAATTAAATACACACATATTAGAAAAAAATTAATATTTTCAAAATGTCGATAGACAGTTTTGTACTCTCACTTAGATCTTTTCGACATTATTTACAGTGATTATTATTATTATTATTATTAAATACACAAGAGATTAAAATATCTCAATATAGATGCCAAGAAAAAAATGATTCTCTAAAATTAAATGAATTGATAAATTTCTATGTTTATATTCTTTCGATATATATATATAAAAAAAAAAAATTCAAAATATTTAAACGACTGTCCAACGAATGAATTTTGTAATTCAATTTCTCAGCACAATTTTTAATTTCATTTTATTCTACTGAGCCAACTATATAAAATACTGAATAATAATACTAAATAAGTCTTAAATTTCATCTAGACATTTCAATCTTAACTATAAAACAATTCAAAAACAAAAAAAAATAATACAATTTTTAAGAATATTTGTTCACTTTCAGTCCTTTCGTTAAAATTAATATTCATTCATTGGTCTAGTCACTCTACAATTTAAAAAAACAAAATATAAATCTAAATAACTATTTGAAATTTAATTTATCTTTGTATACCACACATTACACTTGTTTTTATAACTCACTGTATGTATAATTAACGAGAAAATATTTTAAATCTTATTTAAAATTTAAACAAAAAATTCGCTTTAAAAAATGGACGGATATTAGTTTTTTTTTTTAAATAGAAGAATTCACATTAAATTCTGAAGAGTTATCACTGTAAAAACATTTCTAAAAAAAGAAAAAGAATTTTAAAATGTCTGCAGCTAAGTATATTAAAATCATTCAAAAAAAAAGTTTATGTAATTTTTTAATTAAAAATTTAATTTAAATTTTAAAATAAATAAAATCTTTCAAAATAGATCTTTTATTGGTAATTAAAATATTTTCTCGTTCAATTCGACAAAACATGGTCAAGTTCATTAAGATTAAAGAGTATTTATCTATATTATGCATTATGCTTTATCAATGTTTAATATTCGCACTTACTATTGAATTATTTTAATAATTATTATTACTATTATTTTTATAATTATTATTCTTATATTCTTATTAATATATTGAAATCCTATTAATTCTTAACTATCAATCGGTATCTTAACTGGTTCGTTAAGTTTCTTTTCCTGTATTTGAAGATATATTTTAGGTACTTTTGAGATAAAAATTTACCATTTGTGCATTAATTTAATATTTAGTACATAATTTTTGAGAAAAAATTGTGTGTTTTCTGGCAAAGTAAATTTTTTTTTTTCGTGTATAAATATATAATATGTATATGTTTATAACTATGTTTAAATATCTATCTATATTTACAATTTATCCTTGTGAAATTGATTTTATAAATTGGTGAGATATAATGCGCATATTAGATAGAATGCTCCGCAAAATTTTTGTCAAGCATTTTTTAAACACACTTTTTTCTAATTATTAAAAAAAAAAAAATTACCTATACAATTATTTCTTCAGATCCAGAATACTGGAAGCACAATAATTTTTCACTCGTTAATTGGGCGTTAGTTATATAAATATTGAAAAACATTAATAAAATAATTCTCAAAAAGCGGCAAAATTAAAATCTATTGAGTGAGAAAAATGTTTAGCATTTAAAAGAACACAAAACGGTGTAAAAAAAAAATGTGCGCTTTAAATGCAAACAAATTAAGTGGCAATTTATATACATTTACTGATTAAAAATTAAATCAAAGCTCTTTTTTTTTAAAAAAATGGCACTTTACGATTTTGTGCACAATTTCCCAAGGAAAGAAATAGAACAAATCTCAAAATAAGAAATAATGTTAAACTATACAAGTTTAAAACTTTGGCATTACAAAGAAGAAAAAGAAAAAAGAAAAAAAAAAGGAAAGAATCAGAAAGTCAAATCAACTTCCCAATTGACTTAAACATTCTATTTACAAATTCTATTTTAAAAATTACCTAAAATTGTAAACCTAACTGGCTAAATCATGATTTGCTTAGCATTCAATAATTTAACCAGATGCAAAGCGATTATACGACTTTGCTATTATTTCCTATATACCTAAGAATATTTATCAGATTTTTTTTTTTTGACTCGTGTCAAAATTTAAACACTTCAAGAATAACAGTAACGATTTCGAAGTTTTTTTTTTTTTTAAACAAAAATAAAAAAAAAACTAGCCTTCATTTCACTAATAAATCTTTTCCTTTTAATAATTAATATAATTTATGCCAATCAAATTCGAAAAAATTAAAAAAATGTTTGTGACCCTCAATATAGAATATGACAAACATTAAAATTGCAGATCATTGCACAAAATTAAAAATTGTAATAGTACAATTTACTTGATTCATGGCAGTATATATATATGAATATTATTTCAAACGATATTCCCCCGAATTCGAAGTATATCACATACGTAGCAATTATCGTTTACTTTCTGAGAAACTCTTTTTTTTCATTTCTATTCGAGAAAAAAAAATTGGTTTTAGTGTTTTTTTTGCTTTAAATCATTGATGCGTAAACATTTGCGCGAATTTAAATTTTATATACAAGTCTCGAGAACGAGACTGCTACGTGTTGTGTCTCAGAAAGCTTCGACAAAACTTGCAGGAAAAAGTCCAGTACGACCTGTGCGTTGTTGTGTTCCTTTATACCAACCATCGTCACGTTTTTTATGAACGTAAATAATGTCTCCCACTTTTAGTTCCAATTCAAATTCACTGTTCGGAGGATATGGTACAATACATCGAAATCTGTAAACACGTTCCCTGAAAAATAAACAAATTTTTAAAAAATCAATTTTTTACTGCTTTTTTTGTAAATAAAAAAAAAAATAATAATTTTACCGTTCTCTTGATGCAGATTGTTGTTTAACCTGTTTGCCCATTCCAGCATCCAAAGAATTACTTTTGCGATGATGATTACTAAGTGAACTACTCACAGCAACACCACCAGCTTCATTAGATCTATTTAAAGAAAATGATCATAAAATTATTTTTAACATACATTTGCCTACAAAATGAAATGTTAATTAATTCAATTATTAATTATAATTCTATAGAATTAACTTTTCACCTATTCAAGTAAAAAAAAAGACTACAATGTGAAAAATTTAATTACATTTTACTGAATTTTTGTTTAAATATTTTTAACAAATAACTTATTTACAATCTTGTAAACTATTTAGCAAATATTATTTTTTCTAAATAAATTTTTAATTAATAGATCAATTTTTTTTTGTATTAATGTTTAAAACATTTTTCAATATTTTTTTTGTATAGCTATTAGATTTTATTTTAATTTGATTTATTTTTTATTTACATTTAAAAATTTAATATTTCTATAAATTGTTAATTTAAATATCGATAATTATTAAAAATTACAAAATTTATAAAATTAATAAATTGAAATCTTACCTGTTGCCTTCTAGAAATATTGTCATAATAAGCGACTAATACAAAGTGTAAGTTATTGACAATTTTTTTTTTTTTTTACAATTATCAATCGTTAATCTTAATTAATAGTTATTAATAGATTACTAAATATTAATAATGTTAGTTCTTTCAATTTAATCTAAATTTTCAATCCGAAAAATTTGATATAATTTTTGTGAAAAAAAAATATATATATATAAATACACAAGAAAACAAATGTTTTTACACTTTGCAAATCAATAAAAAAATTGTTTCTAATAATTATAGGAGAATTTGATGTTTTCATTTTGACTAAAATTAAATCTAACGTTGAAAAAAAAATGAAATTTATATTCAATAATTAAAATTAATCCATAACATCATATTAGTAAAACATCTATCAGCAATAAAGTGAAATGAAATTAGTGTGATGCAATTGGTGCAATAAAAAAAGCAGAACAACAATATATGTGTGGATAAAAGCAAAAAAACAATCAATGTGTAAATGTGTATAGAAAAAAAAAATTTTTGTAAGGAGATACAAACCTCTGAAGGGATGTCACAGGCAAAGATGGTCGTTCTTTATGTTTTATTCTCTGAGATGTTGATGTATGTCCAGTTCCTGGACACATACGATGATGGCTGTTTGTTGAATTTATATCCTGCGTGGGTCCCACCTGTAGCAATTGGCTTGGGCAAGAACCCGAGCTAATTTTTCCCACCCAAAATGCCCTCGTAATATTAAGGCCAAAAATTTTCAAAAAATATTTTGTATTTATAATGATGAACCAGTGCAAGTTATTTTAAATTTAAATTACATTTTATTTTACTTATTTGTTGTTTAAATATTTATTGTTTGAAAATTGAAATTTTAACAATAAAAATTCCCAGTAAAAAAAAAAAAAATTGAATGTGATTAAAAAAGCAAACACTATGTAAACAAGCACATTCAGTGTCAATATTGAGATGAAAGCATGTATTTTTGTGATACATTACAAATTACATGCACATAACTTGATGTAAACGTTCAGAAAAAAAAATTCTTTCTTCACAATGCCAATATAAAAAAAATGTTATGCAACAACAAATGTGTCAGTAAAAAAGCTGTGATATGTAAACATGTTTTTCTTTAAATGTGAAAGAAAAATTAAAATTTTCTTACCGAACGTGAACTGTACTGATTGAAGATTGACTGGTATTACCATCATCGAATACGGGATTATCCATTGAGTATGTTGCGGGTGGAGGTGACTTAGATTTCTTTATATTTGTTAATCGACGCATTAGTGAGACGCCTTTTTCTTTTTTCTCCTTCTGTAAAAATAAAATTGAATTGTAAAAAAAACAAAAAAAATTCTTTTAAAAAGATAAATAACATACCTTTTCGGAAGATTTTACTGGTGTTGCATTAGCAGTTGCAACAGCTGCTGTACCATGTGCTGTATTATTTGGACTTCTATTTAAATCATTATTAATTGTTGTATTTGGAAGTGAAGCGGAAGCACCAGCTATTATTGGAGGTGGTAATTTACCCGGAGACGCTAAAAAGAAGAGAAGAAATTTTTATTTCATTCGTGTAAAATAAAAAATATGAAATAATTAGAAAATATTCTCACCAACATTAGCAGGCATTACAGCACTGTGACTTCTTCCAATTGGAGTAATTGTTGTTTGTTCACCTTGTCTTGGTGGACTTTGTCCTTGTGTTTGTCGTTGTCCATGCCATGAAGATGAGACAGTTGGCATTGGACTCAAAGCTCTCGGCGGTAATTCAGGTGGAGGCAGTGATCGTATATTGTAAGATGGTTGTGGAGCGGGACTTTTGCTTTTTGTATAAGTTACAGTTGGTCTTGCTGCTTCACTATTTGATTGTGAAGTCATTGTTACCGAGCTTTGTTGTGGAACTGCACTCGGTGAACTTCGACAAACAGTTCTCTGGCATCTGAATTATTTTATAATTTTAATTTTTTTTTTATAATTTTATAATTTATAAATACAATCAAAATTAAATTAAAAAAGCAAAAATGTTTATTAATTTTTTTAAATTTGGTAAAAACTCACTTGGCGGGAGCTACGTAATTTCCTGGAAAAACGCCACATTTTTGTGTTCGATTTGAAGTGCCTTTGAACCAACCATCCTGACATCTTTCAGTTACCATGTAAACGGCACCTTTTCTCAATTCGAGCTCATCTCCTTTTTGCGGTTTATATGGATATAATGCAATATAAGCAGCTGGTAAATTCGCTGTGTTTATTGAATTTGCAGGAAGATTTGATGACGGTTGTGAGAGAATTAAATCACTGCTTCCTCGACGTTTGTGTCTTAGATTTAAATCTCCTCCACCCTAAAAAAAAGAGAATTTCGTTACATTTTTATTCTAAATAAATCAAAATCTCTAGGTTTTAAAAATAAATTTACTTGAGATGGAGAAAATGTAAGATCGCCAGTTGCGCCATTATTGCTGCCACTTGATGAATCAATTGGTGGACTAAGTATTTCTGCACTGTGTCTATGATGAGGATGAGGATGATGGCCTGTATTCATTGCAGTGAAGCTGTGCCGTTTAACATTTTGTCTACTGCCAACAGCTGGAGGCGATATCGCGGGACTACTTGGACTACTAGGTGCAGTGCTAGAACTACTCGATGTACTTGAGCTATTTGGAGTATTTGGCGTGGTTGTTGTTGAACTACCAGATGAAACCGTTGAACTTGAATCTGATACTGGCAGTGCCGCAGCCTGAAAGCGTCATTTCAGCCACAATTGCAATGATATTCACAAAATAAAAAAAAAATGAAAACTAAAAAGAAAATCGTGAAAAAATTACCGGAGTAATTTGAGGTCTTGGTTGACTTGTCGTTTGCACATTTCGTGAATGATCAGTTGGAATTAATGGAGTTGTTTCTTCATTTGTTGGTGTTGGCGGTGCCACTCTTGATGGTCCTGGTTGAACGCTGAAATAATTAATAATAATTTAATTAAATATAAAAATAAATAACTAAATAGAATAAAATTCACTAAAATATAAAATAGAAAAAAAATATTAAAATAAGATCGATAACAAATTTTCTACTACTAATTTTGCATAACTTACTTTGTTGATAATTTCATTAAAGCCCTAGCAACGCTATTTAGTTCGACGAATGCCAAAGGAAATATGCCGATGCGATCTAAAAGTTTTCCTTCTGCCCAATTTTCATCAACTCTTCGAATAACACTTATAACCTCCCCCTAGAAAATGATCACGAAAAAAAAATTTAATTTTCATTATATTTTCTGTATTTAGAAATTTAGTTTAGAAAGCTTATAATTTAATTACTTTATTAAATGTGAGACATCCATCTTCATCATCATTGGACATTCGAAAATCATACAATGCCTTACATTGTGGAACATGTGGTGGTAAGGGTGTCATTACCTGGAAAGTTTACAAAAAATATTACCTTCCTCCTTCTTCATAGAATTTAAAAACTATTTATTTCCTTTTTTTTTTTAGTTTTTTATAAAAGAAAAGAAAGTACCTGAATGTAAGAAAGCGGAAAAACTCCATGATTAGTTCCACATTCACCAAAATACCAGTTATTATCAATCTTCTTTCGTAAAACAACAATATCTCCTTTTTTGAAACTCAAGTCACTAAAATAAAAAAAAAAAAAATACGTATATTAATTACTCTTAACTGTATTATTATAAAAAAAAAAATGCATTGTCTCAAGACAATAATAAAGTGTTACATAAATAATTGACAAATTGTACTGACATTCAAATTACACGGTAAATTAGCTTTGAACTTGCTTATTATTCATAAAACTTTTTTTTTTTTGTTTAATAACTTGTAATCAGTGAACTCTACAGAAAGATCATTTCCAGGATTTATATCAATATGACAAGTCATTCAACCTCAGATATATAGTAATTAAAATTAAATTTTCCAAAAAAAGATACAAAAATAATAATATATTGTTGTGTATTTTTAATCACATGTTTTTATATTCCAAGAGAAATATTTTTTCAAGAAACAGTTACAGAAATTTAAATATTTATATTGTAAATTATGTAATTATATAATTATATTAATTTTAAAAGAACATACCCAGGAACTTTTGATACATAATCATAAATGGCACGCCCGTATGGTTGATTATGAAGATGAACTTGTTTTGCAGCAACATTAGTATGTCGTGAAGGATCAACAGCAAGAACAACTGGTTGATTGGTATTAATTGTTAATGCAGGGGCGACTTGATGACCGCCAAAAAGACGTTGGGGACCATTATTACTTTTTGATGGTGTTTTAATTCCTTTTGGAGTTGCATTTCGCATACCCTCCAAAATTCTCATTAATAAAACATTTGGTGGTAAATCATCAATTTTAGCATCAACAAGAACACGACATTCTGGACATCGTAATTCACGATGTGTACTGACTATTTCTTCTAAACATTTTTTACAAAATGTATGCTGACATGGTAACACTTTACTTGAAGTATCTAAACGTTCTAAACAAACTGAACACTCCAAAAGGTCATTCAGCATACATTCATCCATTGTGCCTTGACTTTTTTTTTTTTTTGTTTTTATCGATATTCCCTCGTCAGCTGCAAACCTTGCCTCTCTTTCTCTCTCTCTCACTCCCTCTTACTTTCTTTGTAGTTTATTTATCTGTTTTTTCCTTTCCTTTCTCTCTCGTTTAACTTGATATTCACAAACAGCTGAGTAGTTATTTGAAAATGAGTATAATTCCTTTTTATTAGAATTTATGATTAAACTAATTAAATTCACGAGTATTATTGGATGCAAAGGGAAAACGCCTTGATTCAACGTGTCGTAGACAACGCGATGATTGTCGATCAGTGCCATTTCCTAAGTATTTTTTAAAAAGTTCTTTTGTTCAACTAAAATTTTACAATGGCAGAATTGATGAAATGTTCTTTTCATTATTAATCTCATATGAATTGAACACATTATTGCACTTATAAATTTAACACACAATTTTAAGAATAGAAAACACGAAATATAATTTTGGAATCAATCACTCTCCGCCATTTCCGGTTTTTTAAAAGTATAGTCGTCAAGCATTGAACAGTTAAATAGCAGAAGGGTAATAACATAAATATAATGGTGTCTTCACATGTCTAAAGAAAATGTGGTTAGAAACTTTCTATTTAACTTTTTTAGTTGTCTTGTTTTATTTTTAATGATCCCGATTAAATTTAGATTTTAAAATAATATTATTTACACATTAATTATATAAAATTAATAAATATGACAATAATTAGATATGAAATATCGCGCCACTTTTAACCAATCGGCTAACTGGATTGTTATTGATCATGCGCGTGTAGTGAGTTTATTTTTAAATGACCATAAATATCTATATAAATATTATATCTATGGTGTATTATTGTTATGATTGTTATTTATTTAGAAATTTAAAAAAATTAGTCTATTTCAAGGACAGTAGATAAAGAGATTATTTTGATATTAAAGAATTGAAAGACTGGAAAATAAAGCCAAAAAGGGCCATAAGTTTTATTTATAGCAATTGTAATTAAAAGGAATGTAATCGTTATCTAACCTATAAAAACAAAAGCATTATTGATTGTTTCTTACTAATTTACGATCAAGAAAATCGATAGTGTTAATTTAATTATAAATTTGTGTTTAAACAATTTGCAAAGGGAAATAATTTTTGTTTATATTTTTAAGAGATAATAATTTATTGTGTTTATGTATATAAAATTGAAAATGGAATTTCCAAAATCCCTAGAGATTTTTAGCTTTTGAGAAAATGTCATGCGCTAAAAAGAGAAGGGGAGATATACGTATATGCTTGTGAGCACAAGCAGCCGTGGCACTACAGTTCGTGTCGACGAGTGTAGATAGTGAAGGCAAGTTTTTGCGAAAGTGAGGGTGGTATATCCCTAACGAACTTAAAACACGCCAGTCCATGTGCTCCTTTGATTAAGATGCTCATCAAAGAATTGTAAGTAATTCAAATAGAATAATAATAATCTTAATTTTTTTCTAAACAAATCAATAAACGATCGTTAGTCGAAATTTTAAGGCTAAATCAAAAGAGTATAGTGTGTATAACTAATCTTTAACGGTGGGTGGTGTTAGCAGTTTGAGGGGAGGGGGTGGCCTCAACCCTCGTACATCACACAAAAAAGGGGGGATTTCAGCATTAAAAGAAATGCAATTTTACTTTTATCCTCCAAAAAAAAAAAAAAAAAAAGGTTACAATTTTCTTTATTAGTTACTTCCAATCAATGCGTATAACGTGTCTCCTTGAATACATTTGTCATAAATTTTATTGAAAATACAATTCTTTTTTTTTCTTCAATTTTATTATAAAAATGTGATTCAAGGTCACACAATTACTTTTATAAAATTGATAAATATTTGGTTTTTTTTTCATCTCATAATGATGATTCTATGTTTCAGCCGTGTTACCCTGCCCCTTACCGTTGAAGAGGTGAGTTGTCCAAATAGCATTATAATTATTTTTTTAATACTTCTTGAATCGACTTATCATGCAAAAAAATGTCTTCGCACAATTTATATTTGATATCACGATATACTTATGAGATGCAATTCACCTAACCATTAAGTTCTCTATACTTATTGATAACAGTTAATTATTTGTCATTTTGTTGGTTTTATAATTTCCTTGAAAAAAAAAAAGGTTGATGTTACTTCATGGACAAAAATAATCTACTTTTTTTTTTTCTTACACGATGAAAATCTTAACGAAATCTTTTTCTTCTTTTTGAAAATTAGCATAGCCTACTGTATGACTCATGTTTGATATCAAATAAGTCAAGGAACACGTGACACAAATATAAATTATAAAGACATTTTCAATTGATAATGGTTGAATGCAGCTCCTTTCAAAAAATTTTAATTCTATTTATGGAGTGTATCAAATAATTGATGTTCTAGGATGAAAGGACTTGCATTCGATGCCAATTAAAATCAATAGGTTCAATGTGAATTTAAATTTTGCTTAAACAAAAAAAAAAAAGAAAGAGAATTTAAAAATAGAAACAAAAATGAAAATTTGAATTTAATTACATATTTGAAATTTGATGTAATTAGAAAAATCGATTTTCATATTTTTATCCTTATCTGTTTCAGTATCAAGTTGCTCAGTTATATTCTGTAGCAGAAGCTAGTAAAAATAATACAGGAGGAGGAGAAGGAATTGAAGTCCTTAAAAATGAACCATTTAAGGATTATCCATTATTAGGGGGAAAATATTCATCAGGTCAATATACTTACAAGATTTATCATTTAGCGAGCAAAGTGCCTGGCTTTATTCGACTTATACTTCCAAAAAGTTCCTTAGAAATTCATGAGGAAGCATGGAATGCTTATCCATATTGTAAAACTGTTATTACAGTAAGTAACTCCATTTTTTTTTATCAAATTTAATTATTTAAGATTTATGATAATGATATTTTCAGAATCCTGGTTATATGAAAGATAATTTTGTCATTATGATAGAATCATTCCATATTCCTGATACTGGAAACCAACAGAATGTAAGTTATCAATATAAAGAACATTAATTAAGGACAATGAAGAAAATTATGTTTAATTACGTTTAATCTCGTAAAAGTCGTATCAATCTTATATTGCGAAATATAGTTTCTGATTTTAAAATATATATATATATTTAGCTATGAAAGTGACTTGAATTTACAAATTTCAATTGAACTAGATTTATTATAAAAAAAAAATGTTAAAGGCATTGAAATTATTCAACCTTGAAAGATTTGAATCTGAACACAAAAGCTACAATACCTTCAGTATTCAATGCTTTCCAATATATCATTTTCCAAAAGAAAAAGTTTAATATTATAAAATTCATTAGAATTGATTTTTAATCTAAAAAAAAGTAATTAATTTTTTTTTTCTTTCTTTTCAACAGGTACACGAACTACCTCCTGATAAATTGAAACTTAGAGAAATAGTGCATATAGATATAGCGAATGATAGTATTGCTAGTGCAGATTATAAGGAAGATGAAGATCCGACGAAATTTAAATCAATAAAAACAGGACGAGGTCCACTTAATACTAAGGAATGGAAAAATAATGTGACACCAGTTATGACGTGTTATAAACTTGTCACATGTGAATTTAAATGGTTTGGCTTTCAGACACGTGTTGAAAATTTTATTCAAAAATCAGAAAGGCGTTTATTTACCAATTTCCATAGGCAGGTATTTTGTTGGATAGATCGCTGGTACGGTCTTACAATGGAGGATATTAGATCAATTGAAGATAAAACTAAAGAGGAATTAGACAGGGTAAATATTGCAATCATTGTTTATACATTCAAATGATAACAAATTTTAGTTTAAAAAAAAAATTTGAATCTGATAAAAAAAATATTAGTAACTTCTTTAAAAAAAAGAAAATGAAAATGGTGACACGTCCTAGAAAAATTGCATTAAAAATAAAATTTTTAAATAGTTTTCGTTGAAAAGTATCTATCATACATGACCATCGGTAATAAAATATACAAAGCTTTCTCTAGTGAAGTGACAACAATAAAGAATTTTTATATTCTTTTTATTATTTTTCCAATAATAACTTAGAAAAATTCTAATAAAACAATAATTATGGTTTTTTATTTTGCAGCAACGACATCAAGGAGAAGTTCGAGGTATGCGTGCCGACGATTGAGGCTTTTGATAGGTCCTGCTTAATAAGTTTAAACTAATTTCGTTCTAAAAAGAAAAACACAAATAAAAAAGATACACTTCGTACATAAAAAAAAAAAAAAATTCAATTGCCATTTCTAATCCAGTCTGATTGGAAATTTTTTCAGATTATATCTGTCTAGATTCAGTATCTGCTGTATTACTTACAATTTTTAATTTATTTACCTTGTCAAACGTTTTAGATAAATGTACGTACAGTCAAATAGTAACGTTAACTACATTATTAACTTAAAAAAAAAAAAAAATGAGGCGTCGAATAGCTTTAGCTCTAATGACGATAAAGCTAAAAAAAAAGTCTCGACAGAAAATTCAGTATAGATATTTGATTATTAATAATTTATTGATAGTCTAGTAGTTGAATGATAATAATAATAATAATATATCTATTAACGTTTGTTAACATGAAACATGCTCGCTGCAAGACGCATAAGTGATTAAAATGAATGAATGTTTTCAAATGGCAAATTCAGAAAAAGAAAAAGAAGAATTTAAAAAAAAAATAGTTGTGATTTAAAAGAAAAGCTACTGTTTCAATTCTGAAAGTGTTAAGGTAAAATAATAATAATAATTGTAGGTTATAAAATTAATGAAAAACCAAGCAGTCAATGATGCACTTATTTTTATCTCAACGTTTTAGGAGAAATAAGAAGGAAAAAAAATTAATATTATCTGCTTGAAGATAAAAATACACACCGTTTGTGCAATTGTGTTTCAAACGTTAGGGATTTAATTATTAATCAATTGTAAGAAACAGTGCCCTTGTGATTATTGTGTTACTAGGAGACTTATAACAGTTTTTAAGTGCAGCCTCATTTTATTATTTTTTATTTATTTCGCCAAAAAATATACATCTTGTCCAATAATAAAGATATAGATTTTCAATGGTCTTATCAAGTTACCTAAATAGTGTTTTCAAATGACAAAATAAAAAATGTCAGATATTTTCAATTTAGACTTTTAAATAAAAAAAATAAATAAATCTTCAGTAATTTAATAACAATTTTAATGCTACTTACAGAAAAGTTAACTCAATGTAAAAAAATTGGTATTTAATATTAAAAAAAAAAAGTGCGTATAGAATCGAAGTTAGGCTATTTGAATTTTTGATGATGAGTGAATGACATGGATACACTATTGTATATAATTGAATCATACAATGAAATCCAAATTCTTTTTTTCAATTTATGTGGCAATTAATAATAATAATTGAAAATTTTCATTGATTTATTCAAAAAAACAAATATTTACTCTTTGCACAAAGTGAAGACGCCTGTGTCTTTTGCAGATAAAAAAACAAAATTGTTAAAATATATATATCTTCTTCATATATAGTTGTAACGATTTAAATTTTCTTAATCTGTAAATTTTAGATAAAAATTTGAAAAAAGCATTAACTAGCCAATTTCTAACGAATGAATTTCATTGTATGTGATTACAACTATGACTATGTTCTAAAAAAGAAAAGAAAATTACGATAGTTAGCGATTAGTTGTTCCTCATATTGAACAGGATAGCAAAAAAAAAATATTGTCGCTATCCTGTAGCGCTGCCAAAGGGCTGATAGTGAATTTCCCACATCATTCACGTATATATATGTAAATATATATATGTGTAAAAAAAGAAGTGTATATGTATATATATGATAATAGATATATACATATATTAATAATTTCAAGGTGAAGAAGCTAATAAAACTCTAAGATAATAAATAACATATAAAATTTATTTCATTTTAACATTTATATAAAAAGTAGACCATAAATATTGTACGTTTTTTTTTTAGAAACATTTTGAGTAGATAAATATTAAATTCGCATTTTTTCAAAAAAAGCAATTTTAAACACCAATTCATAGTTTTTGGGATAATTCTAATCGTGTAATTTTATTTATTTAATTCGTTTTGAGTATAAAATTTAAGAACTTTAATATGCTTTTTGTTTTATTATAATTTGTAGATTAAATTTTGTTCTTTTCTTTAATCAAAAAATTATTGAAATTAATTTTTTAATTTAAATTGTATTCCTTTATTAGGTTTCCGGCAATCACAAGTTTCTGTATTTCAGAAGTTCCCTCATAAATTTCTGTAATTCTGGCATCACGATAATAACGTTCAGCGGGCATATCACTTACGTAACCCATTCCACCAAGAACTTGAATGCATTGATGTGAACAAAATGTTGCAGCTTCCGAGGCAGCGAGTTTAGCCATTGCTGCTTCCTGTTTTTTTTTTTAAGATTTCAAAAAAAAAATTCAAAATGGTAAATTAATTTTCTAAATTCTATTCACTTTATTATATATTTTTACGAACCTTAGTATATGATTGTTTATTGTCTTTCAGATGAGCCGCTCTCCATGTAAGAAGTCTTGCACTTTCAATTTTTAGAGCCATATCCGCCAATTTTTGCTGAATTATTTGAAGTTTCATAATTGGCTTTCCAAAAGCCATTCGCTTTGATGCGTATTCCATTGCACAATCCAAAGACGCTTGAGCAATTCCCAATGCTTGGCCTGCAATTCCAATTCTTCCGGAGTCTTAAAAAAAAAAACGAATTTTCTATAATTTATTTTCTTTTTGAATAAAGAATTTAAAAAGGTAACAAAATTTATAACTAATAATATTAAAAATAAATTAATTAAGAATTCTTTTTACCCAATGTCATCATTGCTATTTTAAATCCCATTCCGGGTTCACCGAGCATATTCCCAACAGGTACGGGACAATCTTCAAAAATTAATGAAGACGTACTGCTTCCACGTATTCCTAATTTATCTTCTTTTTTGCCAAGTGACAAACCATTTGTAGGCTTATCAACAATAAATGCACTGATACCTTTATGCTTCATTGATTTGTCAGTTGTTGCAAAAAGAATAATACCCTCTGCCTCATAGGCATTTGTAATCCATGCTTTTGTTCCATTAATAATATAATTATTTCCATCTAATTTTGCAATAGTTGACGCAGCACCAGCATCTGAACCATTTCCCGGTTCAGTTAATGCAAAACAACCAATTTTTTTATCTCTCAAAAATGAGGTAACATATTTTTCCTTTTGCTCTTTGTTACCAAATTTTTCAATTGGTCCAAAATAAAGTGTATTTATTACACTCATTATAACTGCTGTACTTGCACAGCCTCTCGCTATTTCTTCCATTACAATTGCATAGGCCAAATAATCTAATCCACTTCCACCTAATGATTCAGGTGTACTTACACCTATAAATCCAAGATCTATCATTTTTTTTATTTGTTCCGCTGGAAATTTGTGTTCCTTGTCGATTTTTCCTGCTATTGGTTTTAATTCCTCTTCCGCAAAACTCCTGTGAATGGGATTTTTTTTAAATAATTGAAATTTCTAAATAACAAAAAAATTTTTTTGTTTTATTAAAATCGAAAAATATTGAAATATTAAAAATTTTCTTTTTCTGACAATATAGATTAACATTTTACAGAAAAGTTCTTTTTTAGAGTAAGGTCATCCCTAGATATTTAATTTAAAACTTTTTTTATAAAGTTGTCAATGACAAATATATGTACATATTCAACCTTTGGATCTTTATATCACACTAATTTAAATTTCCACTAAGGAAACAAGAACAATTTGTAAAAACTGAAAACTTCAAATTTTGAGATATATTTATTAAAATAAAAATATATTAATATTCCAATATTTTTTTTTCATATTTCTTTTTTCAGTAAAATAAAAAATATATATAATTAAAATATAAATTAAAAAAATATATGTTTATTAAAATAAAAAAAATAATTAAATACCTGCATGTTTTATAAAGAATTTGATGTGTTTCAGGAAGAGAAGCAATTGATGCAATACCACGTTGCAATTTAAGAGCTCCCTTGAATGCTCCTAAAAACAAAAATTTTAACAAAAAAAATTAATTACATTTTGATAATAATAATAATTAGCGTCTCTACGTCAAGTGATCGCAATTTTTATTATTATGGTAAATTTTTTATTAAATTGATAATTTTGATTCCTTTATTTAAATAAAAAATCTCAAGTATTTTTGAAAAATTCAAAATATTGCAAATTTTTTGTAATTTTATTTTTGGCAAATTTTAATCAATCGAGATGAATTTTTTTTTAAATTACTCGTATTTAGATGCTCTTTCATGAAAAAAAAAATATTGGAAAAGGAAAATTGTAAAATTTTAATTGTTATTAAAAAAACAATTTTAATTGTTTAAATAAATCGAAATTATCTTCGATTTTTTTTGATTCATGAACATTTTTTGAAAAATTTAAGACCTTGAAAAAGATCAAAGTTTTCGAAAAAAAAAAATTTATTTAGTTATGTTAGTGTGAATTGCCACATGTCAACGCGACATGCGCAACGTTAACGCTTATGGAATACAAGGTCTTAAATACGAGTAATTAAACAAAAAAAAATTTATCCCGATTGGTTAAAAAATTACAGAAGTTATAATAAATAAAAAAAAAATTTAATTTGCAATACTTAAAAAATATTTTTAATTTTTCAAAAATACTTAGAATTTTTTAATTTAATTTTGAAAAGGAACCCAAATTTTATAATTTCATAAAAATTTATCAAAATACCAAAAATCGGTACGATCATTTGATGTGAAGTCGCTCTAATAACAATAATAGAAGATTATATATAGAAAGAAAAATATATATACCAAATACTTTTAAACTCTGCATAGTAATTTATTAATTGTTATAAAAAATATACTCAAACAAAAAAAAAAGTGAAAATAAGACCTACTTAACTTTGACCGATTTGTTAATTAATAAGAACTGATTTTATTTAAACAACTATACTATCCAACCCAAGCCAAAACAGTTGCACATTGACCGTACAGTAGTAGAAGGGATTAATGTGGGGAAAAAATTTTTTTTCCCCAAGATTAACTTAATAAATAATTATAAATTTTGTAAATATTTATTAATAGATTTTTTTTTAATAAATTATTTTTAAAAAAATGAATTTTTTCAAAAAAAATTTTTTTTTTTAATTTTCTAATGGAATAAATAAATAATAATAATCAACCAATTGCGAGCTGTAAAACTAAAATAGTTATTTATTTTACAATTGGTTGATGATAATTCTTGGAAGTAAAAACGGGACTGGAATTTTACCAAATGACCAATCTCTTGAAGAACAAGTTTTTGACCAGGGAACTTGAGGTTGTGATCGCGTCTTTACTTTCAACCGGTTTGTATTACTTTCCGAGAGCGGGAATGTAATTTTATATTTAAATTATTCTAATTTTTTATTATAAATTTAAAATAATAATTCTATCATTATTGGAAGAATTTTGTAAATGTTTATAAAATATTGAAAATTCTAATTGTACTTAATTTTTAGAAAAATATTTAAATACTTAAAAAATATTGCAAATTTTTATTTAAAAAAAAATTATTTCTAATATTTCTATTTCAAAAACACATTTTTCTCGTTTTTTGTTAAAAAATTTTTTTATATTTATTTTTCAATTTAATTTTTGTTTTTTATTTCCAGATTTTTATTATTTGAAATAGAAAAAATTAATGGACCATTGACTCTTTGTTCTAAAGTGATAAAAATGCACGAAGTGCCACAAGTTTATATTTATAAAAAAAAAATATGTCACATGACAAAAACGTAAAGATATGATAAACGTGAGTACAAGAAAACCAGTATTTTATGTAATCAAACAAACTGATAATTATTTATATTATCTATTCAGAAAATATTTTTTCAAATTTTACTATTTTCAAAAATAAAATATTTTTTTTAATTTTCCCAAAAAAAAAAATTAATAGAACAATTATTAATTATTATACAATAATAAATATTCGAGAAAATAATTTTATATATGCATTAAGTAATTTTTACAAATTTTTTTTGGAAAATAAAAGTAATTTAACATTATTAATTTATTATATTTTTTAATTTTATTTATAGATTTGGATTATTTATAAAATTAATTTAAACATACCGCCATTGTATAAGGGAGGTTGAAGAAAAATCAATATTAGAAGAAAACCACCCCCATACGCATGTACAAAGATAACTTTGATATAATAACGATAGGCATCTGTTACAATTTTATTATTTGTGTGTATAGAGAAGCGACTGAAAAAAAAAATTGATCGAAATTCCTATAATATATTCTATAAAGGGAAATAGACCCCTCTATTAAAAAAAAAAAATGTCTGGAAATAAGTGTGTCAAGCCTCCCCGGAAAGCTTATGTGAAAGAACCTCATGAGATGACTCACACTGAGAAGCTAAAACTTATTGATGATGAACTTAATTCTTTTTATAGGTATATCATAATTAAAAATAAATTTTTATTTTTATTAATAGAATAATTCTTTTATTTGTAACATTGATTAAATAGAATTTAATTTGATAATTGTAAATTATAAAAAAAAAATTAAAGATTTTTATATTGTAATATTTGAAATTTGTAGATATTGTCAACAGGCTGGCTTTACAGAAGATGAAATGGATATTATTTGTCAACCATTGGTTGCTGCAATGAGAAAATCATGGTTACAATTATTTTTTCGAGCAACAGTACTTTTAGTAATTATTGGTACTTTGGCATGTTTGATTGCTCAAATGGATTTTCTTGGTACTCATTTTACAGCTGTTAGCAGACTTCTTTTAATCAAAGTATTACCAATTTGGAATTGGCAACCACTTTATTATGAGAATTGTATGATTAACAATCCATTTTACAATGATTATACAGTAACCGAAGAAGATTGTGTGGTAATTAAATTTTTTTCGTTTCTTTTAATAAGAAAAAAAAATTTTTTTATGATACTTGCAATTTATTTTATTTATTTATTATTAATTAATCATTATTAATAATAATATTAATTAATAATAATATTAATTAATAATTAATAATAAATAAACACTAAAGAAGTATTACGAATTAGAAAAATTTCAATTTGGAAAAATATATTTGATATTTTTTATTTTCAGACATGTGAAGCATTGGAGAACATTGATCGTTTATCAGACGTGAGATATCGAAATTTGGTTGATAATTATTTAAATCGTGATGCACCGGCAATTATAACAGATGCCATGAGTTCCTGGCATGTCATGAATACTGATTATTTTTGGTTCGACAATATTACAAATGTAATTAACAATTTTTTTTGAAATTATTTTAATCCCAAAATTGAAAAAATTCAATTTTCTAATAACTTTCAAGAAAATTTAGGAAATTCTATTGTATTATTTATAAATCTTTTTTTTTAAATATTTTTAAAATTCAATAATTGATAAATAAAATTATTTAAAATTATTTTTTCAAATTTAATAATTTTAGGTAAAATTTAAAATTATTTTAGCTCTATTTGGAAAACGAACGTTTAATGGAGACAGTGCCATGTTCATTGACATCAAATTTAAGAACAGGATCATCAGATTTAGCAGCATTTTTACGAAGAGTTCATTCACCAGGTGTTGCAAAATGGTTTGTTCATTGGCAAAATTGTGATATAAATGCAGTTAAAGTTCTAAGGAAATATTATCAACGACCATATTTTCTATCAAGTACCGTTTCACCAGCACACTTTAATTGGGTTCTTATGTCATCAGATTATAATAGTCCCAATTATAAAAAAGTTGAACTTGACTCGGGATTAATTGCACTAGCACAATTAAGAGGAGCCACACAACTTAGGCTAACGCCAATTAATCCCTGCAATAGTTCATGTCCCGAACTCATTGCTGATTTACATCAAGGCGAAATGTGTAAGAAACAAAAAAATATTAAAATTAAATAATAAATTTAAAAATTAATTTATTTAATTTCTGTTTCAGTAATTTTTACTAATTTAATGTGGAATTTGGAATACGCACCAATGAGAGGTTTGGATAATATAGCAATTCTCACAGAAACAGTTTGGGAAGAGGACTCATGAAATTTATAAAAAAAAAAAAAAATACACACACACAAATCGTTAATCTTTTAACTTCTTGATGTAGCCCGTGAAACTTCCATATATTTACCAAAAAAATGTTTGCTCACGGTAAAAAGGAACAAATATATATATATTAATTTTAATTCATTAATAAAATGATTTTTTAAATTATTTTTCAGTGTTTTTTTCCGTCATATATTTTATAAATATAATTTTTCTTATTATTAATTCATTTTTTAAAAAAATCCAATAATATTTCTAGAATAAAAAAATGAATTTGTTTCAAAAAGAACAACAAAGAATTGAAGAGTGTACGTATATTTATTTGGCGCATTACAATTCTCTAGAAAACCGTCGAACAATGGATCGGAGGTAAAACTAAAAGACAAACTGAACTTTGTACATCGGTCAGGTAAATATCGAAATAAAATTCCTCGCAGTTCCTCGATTATCATACGGCAGTCTTTGCACTTATCCTAAGAGTTTTCGAATCACACTGATTATTTAAAGCCGATTTATTTTTTTTTCTTAAAGAAAAGCAAAGATCGAACGTCTTTTTATTTTTTTTGAAACTGACGAGGCGCCGATCCACCACCCTCAAAAAAAAAAAAGAAAAAAAAAAAAAAAAACAGTTCCCTTCTTTTTTTTCGACGTTATACAGCCTTTCGAATATCGAGGACCTTAATTATTATCTTCTAAAATCGATATAATAACTGCAATCGTATCGATTAATTTTCTTTTTATGCGCAACGGCGCGCCTTAAACGTGCATTTTTCTTAGCTTTCCTCCTTTTTTTTTTAATACTTCTTTTTTTTTTTCCTAACAATTTCTTACACTCTCCTGCGTCGTTTTTATTTGCTTAAATACGCAATTTTCAATATTTCTTAAATTTCTCTCAATATAACTTGGTTAAACGCCATAGATATAATTTCAGCATATAATGTACCAACGTTTTTATTTTTTTTTATTCTCTTATCTTCCTATTACTCTCGTAAATCTCTGGCGAAATAAAAACTAAAGGTATATAGATATACTTTGTACAAAATACGATACAAGTAGCGATGTAACAACGATTTGCAATAATTAAATATATGTATACGTATGTATATGTTTATATATATATATATGTATATATAATATTTATAATATAATATATAACATATATTGTATATATATATATTATTTATACGTATATTTATATATATATATGTATATTATTTATAAATCATTATTTTATGCTATTATGCGTACACACGTGCAAATATTGCACCCACTGTCATTTTTCTCCTCTCACTTGATGTACCCGATTTTTTATTTTTATAATTTATACATATATAATTGTAAATAAATTTACAAAAATTATATGTATAAATTTTTATCGGGTATTGACTAAGTTATTTCATTGGTCCGTCAAGACCAATAAATTTCTTAGTTTTAATTAATTTTATATACTTCCTAATTTTTATATACGTATATATTCATTACCAAAAAAAATTATCGACTTTTTTTTTTACAAAGTGATCTTTCATTCAATAATGAGAAAATACAATAATTAACAATATTGTGATAATTACAGTATGAATTTTAAAAAAATGTAATAAATTTATTCTATTAATTTGATTTTTAATTAAAATTAAATTCTACTTTTTTTTTACATCCATCATTTTGTATTTGCATAAATAATTTTTTTTTCTATCTAATTCAATTGAATTGTTAAAAATTATTTTTTAATAATTAATTAATAATTACAAAAAAAAAATTTGAAAGCTATTTCTCAAATAATTTCTAACGGTAATGTATATATTTTTTTCACATAATTATTAATAATTTACTATTAATAAATATTGATGAATATTTATTAATGGTAAATTACTAAAAAATTTGTCTAATTATACACGATTATGGTGAACAGCTGACAGATTCTGGCGGGTGTATTTCGGCGCATCGTCATACGTATATACGATTGCGATAGCAAGCTAAAGACTTTTTTTTTTTTTTACTTATTTATTTAATTATTTATTTAGTTTTTTTGTTTGTTTGTTTGGAATGCGACAGAATATTTTACAACTTACAATTTTCAAAATTTGAAAAGTGATAGTCGAGTGGATTTCTTAACATTTTTTTTTCTCCCCTTATTGTAGCGAAAGTATCATTAATATTTGAGTATGTACCACCACGAAATAATAAAAAAAAAAATCCATTATTTTCTTTTTTTGTCTCTCCTTTTTGTTTTCTCTGTATATATATGAAAACAATTTCTTTACTAATAAAATTTAATTTCTGTATTTTGAAACATATTTAACATTGTTTTATTATAACAATATTATATTTTTTTAAACTATTTAAATTAAAATGTGATAGCAATTTTTCAACAATATTCGTTTTTTCTTGATGATATAATTTTTTTTTTTGGATAATTTATCGTTTTTTGTTCGATGATAATTTCCGTATAATTTATTATCATCAATATTCGTTTTTTTTTTCTTCAAGCTATTATAATTATTATTTGGTTATTAATTTAAGAAGTTTTCTATCAAATTGCTAATATATTATTAATGATAATAACAGGTATAATAAATTCGTATTTATCAATATTTTTAATCATTAAATATTGATAATAACAGCTGTAATACTTATGAAAATGTTTAAAAATTAAATTTATGTACACATGAACTTATTATAAATGTTAATTTGTTTTTATTTTTCTTTTTTTTTTAAAGAAGAAATTAATATTTCATCTCTTAATTTATCAATCTTTCATCTCGTGCGTAAAATATTTTCTTCAGAATTTATAACAATCATTGGATATTGGATTTATTGAAACTTTCAGATTTTAATATAATATCTTTTAATAGGATATAATAATATTTCTTTTTTTTTTTTATAATTTCGAAATAGAAAATTTTTTGAAATGTAGATATGGGAAAATGTTCTAAAGAAAAATATATCCTAAAATCCGTTTGGGATTATCTTTTTCTTTTTTTTTACATACAATAAATTATTAATTAAAATGAATTAGATAGAAAAATTTGAATTTCGTGGTGGTTGACAGCTGCCTTGGACATTTAACAAGCTGTCTTAACTTTCAGATGAGCATGTAAATAGGGCTCATTATAGTTTTATTATAGAAACGTTTAAATATTATTCACAATGGAAATAAGAATTTTTTTTTTTTTGTGGAAATTCCAAATTAAATTTTTACATTTAGAAAGTAGATTTTGATATTGAATCGAATTTTCATATTTAAAAATATTTAATTTTTTTCTAAATAAAAATCCCTAATTATGAAAATTCAATTCAATGGAAAATTCTACCAATTTTCGATAAATTGGAATTCGAAAAAAATTTCCTTATGAATAATGTTCATTCGTCCTTTTTTTTATTAATGTTTTTTTAATTTTATTTTTTATTTTTCGAAGAGATTACCCACAAATTGGTCAGGATCAATGTCCTTAGACTTGCTGGTAAACTCAAAAGCTTACTAAAAAAAAAAAAAAAGAAGAAAGAAATAAGTTGTGTTCAAATTTTTTTAATTTTTTTTTTTTTTCTCGAAGAACGACAACTATTTTTCAATGATAATCGTTTATTGTCGTACCACGAGAACTAGGCAATCATTCTTCATTCAGAAACATACTCGGTTTTTTTTTTTCTTCACGATAAATTAACGATTAGCTTCTTTTTAAAATTTTAATAGATATGATTATTGTTTGTTTCAGGGTGAGGCATCTCAAGGCACGCCCGCTTCCTGTTCATCTTCATTTATTTATTTATTTTTTTTTTTTTATTAATACTCTATCGCACTATTCGATAACTATTGATGGTATTTTTTCATCCTATGTGTATCTCGTCCGCAGTTTCCATTTTTGAAAACCTTTTTCTCACCATCTTTTACAAATGAGAATGCAATAATTGCACGATAAGAAATTTTTCGTAAGAATTATTTTTTTTTTAAAGCTTATTTTGCTGGAGAGAGATCAACTCTTTAACTGTCTAAAGATATTATATTATTATTTTTTTTTTATATAGAAGTCTTGTAATTGAAAGTATTTGAAGTCTTATTCTTCTGATAGAAGGGGAATAATTTTTTTTTTTTTTTTTTTGACATCGAATATGAATCTTTTATCATATTTTCATTTTTTTTTTCTAACAAGTCCTTTCAAAATGTTTCCCATCCATGCGAGGAATTAGTGAAAAAAGAAAGAGAAAGAGAGAAAGAGAATCTATAATTATTGTTCATTTTGGACTAAAATTTATACATATCAGGCTTATAGGCCTAATAAAATACTTATATCAGCGCTTTTTTTAAAAAAAAAAATCCTTCTCAATACTCTTGACCTCTGCGGACAATAAACGGGGCATCGACAGACTCGGACGACGTCAATCGTTTTAGGACGACAAATGTTTCGTATTTCGTTCGTTCGAGATGATCATTTTATCAGAATGAACATCATTTGCCAGACGGATAATATATTTATTTATATATATTATATTTATCCAGCAGCATCGGCGGCAGTAGCAGCAGCAGCAACAACAGTGGCGGTAAAAAAAAATTTTCATCATTGTGAATAATTTTTTTTTTTTTTTTTTTTTTTATAGTCTATACAGTCTCCTCTCTTTGTTTATACATTGTCCAGGAATGAGATATGTAAAATTCGTTTTTTTCGATCACATACCGATGATCATTAACGATTTTTTTTTTTTATTTTTACTCCAGGATCAAGAAAAGGAGAGTAAATAACGAATTGAAATAAAATCGAAATAAAAAACTCACTTGCCTAAACCAAATTTCATAAAGATGAGTTCTTTTCCTTTCGATAGAATATCACCACCAGCACTTGCTCCTGCCATTTCGGTGAATTTTTGCATGAGATTCGGTCCAGCGCTTTGTTGTTGTTGCTGTGATTGTTGCTGTTGTTGTTGTTGTGGCATTTGTTGTGTTGATTGCGCAGTTGGTATAACAGCAGGTATTCCACGTATTTGTTTATTTTGACCCTGAGGGCCCTGCATCGATGGGCCTTGATTTTGTGAATATTGTTGTTGCTGTTGCTGTTGTTGCTGCTGTTGTTGTTGCTGTTGTTGAAATTGAGGATTTTGTTGACCAAAACTTTGCTGCTGATATCCTTGTTGTTGATAGCCCTGATTTTGTTGACCCTGTTGCATTTGTTGCTGATAGGGTTGATTTCCCGGTTGACCCTGTTGCTGAAGATGCGGCGCACCCTGAAGACCACCTGGCATATTACTACCAACGACCCGATTGCCCACGCCTCTCCCCCTCCCCTGAAAAATTGCATAAATTTTAGTTTTTCTCTCTCTCTCAAAAAAAAAAATCAATTTATTTATTCTCTCGCGGATAAAATATTCTCTAAATCTCATTACAGACGATTTTTTAGTGAATCGAATTTTTTTTACAGAATCTCCGAAATAAAAATTAAGTTATTCGATCTTATAGATTTCGAAACACTAAAAATTCAAACTGATTTTTAGATAATAATATCCAGCAAGAGAATTTTTTTTTTCCACACAGTCGAAATCTTGAAATTTTTATTAATAGTAAAAATATTTAATAAAATATAAACATTTTTCTAATTGTAATGAAAATAATTAAGAAACTAATTTTTCAAAAACAAAATTCTTTTCCCATTATAAAACAATTGAAAAAATGTATTTTTAACTGTATATCTTATTCTAATGTTCTTTTTAATACATGCACAAAAGATAAATTATCATTACAAATGGTTTTTTTTTTGTACGATATATCTTATTCTATAATACTAAATACATTTTCTATCGATGAAACTCTTCTTACAAAAAATTATTAAATCGTCTTTTTGAAATAATTACTTTTTTTTTTACAAATAATAATAATGTTATTGTGTTTGCGTGACATCGGCAGTGAGATTTTCCACAAAAAACAGACATTTCTAAGCAAAAAGCGAATAATGTGAGAATGTACTAAAAAAAAAAAATTTTATTTCCGTTGGTAAAAAAAAATATTGTTTAATACTAACAAAAAATTTGCTTGGCTCTAATTAAATGCTATGGAAAAATTAAATTATTTCCAATTGAATCGATTGATTTCCGGATTTGGATCTCTGAAATAGTCAAAATGACAGCGTAGCGCAAAAAAAAATTTCTATATATGTATTAAAAAAAAAAGCATTGTAAAATTGCAAGGCAGCCAGAGATTATGCAAACATGCTGTGCTAAGACATTCTGACTATAAGAGAGATCTCCAATCGTTTCGTTTAGTTAGAAAAAAAAAATTTTTTTCACAAATTTCAAGTAAAATTAGCAAAATTAAATTTTATTAACTAAAATCAGCAATACTATCAAAAATAATACCTAAGAAATTATATCTATTAATAATTAAAATTTTAAACAATAGAATATAATATAAAAACAGTTTTTGAAAAATTGATTCATTAGTTTCAAAATTTATAAATAATAAAAAAAAAAAAAAGAAAAATTGGAAATGAGAAAAAGACGGAAAAATCGATGAACTATTTATATAAAATATGAAACATTGTCTGTCGGTCCGTTTCGTAGAATTTTGGGACAAGTGCACTCACCTGTTGTTGAAGATGGGGTGGCATGGTACCTTGTTGATGGGCATTATGTACACCCATTGGTCCATGTTGATTTGACGTGGTTACAGTCGTGTAGCTGTGGTGATTCGCTTGTTGGTACGCTAGATGCGGTGGATTGTTTTGTTGATATTGTAGTTGATGTTGTTGGTTGTTCATTAGTGGTTGTTGTTGTAGTTGTCTAGAGTCTAAGTGACAGACAGGGACAGACACAGGCACAATGCAGGCATCTAGCAACAGAGAAGAGAACAGAACCGTGTTGTCATTTATGGCTCATTTTTTTTTTCTCATTTGCAATTTGCCCCTACCGTACTTGAATTTTATCAAAAATATATATAAAAAAATCTCCATCTTCTTTAAAAATAAATTTTCTAATTGAATATAAAAAAATTAAATTGTAATTTAAGATTTAAAAAGAAAAAGAATTTTGAAAAAACGAGATGGAATTTATTAGTACGGTTGAAGCTATTTGCGACAAAAAAAAATTTCTTAACTATTGCATAAAAATTCGCGTAAAAATTTTTTTTTAGTAAATTTTGTAAATATTTTTTTTTTTTTATAAAATTTGTATTTATTTGTAAATGGCCAGCATGACAACACGACACGAACGACAATCATGTGACACGACGACCATCGACCAGTTCAGGCACACAGAGACAAATATTGTCGGAATAATATAGAAATAAGAGAAATAGAGAGAGAATATACACATTGTCATTATTATACAGCAACGTGATCGTATTATATATATATAATCAGTTGAAAAAAGAAAATATGAATGTATATTTTATAATATTTATATTTATATATGTATATATAGACAGAGAAAATAGAATAGATGTAGTAGAAGAAGTAATGGAGCAAGTAAGTGCTCGGAGAGAGATAGAACAAATATATGTATATATACTTAATAGAATACATTGAAAGCAGCTTGGTGTTCATTGCATTTTGTCATGTGTTCCTATATATATATGCCAGCTTTTGTCCCTATGCCAACAATATTTTTCTTTTGCACCTAAATTTTAATTTAGTTGCACTAAAAATTACTTCATATAATTTAATTTTTTAATATTTTAAAAAAAACAAATTTTTTTATTTCTTTATATTTTAAAAGTGCAGTCACTCTTGCAAAAAAAAAAATTCACACAGTGCAATGCAAAAATAAAACCGCGAAGCAATGTCTCGTCGCGTAATAATGTTGGCTTCTTTTTGAAATTTTCATGATGTAAATTTTTGTGTAAATATTCGTGATGATGATGATGATAATAATATACAAGTACTTTTGTACGTTTTCCTGTGACCCATCTGCCTGTCGTCTGGCACATCGAGTCTCGTGTCTTGTATTGCTTGCCGTCTACTTTATATTATCTTTAATCGCACTGATATATTTTCAACAGAACAAATTTTTTGCCAGAAAAAATAAGATAAATTTTTTTTTTATATAAATATTATTAATAAGAAAATTATTCGATTTTTGTTGGATAAAAAATGTTTGAATATCAATGCGAATAAAGTTTTAGCCGCGGCATCCGGCGTTAAGAGACAGAAATAAATTGAAGAGGATTATTTATTATTTATTATTTAAAAAAAAATAGGAAATAATTGTCTACCTTTATTACGTCGATGACCTGGAGGAGGGGGTTCACGTGGGGGAGGAGGAGGACCTCGAGCACCAGGCCCTTGGCCTTGGCCTGGAGGTCTTCTGCTCCCTTGGCCTTGTGGGCCTTGAGTTTGACTACAAGCTTCTGTCAAAAAATTACTTGGTACAAGACCACGAACTCCATTTAATTCACCCATGTAAAAACCATCAGGATCCATGTCTCCATAAACAATAATCTCATTTCCAGTTTGAAAAGACAGTTCTACTTGCTGGAATTTTTTTTTATTAATTTAATTTTTAGAATGAATATTTAAATTATATTAGATAAATAATAGCAAAAAATAGAAACCTCAGCATCAACGTTGGGTGATAATTCCTGAGGATCGTAATCATAGAGAGCAATCATTCTTTTAGATGTAACATTTGAATAAATATCACCCCATCGATCACCGGATACTTGTCCAATTCTTCTCGTTTGACTTTGAACTTGTCCACCTTGATTTTGATCCTTCATTTCTTCGACCATATTGTGCGGTACATATCCACGTCTTCCACGACATTCACCCCAATAAAAACCATCAGGATCTTTCTCGCCAAAAACCTAAATTTTATTATTTCTTTAATAATTCTATTTTTTAAAAAAAATATTCTAAAAATTGAAAACAAACCTTAATACTGTCGCCTTCATTAAATCGTAATTCTTCCTCACATGCGTCTGGATTTGGTGACATTGTAGTGGGATCATAATCATAAAGTGCAATAAACCATCTTGTCCTCATATTCGCTTGTTGAGCACCACCTGGTTGATGATGTGACACACCTTGAGCTTGTGCACCTCTTCCTCGATGTACTTGTCCTCCTCTTCCCCTTTGGCTCGCAACTAAAATTATATTCCCTCTTTTATTATCACAAATATAATTTTTGATCCGTTAATAATCCAAAAAAAATTATTTAAAAACAAAAGATTTTTTCAAATCTAAGTTTTTTTCTGAAAGAATTATTGATTTTTAATACTCACAATAAAAAAAATTTTAATTGTCAGAATTTGACGATTCTAATGAGAAAATCGATATATTTTTTCCTGTTCAAAATTTCAAATATAATTTTTACCTGTTTGATCATAATAAGGATCTTGTCTTATTGTTGAAGCCGTTTTAGTTGATCGATGAACTTCTGGTGTTCTCGGTGCATAAGGATCGCCTCGATAACCATAACGTTGTCCTTGTACCATACCTCTACCTCTTCTCGTTGGATCATCTTCTTCACTATAATTCTCACTAGCCGAGTCTTTTGTAATTTCTGGGATTCCTAAAAATGTAAAAATACATACAAAATTTATAAGAATAATAATAAATAAAAATAACAGAGTGTCCAACAATTTTTGAAAAAAAAATTCAAGGTCCACTTTCAGCCTAGAAACTATGAAAATATTTTTTATTTATAAGAATGTTTTGTTTTCTCAATAAATACAAGATGAATAAGTAGAAATAGAAGCATTTGAAAAAAAAATTGAAAAAATTTTCGAATTAGAATTCGAAAAAAAATCTTTGTTCTGTTTGTAAAAATAAATGAACGAATTCAAGGTTTTGATATAAAATTCAAGGAATTTCAAAGTTAAAAAAAAATTCAAAGTCCGCTGGACATTCTGAGTAAATAATTTCCATTTCAAATAATAATAATCACCCATTTGGGAAATACTTTGTCCAGGATAAATTTCCTTATCGGAAAGATTTTCATCAGTTTCAATAATCACTTGTCCATGAGCGTCCACCCTTGTATTGTGCCTTCTTAAATGTGGTGGAATTTGTGAATTTGGATAACGTTGACCAATACCAATCATTCTATGTGGATCATCAATTGTAACAATACCCGATTGTTGTTGTTGTTGTTGCGTTTGATCGATCATATGCTGTGGATTATGTTGTAAATGAGCAGGCCCACCACGCAATACACTGCATGGTATTGCTGTTGCGCAACTATCGCCAGATTGACTCTCTCTACTTTTGGTTCTGACCGTAATGTGTTTTGGATTTAAGCCCATTAATTTATGTATGTCAACGAGAGCATGGTCACCAGTAGGACTGTCAACATCAGTGACCTTCTTCCCGTCGGCGTAAACCGAGTAACCGGTGACGGCCGAACCGTTTAGGGCAACAGGCTGCCAGGTCACTAGCAAAGTGCCGTCCTGCGGTCCAGCCTCCACCTGTAACACGTGATAAACAATAAATTAATTAGACCGGCAATTCAGTGCAATGTGCAATCAAAAAATTCTTGTGATTAAAAAAAAAATAATTTAAATGAATTTAATTCCAACCTGGATATCGACCGGAGGATCCGGAAGTCCTTTGGGCAATGTTTTAAAATGAACGTGGCAGGCCTGATTATTTGCATGTTGAGCATTTTGATCTTCGAAATTTGTTGCTCTTAAATTTTTTGCCTTCACGGTAACACGATATATTGTTGATGGCGCTAAACCAGTGATTGTATGACGATAAACACCTGGTTTTACGGTTCTTACTTCAACATTATTAACACAAACCACATGTTGATGATTACTATTACTTGGTAACCAGGAAATAACTGCACTCGTTGCCGTAACATTTGATGCCTTAACAGCAGTAGGACCCATTGCAACATCTTTTCCAATCACCATTGTACATGCAGCGTCTCTTGATGTTCTTCGTGAATGCGTCACAGAGCGTACGCTTATTCTGTGAGGCTATTTATAAAATAAATTTTTCAATTAAAATAAAATAAATTCTTATCTTAAAAAAAAACCTACTAAAAAGAAAAATTATTATTAGTATAAATCATGCGTGTTTATTTTATTATAATTGAAATGTAGGTTCGTTTTTTTTTTTTTATCTACGAACCCTGGTTGAATCGACGCCTTCAACGAGTGCTCTGGTCCTCTCGGTGGCTTTTACCGTCACTTTAAGAACACCATCCACGTAGACGTGATACGATTCCAATTGATGGGGATTTTCCGGTGCCGTCCAGCCAATCAGAACGCTCTTGTTTAGTTGACGCTCGAGTGTGAGATGTTGAGGCGCCGGAACTAGGTCCGAAAACAGGTAGACTTCTTCAGGAGGAAAAAGACAAGACAAGCCTAGCTGTAGCTAAATATTGCACTAGGGTATCTATCTCTCTAAAGCGAGCCTAAATTCTCTGCTTCAATTTTATCCCACATGACGATACTTACTTAAAATTTTTTTTTATATAATCTTCTGTAGTTTCTAAATTTCTAAATTCTTTCTATGAAAAAAAAACCCCTAACTAAACTTTATTCTAAAAACTGATTTCTAGACATGAATTTAGTTTCTCTAACATCTAAACTTCAATCTTTTCCGGACTCTATCTATTTTGTTATCCCGAAAAGCCCTTAATTATAAGCAAAGGAAACTTGCAAATAGAAGCTTTCTTTGTAAACATGCGATAACTTGTATTTTTAATTTCTGTTAAATTTTCATTTATCTAACATGCAGTTGTGATGAAAAAAAAAATTTATCCTTTGAAAAAAAAATAATTGGAAAAACCTTGTTGTAGCATATAAAAAGCTTATTTTTATAAATCTGACATCAAAACTCACCTGGAGGTTCTTGTTCATCTTCCTCGGCTATATTGTCAAGTTCTGCATACGCCGATAATTCAGCTTGTCGATTACGATTCCCTTCCTCAAGAGCCGCTAATTCCAAATCAATATCCTGCAAATAACACTGAGAAACAAATTTTAATTAATTTTTTTAATTTTTACATTTCGAAAAAAAATTGGCAAATATTTTTTTTTTCAATCTACCTGTGGAATATTAGTAGAAACTGAATCATCAACATCTCTTAATCCAAGAACAGCTTGATGAAATTCCAATAGATCATCGCCAACAAGTTTTTGTACAAAATTCGCTGGCACTAATCCCCTTCGACCGTCTAATGTTTCGGCATCGAGAAAACCATCGTCATCGGGTTGACTCCAAACCAAAAGATAATCACCACCTTGTACTGGTAATTCAGCTTCAGGATTTTCATTTGGTGAATGTTGAAATGGCTCATATGTAAACCTTGCAATATAAACGTAACATCTTCCTTTTCCTGGTATATCTAACATATCAACTTGTCCCTCGGGTATCATTGGCTCATTTGTCAATCGATCTAATGGATTTGTAAGAATGCCTGTTGGTATTTTTGGCATTTGTCTTTGTCCAAGATAATGATGACTCGTTGTTCCAGCAACTGTCGGCGATGTTGAACGTAGACTTTGTTGTATTTGATGAATTATTGCTTGTTGTTGAAGTTGATTTGCTTGTGATTGAGCAGAAAGTTGTTGCATCGCATGAAGTGGATCGCCAATTGCTTGCAATAAACCACCCGATGATGCTCCTGTAGGAAATATTATTGGAAATTTATAAATTAATTAATAAAAAAAATTAAAAAATTAAATTACAAATAAATAAATTAATTAATAAATTAAATTATAATGGGCTTCGAAGTGTAGTAGATTACTAAAAAAAAGTAATCAAAACCATTAAATTTGAACTTTTAAGAATAATTAATTTTTAATAAGCTAAATTTGAAATTTTTGAAAATAATAAATAAATGTTTTAATTTTAATTCATCAGTTTGAAAATAATTAAATAATCAAAGACTTTTAATTGAACATTTTCAAATTAATTTAACATTCTAAGAATTACAGTTGAGATTTTTGAAAATAATTGAATTTTTAAAGATATTGATTGAAAATTCTTTAAATAATTGAATTTTTAAAGAAATTTATTGAAAACTTTTTAGATAATTTAATTTTAAAGAATTTTAATTAAAAGTTTTTTAAAAAATTGAGTTTTCAAAGAAATGTGGTTAAAAATTATTTAAATAATTATATTTTTGTAGAATTTTCACAGGTATTTTTGAAAATAGCTCAAATTGTGAAGGAATAATTATTACAAGTTTTGAAGAAAACTTAATAGAAAAAAAATTGAATAATTGAAATAATAAAAAAATAATTGAATCTTAAAGTATTTCAATGTATATTTAGTTTTTTAAATAATGTAATTTTTAAAGAATTTTAGTTGAAGATTTGAAAATTATTGGATTTTTTAACAATTTTAATGGAAATTTTTGAAGATAATTGAATTTTTAAAGAAATTTATTGAAAACTTTAAAGATAATTTAATTTCAAAGAATTTTAATTTTAATTTTTTTTAAAAAATTGAATTTTCAAAGAATTGTGGTTAAAAATTATTTAAATAATTATATTTTTGTAGAATTTTTACAGGTATTTTTGAAAATTGCTCAAATTGTGAAGGAATAATTATTACAAGTTTTGAAGAAAACTTAATAGAAAAAAAATTGAATAATTGAAATAATAAAAAAATAATTGAATCTTAAAGTATTTCAATGTATATTTAGTTTTTAAAATAATGTAATTTTTAAAGAATTTTAGTTGAAGATTTGAAAATTATTGGATTTTTTAACAATTTTAATGGAAATTTTTTGAAGATAATTGAATTTTCAAAGAATTTTAATTACAATTTTTGAAGCAAATTAAGTTTTTTAATTAAAAATTATCGAAGAGCGTTTAATTGCAACTTTCTTTTGGAAGTGATTGAATTTCCAAGAATTTTAATTTTGAATATTTAAAATAATTAAACTATTGAGAAATGTTATTAATAATTTTAAAAATAATTAAATTTTTCTAAATAAATTCTAAATAAATTTCTAAACAAATTTCTAAATAAATTAATTAGTGAATAAATAAATGAAATAAAAAATAAATTAATTACTCTTCTATTAACCTGAACTAACTCCAGACGCACCGTAAGCGTTGGTCCCAACAGTTGAGTATGTGGATCCTGTCGTTGAATAGGTACTTTGAACGGTGGTATAAGGAAGTACGGTTTGTGGAGCACTGCTGAGAGCGCCCAGTGTCGAATGATAAGATGTTGTTGGATGATAAGTCGATTGTAAAGATGGTAACGTCGTTGGTGGTACAGAATAGTTATGATGTCCTAATTGAGTTCCAAAGTTGGTTGCAACAGAACTGTACGTTCCATTTGGATGGGATCCCATTGGTAAATTCGGATAAGTCGTTGTCTGTTAAAAAAGATTCCATTGTTTTATTAACATTTTAAACTGGTTATTAAAATTCAAACTAACAGAAATTAATGAAAATCACTTGATAAGAATTATTAATTATTTAAAATTTAAATTAACTTTTTATTCTTTTTGAATTTAATTTTCTTCAATTTTATTTTTAATTAGATAGATAGATAGATTTTATTTTTTTGAATTTAATTTAATAGTTAGTAATTTAAATTATTAAATTACTAAATTTGATTAGAAATTAGAATATCTCGAATAAGTTTAATGTTATTTAAACTTGATACAATTTAAATGTCTAAAGAATATCTAAAATCGATATGAATATTCAGGGGATTAAATATTTTATGAATATTTAAAAAGTTCTTTCAAAGAATCAAAAGATTTTCTTTTATAAATTGAAAAATTATAAATATAGATTATTAAACATTATTATTTTTTCAATGATAAATAATTATTTTTATACAAATAATATATTATTATAATAATAATTATCTCAATTTATTGCTTTAAATTAATAAATTACTTATGTGCCGATAACTGGAGCATTTAATTTAATTATTTTTAAATAGAATTCTTTTTGGAAAATTCAATAACTTTTTTTTTAATTTATTTTTAAATTAGAAATGTTTCGTACAGCACCGATTTACTAATATTCGAAATCATTTCTTTTCAATTGGTAATTAACCAAAAAAAATATAAAAATGTACCAAAAAAAATTTTAATTACACTTTTATATGGCTTCTTGTACAATTTACAAATAAAAAATCTTTTATCTTTATGTAAATTAAAAAATCAAAATGTCAAACTTGAAAATGAATCTTTTTTTTTTAAATTCATTAACTGCATAAAAATGTACCATATCAAATGTCAACTACATTTATGCACGACTTTCTAATTTTTTTTATTGCGCAAATAAATAGCTTGATTCAATTTATATATAAACGACTTTAATAATCTCTGGGAAAAATTCTTTTTTTTTTTTTAAACGCACTGAAAAAATTTTGAAATGTTTTATTTGTGAATAATTAAAATTGTTAGAATAATAAATTTTTAAATTAACTCACCTGTTGAGTCCCATTTAATTGATAATTCTGTGTACTTTGACTAGGCTGAGTATAATGGGGTAAGACAGTATCTCTGGCTGATGTCAGGTACGTCGTCGAAGCCGGAAGTTGATGTTGAGGCTGTTGTTGTTGTTGTTGTTGTTGTTGATGGGGTTGTTGATAAGTTTGCGTATGAGGATAACTCTCTTGATATTGATTACCCGAAAAATGTGTGTGCGTTTGTTGTTGCTTTTGCGATGGCAGAGCAGTTTGAGAATGAGAACTTGGCATATCAACATGCTGTGGATGCTGTTGATATTGTGACAATTTTTGATGAAAGGCTGGTTGAGATTGACTTGTCGATAGTGATGGTGCTGGTGGTATTGGTTCACTATAATGATATGGAGGGCCATTTGGTGTCAATGGTGGACATCCGGGCATCATGGGCGTTAATGGCATTGGTGAACCTGCGTACTAAAAAAAAATAATAATTTACAAATAAAAAATAATTTACAATTGCTTTTTAATAAAAAAAACAAAATTATTTATATAAACTTACGTGAGGAACTTGTGGATGAGAAGGAATTCCAAGACTAAGTGCATGTGGATGAGGTGGATGTTGATGTTGTCCGAGATTAGAAAGATTTTCTGCGCTTGATCGAAGTAAATTTTGAGAGACCGATGGTTGTTGTGTGGTCACGCCTCTCATATGATCGAGATCATGAAGAATTCTGCCACTACTATTAGAAAAAAAAACAAATTTATTACTCAGAAAAAAAAAAGTACGCAATTAATAATTTACCTGTCTTGTTCTATTCTTGCCATAATTCTATCTATTTCAGATCCGGCAGGTGGCCATGAGGTGGGTATCGACTGGCCAGCAGTTGGTCCTCTACTTCGAGCTCGTCTCAAACTCGTTAATTCTAGAGATAATTCCTCATGTTTCACCATTTGTAATTCAGTTTTTTTCTCTAATTCTCTAATTTTCGATTGTAATGCCTCAACTGATTCGGGGCCTTGATAACGTCCTGCTAACTTTTCCCGCAATTGATTTTGTGCCTCCGCATGCTGTCTCTCCAAATCTGCCCTGCGAGCTTCTGCCTCTCGCATTTGCTATTTAAAAAAAAATTGTGAAATTAAAATTCTAATTTTTATTCTAAATATGAAAATATATTTTCAATTTATCAAGAGAAAATTTTAATAAATAGCTATGAAATAAATGTGTAAATTTAAACTCTTGTTCGTTTAAATGTTTTTTATTATAAGAAAAATCTAGTCTGCCTCGTTTTTTTTTTTTGCGGTGTAAATAAAGTATGAAACCTTCTTTAATAACCCGAAGCGAGATTTCTGTGAAACGTGAATCTGAAATCATTTCTCTACTATTAATAATAGAGAAGAAGTCTTTGTGCGATAGATGCCTGAAGGTATATCCAAACTTATATATATATATATATACTTTCCATGTAATCTTGTGGCTGAAACGACCAGAGGCTTTTTTTCACTTAGAATTTTGTGAACCCTTTTAATTAAACACCTATTTTCTCCTTCTCTTTCTAATATTCATCATGTGACATTGAAAGTATAACAGGTTCATATTGACTCAGTTAACATTGATTTCTATATCATCCTCTTAAATTCTCACGGACATAAATTTTTGCGTCACGTCAGACAACAGCTTTTTATAATTAAATTACACAGAAATATGTATCTTTATTTTTTTTTGTCACGTTTTCTTTAAATAATTTTGTTTTCAAAAAAATTTTGATAAAGTATTTATTAAATGAGACTTTTTTTTTTTATTAAAATACAATTAAAATTGATTTACCTTGAAAATAATATTTTAGATAATTCTAATAATATTAACTGTCTTGCTCTTTAATTAATTGCCACTATCCTTGAAAATAGTAGAAAGTTTTTTTTTTTTTTTATTATTAAAATTGTTTTTTTTTTTTTTTTTGGACGTATACATAGTTTATATGAGAATTTAGCATCGCGTATATTCTCGGGGACATTATGGTAATCATTATGCAAATAATCTTGCGTGTCCTCTTTAAACTGTACATCAGCAGCTGGAGCCAATAAATGCTCATACAAAGAGAAGTTTTCACCTTCATCGATGCATGGTGATTCTGCAGACCAAGACCTTGACCTAATGCTTTTTACATTTTTTAGAGGAAATTTTCAACTCTTTTTCATTTTTATTCTTTTCTCTTATAATCTCGCAGTAATAAAATATTTCTATCATTTTTTCCCCCCCTCCCTCAAATTGAGAATATCTCTTCTTTCAATTTCGATTTTATAGATTAATTATAATAATTATTTATAAATTATAAAAAGCTATGTGACGAAAAAAAAGATATAATTTATTTTCAAAATCCTCTGGGGGGAGAGAGCACTGAATTCATAAATTTTTAAAAAAATATTATATTTTATAATTCGTATTATTTTTTAAAATCTATATTGAAGTGTGTAAAATTAATACACTGGCAATTCAGAAATACGAGAGTATATGAAACTTTTATGTCGATATTTTAATTACAATGATGTTTGACTCACTGACAATAACTTTCAATTAAAGGGACTAGTATTACAAGAGTAGAATAATTTTTATTCGTTTTTCCAGTGAAATGAATTTTATTAAAGTAGAATTAATAATTTTTATTGAATAAAATTTTAATTCATTTGAATTTAATAAAATTTTCATTAAATAGAAAATTAAATTTGATAATGTTATTAAATAATAGAATTTTAATTTTTTTTTTTAATTTTATCAAATTTGTATTTTTCTTTTTGTAATTTCTGAAAAATAAAATTTTATCAATTAAAAATTGAGATTAATATAAATTCTTACCCTATGTACATAAAATTAAATTGAATTTCGTATAACTTTACTGGAATGGTTTTATAATATTTATTTTAAAAAAAGAAATGAAAAATATGAATTGAATAGAAATTTTGAAAAATACTCACCTCGAGGATTGATTCGAGAACGGGGTCCTGCATAATAGTGGTCCTGGAGGAGGTGGTGGCTCCGACAGCAAGACCAGTACCCAGCAGTCGAGCCTGAGGTGCCGTGGAAGCGCCACCTCCAACGCCACAGCACTGTAACATCCCTGAGTTCTGAGTATCGTCTCTCGTTATCGCTATCGTCAATTCTATCGATCTAGTTTCATATCTACGAGCTATCTTAATTAATTTGAGGTTCCCACGGGCTTGCCGTGTTGCGAGATAGAGAGAAAGAGAGAGAGAGAGAGTCGAGGCCACCTCTCGATGATCCCCTTTATATAGTCGATTTCTTCTCCCAGAATTATATTAAATAATTTTTTTTAATTTTATACTATTTTCGCGATTTTCCATTGGCTATTAATTAAAAAAAAATTTTTAATACCCAAAAATCAATATTATTAAATTTGATTTTCTTTTTTTAAATCGAACTTAATATTATATTTCTAAATTTCCTAATACAAAAATATGATTATTAATCTTTATTACTATTTATAATAATTAAATCAAATTTAAAATGTCTAAAATTAAATTTAATTAAGATTATTTTTATTTTTACATTTAAATTGTGAAAAAAAATTGATCAAAACTGATATTTTTTTTACATCTCTATAATCATATTTTTGTATATAGAAAAAAAGTGATGAAATTATTATATTGAAATTGGGCACAGTGACGAAGAGGGTGCGATATTCTTTGGCAGTGACGTAATAAATTCACAAGAGCTCTTTACATTATGTGTGTGTATATGTATACTCTCGCATTTTTATATTTGTTCTCATATTTTTTATCACATAAAGACAATATTTTTTTCGATTATTGGGATTAATTTATTAATTAAAAATTTTATAAGACATTTCTTTAATAAATTTTCCACAAAATCGATTGTTTTTCTTCTAATTAATTGAGATAAAATTAACTATTATTGTAAAAATAAAAATAGTAATTGTAAATGAAATTTTTTAATAATAAAATTAAGATCGAAAGAAATAAATATCAATTCAGAGTACATTCACTATATTTAGAATATAAAATATATTGTGTATTGTGAAAGATGTCAGGTTTCGAAAACAAGAAAATCAATTTGATTTGCGGAGAAGGATTCAACATCAATTTGAAGAGACAATAAGAATTCTCGTGCCGATGAAAAAAAAAAGAAAAATGTTGATTTATTAAAAATCGTGAATTTTTATACAAAATAATTTAATTTCAATATTTTTGTTTTCAATTTAATTTAATTTTACTAACTAGAGAGAAATTAAATTTGAAATTAATTAGATATCGAGTTTTAATTATTAAATTATTATTTGAAAAAACAATTTCAACGGAAAATATCTATAAAAGAAGATTAGCTATTAATTATTTTATTAAATAATCGTTTAATTCTTTCAAATTATATAAATTATATTTGGAAAATAAAATTGTTAAAAAATTAATTTTTGAAAAAAAAACAATATTTGAGAAAGAAGACCTCTTTTCTGAATTTTTATTTTATATTTCAATTTTTTAAAAATATGAATCTGTGGTGTTAATTTTTTTTTAAATCGAAAAATCTATTAAATTAACTGAGAGAGTGTTTTATTTAGAATGAAAGAAAAAAAAAGGATTATTTTAAATTTCAAATTATACGTATTTGAAGATTATTTTGAAATTGTTACAGTTACCAATATAGACTATATGGAGGAAGAGGATGAATTCCAATTTCAAGCGATTTCACAAGAATCTATACTTTCAAGAGTAATACAAGCGGATTTAATCTTCCTGTCTTTGTCAATTCATTTCCTTTTGTTTTCCTATATACTTGATGCACAAAAATGTTTCGTTCTGACAATTTTTACCTTTAAAAAAAAAAAAAAAAACTCCAAAAATATTCCATTTTATTTTTAAAACAATTAAATATTTTACAGAAGTAATAATATTCTATAAACTCGGTTATAAAGTTTATTTTTCAAAATTAATAAATTTCATAATTTAATTACAACTTCGCTGAAATTTATTTCCGTTTGAATAATTAAAAGTAAACTATAAATTTTATATCTAATCAATCAAATTAATTTTATTTTTTTATTCTTATTTAAAAACGAAACGAAATAAAAATTTTTCTATTGTTATAGTAATCATATTTATAAATTACCAAGAAACAAATCAATGATTTTTATCAAAAAAGAATAGAACTCCTTTTTTTATAAATTATTGTTACAATTTTAAATCATTGAAAAATTTATATATAATAAAGATTTTAAAAAGAATATAAATATTACTAAGAAAGAAATGCTAATCCATCATAATTTTAAATAGATTTACTTGAAATTGGACACTTAACATGTTTGAACCCAAGGGAAGTTGAGGCACCATCATGCAAATCTTGCTCTAGTTCTAATCTTGAGAAATATCAAACATTGATCCCACTTTTCAGACTTGTATTTTAACACGAAGTTCAGGTTATTTAACTCAATAAAAAGAATTTTCAAGTCTGATAAAAAAAAAAAAAGTTTGAAATTTTTTTTTAAAAATTATTCTATATTTTTTTTTTGATTAATGAAACAATTTTATTTCTTTTTAATTCAATAAAAAAAGAGGTCTTCAATCTAATTTTTTTTCTATTAATTTCCTATAAAATTCATAATTAAATGATTTTTTAATAATAATTATTAGAAAAACATTCTCGATTCTCTATGACTTTTAATAAATGTTTTTTGATTTCCCGTAGAATAATTCTAACGTTGACAAGGGCACGAGAATTCATTTTCTACTCATTGAACTAGATGATTTTTGATAATGTCCCTAAGATTATTTCTGATAAAATACTCTTGGGTGAATCTCGATAATCGAAGGGGATATTTTTAGATGTGAAGCTTTAAAATATTATATATATATGTATATATATTAAGATCGTAACATATTTTCACTGTCGAATTTGGGGCATATTACAAACTAAACGGTAAAATTTAGTCTTTTTTTTTATTCATTGGCGTTATTGAAAAAAAACTGAGCTTTTACTTCATAGTGCAAATCTAAAAATTTTCAGAAAAAAAAAAAATTTGTAAAGTTCGAACAAAAATTTGTTTAATAATTTAAAAATATTAATTTTTTTAAATAAATTAAATTTTTGTAAATTTTCTTTGAGTGATAACAAGAGGATAATAGGTTGAACGTAATATCCGTTTATACATTTCCGTTCTGTAAATGTTATAAAAGCTATTTCCAATTCAGCATTTTTCGTTCCACTTTAACAAATCACGTATGTCATTTCAAGAGATTTGTTTTTCTTTACAGTAAATTTAATTTTAAAAAAATTATCTTTTGTATCCATAGTAATTTAATCAGTTTAAAAAAAAGTATTATTACAAAAATTAGTCTACTATTAATTTATTCTAAAATATTTAACATTTTTTTCGTTATATTTTTACAATTTTCTTTTTATATTTGAATTTTTTTCTGATTGCGTTTATAAAAATTTAATTATAAAACTTGAAATGTAATTAAATTTTTAAAGAATAGAATTTCAAGTAATATTCGAAGCAAAGATGAACCATATTTGATTTTTTTTTTTGTTTAAATGAATAAAGAATTTAATTTTTTAAACTGTTTTGAAATTTTCAAGAGATGTAATTAAATTCTTAAAATTATTGAATTTTTTTATAAATGTTTGTGAATATTCTATATCCTAATTTTTAATTAAGAGTAATAATTTTTAGGAAATAAAAATTAACGAATTAAGGAATTTTTGTCTTTGCTTTGGAATTTAAAAGCTCAAGGTATGAAATCTAATTTTTATGCAAATCAAGTATTAATAAATCTAATTAATATAATATAATCAGTAATAATTTTCAATTTTAAGACGAATTAACGAATTTAGAAATATTTGTCTTTGGGCTCGAATTTAAAAGCTCAGTGTATAAAATATAATCTTTTTATAAATCAAGAATTCAATTATAAATCAAGGACTATCAAAGGTGAAAAGTTGTATTTATTAGAAAATGAATCTAAAAAAAAAAAACGATTTAGAATTTTTATAAAAATGACGATATTTGAAGTTGGTCGCCAATTTATTTCGAAAGGGTAATACTCTGGAAAAGTCGATAGGGTTTGTTCAATGGGTTAAAACCATCCGAAAATCGGTGCGTTTTCACATATATATATTACATATATATATATATAGAGAGAGAGAAAGAAGAACAGGAAAAAGAAGAAGATTTCCTAATAATAATTCTAATTACGCTTTTTTAAAATGCAAATTGTTCATCTCTTATTGAAAAGAAAAATATATCCGCGCCCTATAAGGGGTAAAAAGGGCCGAAAATGGAAAATTTAATGAAAAAAGGGAAACTAAATTTTACTTGTACAGCACTGCTTATTGATCCTCACCACCAAAGGTACGTGAGTATACATATACACCCCAACGTAGCACCACTTTACGCGAGTCGTGTAGCATTGTAACCACCACCACTGCACAATCAACACTCGTGTCATCCGCCACTGTCATCGTCACTGGTACCGATTTATTGTGAGTCTATATGCCCATTTTTCACCACTGCATCGAGCAACCATACTTTTTTATATTTTTTTTTTTTAACACGCACGGAAAATTAAAAAATTTTTTTTTTACACGAAAAATAGAATTAATGAAGAAGTAATATAAGAAAAGTGCGAGTTGGTCGATGGTGGTTGCACTTTTTTTCGAAAAAAAAAAAAAACTCTTTTTTCTCAAACTTACGATGACCGAATCGAAGGGATTGTGGCAGGCCAGGATTGCTGGTACTACTGGTACGTCCTGGTTTTTTTTTTAAAAAAAATTTTTCTTTTAAATCCTTTTTTCACTGGGCTGTCATCCCGAACGCCCCCGAGATCTGCTCGGACGTGGAGGACAGTCGAGGCTGCTGCTGCTGCTTCTGCTTCTCGAGCGCGTCAGGGGAGGGGTTGCAAGGGGTTGGTGGCGCTTGGTTCTGGTCGACCCATCAAGAGAAAATGGTGGGGATAAAAACTACCCCTGCATATGAAGGGTGGAATGGATAGGCGCGCAGAAGCCTAGAAGTGGGGCTACTACCTTCGTGTTGGATGCCAGATATGGGTCACTCTTGGATCGATGACGCTTGGTTCGCTTCTCGCGGGGGTGTAGCTCTTTCTCTCTCTCTCTCTCTCTCTCTCTCTCTCACTCTCTCTCATACACATACACAAAAGACCAATCAATAAGCGAGGAGGCAATCTCCGATATCTCGCACCCAAGTCCCCGCCGTTGATTCTGGACTTTCTTCTTCTTCTTCTTCTTTGTATATACTTTCTTTTTTCTGGGGGTGTCTCCCAATCATCATCATCATCATCATCATCATCATAATATATAAGTTGAAAGTCTAGTCAGAGTGTTAGACACTTTTTAACTGTAGGGGAAAAGTATGCTTCAAGGGATGAGAAGAGAAGAGTGCTTTTGCTAGAACTAGAAAGGAATGCGGCTGAAATACCCGCAGGGCGCACCATCATCTAGGTGAGAGTATAAGATGCAAGCGGAGCAATTTTTTTTTTTTTTTCCCTTCTTCTTTCACAGTCCTTGAAATTAAGGAAAGTCCTATATACACAAATTGTACATTAATTATATGGTTGATAAAACACCCTTTTTTTTTGTCAAAATTTACCCCCTCTCTCTCTCTCCTTTCTCTTTATGTAAATATTTTTTGTATTTTAAATTTATTTGTAAATAAGTAAAGTATCATTTTAGAAGAAAAAAAATTGAATATTTATTGTTACCTTCTTTTAATCCAGTAATTCCTTATAATATCCATCATTGTATTGTCCTATATCCGCAGTTGTTTTTTTTTTGAAAATCATCCCTTATTCCAGCTGAAATATTTATAATATATTTCAATTTTTTTTTTAATTTTCAAAATTAGTACATTGTATAAATATTTCATTATTTTTAAATAAAGTTTATTTTTTAACTAGCCAATATTGATCATCAGTAATAAAATTTAAAAAATTTCAATCCAAATTTTCCAATTTATAAAAATTTATAAAAAAAAATTACGATGCAGTAATTTATTATTATTATTATTATTAATATTAATATAGTAGTGTACCTTATTCTTTATCATTTTTAACAAAATTAATTTACAATAATTACAATTTATAATAAAACAATTTTTGTTTTTAAAACTTGTGGAAAAGAAAAATTGTAAAACTTTGTAAAAAGTACACAATAGAGAAATTAAATCTATCTATCTATTATAAAACCATGAAAAATTTACATTAATTATATACATATTATTTTAATTTATTATTTATTAAAGATAAAGAAAAATTTTAATTTATAATAATTTTTAAATAATAATAATAATAATTGATAATTTTAATTTATAATTGTTGAAAAATTTATAAATTTAAATCGTACATGAATAATTGGAAAGTTTATTTATATATATTTAAATTAAAGAAATAATCATTTCTAAAAGTACACAATGTAGAAAAATCTTTAAATTTTTCGAAAATTCAATTATTAACAAAAATACTTTTATTAAAAAAATTATCTAAAATAAAAAAAAAATTAAAGAAATAATCATGCTATTGACAAAAAGTAATTAACATGTTAACCATTTTTTTTTTAGATATAAAAGTAAAATTAAAAATTAGAAAAATTTTAATATTTCATAAATATATAGAAAAAAGCGTATATACACGCAGAAAAAGAAAATTAAACTTAAGTCAATTAATCACGGGTTTTAAAGGGATTTAAGTTGATAAAGAAGCAGAGCTACCAGAGAAGTAAAAATTCAATTTCCTTCATAGTAAATTAATTCCATTGTCTATAATTTTTCTACCTTAAAGAATTCTAGAATATTATAATTTTTTGCTACTTTTTTTTTTTGCAAACTTTTAATTTTTGTTTTTGAATAATTTACTATTTATTACGATTTATTATTATTCTTATTTATTAGATTAGATTAGATTTTTCTCCATTGCGTATTTTTATTATTATCAATAAAAAAAAATCCTAATGCAAAAAATGATTAATTTATTTTTAATATTGTAAATAATTTATATGAATATTTTCTAGATATTCAAAATTAGTTTTTGACCAAATGAATTTTTTTTTTTTAAAGCAAAAATCTAAATGTTTTATTAAATTTTAATTGAATATCTGAAATAATCTAATAAATAAATATATAATCATTTGCATATGATATTTTGGGGGCGTTTAAAATATATGTACATAAAAACGGTGTCTCCTCTGACATTTAGAAAACGAGTGGGCATATAGTGAAATTATTATTCTCAAAAGCTAGTGTACTAGGTGAAATAGGATATTGTATTTGAATTTTCAAAGGTAACATTTCACTCGTTGGATTTCGTATATATGGGTATGTACTTACCAAAGCTCTCTCTATATATCTATACATATATATTGAGTGCAAAAATATAACATAGCGCAGTCGCTGTAATGTTCTGGAGGACGATATGACGTCATGCATTTTAGCCGTAGGTCGTACGCTTATCAATGAACGTACAACGCTTCTGGCGCGAATCTATTCTCCAACCCGAGAGCACCCTTCTGCGCGCCCACTCTCTTTCTCTCTCTCTCTCTCTCTGATATATAGCAGGCCGGTATTACTTGAGTTAGATCGCAGAGTACACCCCTTCGTGTTCAGAATAGGCTCCTGAGATTGTTTCTCATCTATACAATCGATTAGATGTACTTTTCATTCGGTCAAGACGACAATGAGCCGATTAACATTTTCCATTATTCTCCTTTTTATGCTCATTCAATACAGATTTGCTCTTTATTACTGTTACTCCTCAATTTTTCCATTTATGAATAAAAAAAAATCCAAGCACAAATTCGAGTGGGGATTTTTTTTTCCAAAATTCATATCGTGGACTGCAAAAATAAAATAAAATTAATATAAAGTAAATAAGAATAAGTAAATAAGTATAATAAGAAATAAGTAAATAAGAACATTATTGAAAATTTTATAGAAATAAAAAAAAAGAATTTCGAATAATTCTCATAAACAATATAATTTAATTATTTTACAAAATTCAATTTTAATAAAATTTCAATTCTTTTTTTTAAATTTAATTATTTAATAATAATTGAAGATAATTTAATAATTATGAATTTGTTTTACGTCGTAAATTCTTTTACCATAAAAATAGAGAATAAATATTTTAAATATATAATCTTTAATAAAAGCTTCATGAAAATGACAGAAATGCAAAAAAGATGATTTCAAGGATAAATTATATAAACCATTTGAATTATATATCTTAAAACCTTTCAATATTGATAACAATGAATATTATTTTCAAGTTTCTCAAATTAAAGGTACGTAAACATGTCAGAAACACTCGAATATTATTTCAAGCTAGTGATGAATTTGAATTGTATCTTAAAATCTTTCAATATTGATAACAATAAATAAGTTTTTCAAATTAAAGGTACGTAATCATTTCAGAAACACTTGAAAATTATTTCAAGCTACCTTTAATTGTACCTTAAAATAGTTTTTTTTAGATAACTGCGTCATTTTCTTGTTCCCAATTCTTAAAAATTATTCGATTATTATTAAATAATTATTAAATTTAATTTAAATACCATTAAATAAAAAAAAAATTTATTTTACTTTCACCTGCTTAAAAATAGTTTCCCTTTTGGCTGACCATAAACGATATTTCTACTTAAATCGAAATATAAAAAAGTCTTTTCAATAATTAATTGTTTTTTCTTTCATCATTAAATGATGAAAAAAATTAATTTTATAGAAGACATTATTTTAAGATGAAATAAACAATAAATCTTTATAATATGTATAGGCAAGGACAAACATATAACTAGAGATAATACATCGCTTGGGGGTTTTCAGAAATTTTAAGGACACGTAAGCAATTTACATTTTGCGTGACATTTTCGTTAATGTAGCAAACATGAGAGATGTTAGATATTAAATCTATACACAAATTATTTATTTAATTATTCAAATTTTTTTTTTTCAATTTTTTTCGCCAAAACAAAATCAGTTTCATGGAATAAAAAATATTTTTTTTCTCTTTTGAATTTCAATAGAAATAAATTGAAATTTTCGAAATATTTTTATCTTCTTTTTTTTTTCTTCAAAACATATTTTAAATTCAAAAAAAAATTTATCTAATCTACGTAAATGTATATATAAGCTTTGTTAAAATTAAACAAAAACAAATAAAAAAATCGAGACAAGATTGCTTAACACTGTTTAAATAAAATTCCAAGCAAATCATAATTATACTCTCAGAGATGAAGGTCTGAGGAAGCTTCACAAACTTTCCCGTATACTTTTTTCCATTTCCTGATCTCTAACGAATTTATACTCTCAGTTTCTTTATTATGTAAAAGTGCAACATACGAGAATGAAGAAAAAAAACAATAAATAATTATTTTTTATAATTTTTACTGCATCATTTTTTTGATAACAAAACATTTTAAAATTTATTTATTTATTTTCTTTTTTAAAGAAAAAAAGAGTGAAAAAAATTTATACATTATTTTATTTGCATCAATCGAATTATTTTAAAAATTAATATGACTTGCAAATTATGTTTGCAATAACAGGAAAAGTCAATGTTACAATTTTCTCCGGTTTGTTTATCAATATGTAATTTAATTATTCCATGTGTCAATTAATTAAATAACGGCAAAAGAAGAAATTCTTCCTTACTAAAGGTTAGTAATTTTAATTCAATAAAATTGTGAAGCTACTTTTATTTTCAATGTTAAAATAAATTTAAAACGTTTGCAATAAATAATAGAAATTACAAATTACTTTTATGAAGAAAACAGATTTTTCAAATATTTCTTTTTAATACATATAATATAAATTCAAGTAAAAATGAATAAGTAAACAAAATTTTATTACGTCTCAGTAATGTCAATTCTTGTAATGTCGTCATATTGGTTTTGACATTTTTATTTTTCACATACATTAAATGCATTTTTTTTTTCAACAAAAAGATGTTCATTTAAAATTATAATTTTGCCTCTTTTTTTTAACCTTGTAAAGTTTTATTTTTTTAAGCCGAAAACTTATTATATAGTAAAATAGTTGTATTTTACAAAAAGTTTGTTAAAGAATTCAAATTGAAGATTCTTTTTTATGAACATAAAAAGTTGCAGTGTAAAAATTTTCTTTTTTTTTTTTTTGTTCTAGTTATAAAATTCTAACTTTATCAAAAAGTCTTCACTATTCTACGACTTTTATGGGTTTATAGTTTTATAGTTTTTCTTCATCTTTTTCTCATAAAAATCTCAACTGGACTCGTAAGAAACGTTTTTCGTTAAATGTGAAAATTCAATAAAATTTCATGTCATATATTCTAGTTATAGCAAATATGAACTTTAAACCTTTTGTTGATTTCAACATTAGCATATGACCGCAATTATTATTATTATTTAAATGAAAATTCATATAAGTCGATGACATAACAATGAAAATTTTCATCTTGTCAAATATATATATATATATATTTAAATGATAAATTGACAGACAATGACGTAAATGTAAATATTTATGAAAGTAATTTTTTTAAAAATAGAAATATAAAAAATATTCATTACTTTTATGTGAGAAAATGTTATAAATATTCAAATATACAAATTTTTTTCCAGATTTTCATTTTTAAATAAAATAATGAATTCTGTTCAGTTAATTTTCATTTTTGAAAGATGCAAATGATAAATATTTTGTTAGTTAAATTAAATTACAGAAATTAATTTTTTTATTAGTTTTTAATGAAATGAGACATTAATAATATATAATAATGTGTTAAAAAAATAATAGTAATTATTTTTTATTAATTATATGTTTTTTAATTACTCATTAACTTGTTGAATTATCGAAAAATATTTTGTTATCAAAATTCATATATAATATTTATGACGAGTAAATGAAAATTGACTTCATTAAATATGGGATTTGCAAATTAAAAAGGCATTTAAATGTTAGTGCATTCTTTGTTCCACAAATACATTTCTATATGTGTGTATATATATAGATATAAGACTCAACATTCACTTTAAGAACCTTTTGCTTTTTCTTGAAAGAAACCGCAGGTCAGTCTTTCGTAACTGCTTCACCGGTGATATCGTGATATTTTACATATAGAGAAATAGTTATGTGTTAAAAAAATTTCAAAGTGTCATTATAGTTTTTGTTAATTATTTGTAATTCGTCAACTAATTTTATTCAAAAATGAATATATTTATTTTATCCAAATTATTTCAATAAAAATGAATGAAAAAATATTTCTATATATATTTAATCACGTTGATAAAACTTTTGAAACAAACGGCATATTCTAAATAACAAACCAACACAAAAACAAGACTGCACAACTTTTCTCAATATAAATATGTAAAATAATTATTATAAATAAATAAATAAAAATAATTAATAAAAATAAATAAATAATAAATAAAATATAATACAAAATAAGTTTAAAAAATGTGATTTTAAAATGACTAAATGTTAAATTTTACATTTTATTTATAACTCAGTGAGTTTTTGTAGATAATTAATTTATTGTCAATTGATGAAAATAAATTTTTTCTTAAAAAATTGACTAAGAAGCAATTTTAAAAAATTTTAAATTATGGGAAATAAATTGATGAACAATAGTTTATTCTTGTGTCATGTTGATTAGTTTGTGCAGACTGTTAATGAACAGATAAACCTAATCAATTAACCCAAGGGAAGTCTTTGACTGCACGAGTCATACCATTATAAACTCACTGATTGGAAACCACTGATCTCATCGATTACTAAAAATTCTCTCTCATTAATTGTTCCATAAACTTTTAAACAGCAAATTTTTTATATTATTTATTTAATGTAAATATTTTTTATTATTTTATTAATTTATTATTATATCTTTTTATTATTTTATTTATTTATTATTATATCTATTTATTATTTTATTTATTTATTATTTTATTTACCTTATATTTATTTTTATTTATAAAATATTTTTTTAGAGGAATTATTTTTCATTTGTCTTTTTCAGTGAATAGTATAAAGAAACATGGACCAAAGATCTTGTAAAATGAAATTGGGGCACAGTATAGAAGAGTCGAGAGCTAAATATCCTGAATTAACAAATGAAATTTTAGATGAATTAAGAGAATGGGGAGAGCAACGAGGCCTTTCAAACATTCCCGATGAACAACTTGCATTATTTGCACATAGTTGCTATTATGATAAAGAAGCCAGTATGCGATGCATGAAAGTTTATTACAGACTGAGAGCAACAACACCTGAATTTTTTAACGACAGAGATCCGAGAATGGATTATCTTCAACGTTCCCTAAAGTCATTGTACGTTAATTTATTATTTACAAAAAAAATTCAATTTTTAAAAAATTTGATTTCTTTTTTTTTTAATTAAATTTTTAACCACGAAATTTGTAAACCTGCCAATAACACTTTTGTAGTTAATACAGAAAAGATATTTTATCGGGTCAGAGTTCAGTATCTACTCTCAAGTTCTATGAACTATAATTGGATATTTTTTTGAATTTTATTTTAATTTTTTCTGAAGTAAAAGTTAGCTAAAAAAAAATTCAATTGGCAAATAAATAATAGAATTGAAATGGAAATTGTAAAAATTTTGTTTCTATACTTACAGACAATTTGTTGCTTTACCATTGCCCGATAGAGAGGGAAGAAAAATAATTTTCCACAGATTGTCAAATACAACACCAGCTGCATATATGTTCAATGATGGTATTAAATTGCTTGGCATGACTTTGGACGCAAGTCTTTATTCTGAGGGATGTACTCCTGGTTATGTATTTCTCTTTGATATGCGTGGCGTTAAATTAGCCCATTTGGCTCGATTGTCAATCAACAGTATTCGCAAATTTTTTGAATATCTCCAAGAAGGAATGCCCGTTCGACTTCAGGGGATTCATGTTTTGAATACCGTTTGGTTCATGGATAAAATTCTTTCCCTCGTCAGGCCCTTCATGAAGCGTGAGCTCTTCGAAATGGTATGTACACTGAAAATTTTTCCAAAAATTAATAATCTATTAAATAAATTTTTTTCAAGTAATATAAGTTAAAAAAAAATAATCTTTCTCATCAATAACATATTTGAGATATTAGAAATTATTTTTAAGTCATAAATTTTACTATTGTTCTATATCAATAATATATTTTTGCTTGTGGGAATAAACAACATTTTCATAAAAGCAAATAACTCATGCGTGCATCTGGTATCGCTTTTCAGCTTCATCTTTATTCCGGAGAAGTCTCGGATATCTATGAATATATTCCTCCAGAATGTCTACCAAAAGACTTTGGAGGAGAACTCGACTGTCTGGAGATTCTTCATGGTATAATATATATATATCGAATAATTTTGATTCGTTTTATTTTTAAATAAAAATATATTACTGCAAAATTAGAGTTTGAAAAAAAAATTAAATATTCTATCGCTTGATAAAGAACAAAAAAAAATGATAAGACAAAAAAAAATAATTTTCTACTTGAGAATTTTTATACATTTTTTGCTATTAAATTTTTAGTATTATATTATTATTTATTAAATATTATAAATTAAAAATAGCTTTTAAAATGTAATTTCTGTGAATATTGTGGGAATATAATTATTAGACACAATGAAAGTTAGTGTCAAGCTATTTTTGCTTATCATAGTTTTAAAGTTCAAAGTCAAACCTTCCTCGGGATTTTCAATATATAGATATAAACTTTTGTTCTCTCTGACCTACAGACGCTCACTGTACAAAGCTTGATCAGTTGCGTGATTACTTTCGGGATGAAGAGAATCTTTATCGAGGATGGCGTGATATTCCAAGAAATGAGCTTTCTTCATCCACTTTATCTAATTGCCAAGGAGCGGAAGGTGATACTATCACAATTGAAGAAACTGAAAGTGGAAAAATCGACTGCACTTGATATGTCCTCGACCTTCTATGATGGATCTCTCTCTCTCTCTCCATTAAAATCTTTATATCCATGAATTTGCTCAAGAGGAATGAGAATCTAAAACATAAATTTTATTTATTTATTTATAATTTAAAAACTATTTTTCAAATATCTTCCAAATAAAATAATAGAAAATAATAATATAGTAGAGAATTTAGAATAAAAAATAATAGAAAATAAATAGTAGAAATAGAAAAGAATCGTTGCCAATTATAATTATGTATAGATATTAATAGATAATAATAAAAATTACATTTTAAATATATTTTTTTCTTATAAAATAATAAATGTGCAATAATGTAAATTAAATATAATAAAATTTGCAAATTCCTAAAAACGGATTTTATAAAAAAAAAAATCTTTGAAAATATTATGGGAATGTTACAGTGACCATTGAATAATCGCGCGTTTCCCAGCTGCTGTTTCGTGGCTCATTCTGATTCGACGCAGCAGATGGAAATGAACTGAGCATTCGCCAAAAAATATAATAATAATCGCATACTCTCAACTAACCGGGTTCCAAGGTTATAAAAGAAATCAACATTTTTTTTATAAAAATAATAATTATTATCAAATAAGAAAATTGTTATTTATAAGAAAAATACACCAAAATTATTATTTAAAAGTTAATAGTAATTTAAAAAAAAAAACCAGTTAATTTCAGACATTTATATTCTGATAATAAAAAAAAATATATATATTTCTTATCAGAAAAGGTTGACCGGTAAAAAGTGATAAGTGAACATTCCATATATTAAAAATAATTTTAAAAAATAGACTTCCAAAGTTTTTTCCCTACAAAATGCAAAATGTATTACATTCCATTTTTAAAATATTAATTATTATTATTGGTTTACAATTTACGATCGCTGAAGATTGCAAAGGATGTGTACCATTAGATTCAAGTTCATTCGATAAGGTAATTTTTTTAATTTAAATAAATAAAAAAACTAAAAATAATTTATAAAATCAAATTTCTCTTTTACCAAAACTTTCTTTTGGATATTATTTCTAAATTGAGAAATTAATAAATCTGATATTCATTAATAATTGAAATAAAGGTTCTATTGTAAATAGATCAATAATGCGAATTTATTTATATCAGTAAAAAAGATAATTTGAAGAAGGAAATGAATTTTATTTATTTATTTTTTTTTCTTATAAAATGGAAATTTCCTTTTTTTTCAGATAATTACTAAATTTAAAGTTGCTGCTGTCAAATTTGATGTTGCATTTCCTTACGGTGAAAAACATGAGGAATATGGAAAAGTTGCAGAGGCAACAAAAAATTCACCCGATATTTTAATAGCCGAAGTTGGAATAAAAGATTTTGGCAATAAAGATAATACAGATCTTGCTGATCGTTTTAAAATTAAAAAAGAAGAATATCCAGCTATATTACTTTTTATACATGGCAAAAAGGAACCATATAAATTTGTCACCGAAGTTGACGATCAATTTACATCAGAAAATATTAAACGATTTATTAAATCAAAATCAGGAATATACATTGGTTTACCAGGATGTATAGAAAAATTGGATAAACTCGCCGAGGAATTTAAATCAGCCAACGAAAAGGATAGACAGGTATGAATATTTTGTAAAAATATTTTTCAATTTTTTAGATAAGATAATAATAATAATAATAATAATAATAATTGTATTTAATAGGAAATTCTAAGTAAGGCGAAAATATACGAGGAAACATTATCAGAAGCACAAAGAACAGCAGCAAAAGTTTATATAAAAACAATGGAAAGAATTATGAATCGTGGTAATGTATTTGTACAAACAGAACAAACAAGACTTGATGGTTTATTAAAAGGAAAACTATCAAAGGAAAAGAAACGTTCAATGGAGGAGAGAAAAAATATATTGCAATCATTTTCTCATAAAGACGAATTATAATCATCTTTATAATGAAAAATTTATATATGAAAAAAAGCAAATATCATGGAAATTCAAGCGACAAAATGTAGAATAAGATTTACAAAAAAAAAATAATCTACAAAAATTTTTGTAATAAAAGTAAATTGAAGAACATTACTTTTGCACAAAAAAAAAATTTTGTATAATAATATACATATAGTCAAATAATTAATGATTTTTTTTTTGTTAGTCCGGAAATAAAAGGCTGAAGCATTTATGTGATACTCGATTATATAAATAAAAAAAAAAAATGATTTAAAATTATTTATATTTTGCAAATTTATATTTGCGAAAAAAAAATTAAAAATTCATTAACTTTGTAAAGCAATATCGAGAAAATTACTTAAGAACCTATTTATTATTTTTTTTCTTCTTTTAAATGACAGATCTCACTATAATAATATATTTATTGTTCTAATATAAACTTTGTCGCTTCTGTTCGTAAAAAAAATCACAGATTCCATGTATAATATCAGTATAAATATCATCTTATTAATAAAAAAAAAATTTGAAGATTTATTCAATCTGCCTGTTATTAACAATTTGTATATTTATATTGTTGATGATGAAAAAAAAAAAAAAATGAATGGTACGAATCTTATGATTTTTTTCTCATTAATTTTGAATAATGATTATTATTCGTATAAAAAATGTTTTGCAGTTTCTTTTTTTTTTTTTTATGAGAGTGAGTGTACGACGTACATTTTTTTTTGTGCGTGCGAATATGCATACTGGAATGCTTGTTCCAAATATATATATAAATTTTTCATAATTTACTATTTCAATTATATATAAATAATTATTCTATTCACTTTTTACCGTGAGCTTCTCTAGCTCATGAGTAACGTCTTCTGTAATTTTTACCCTGGTCTCGTTGTCATCATCGTGAATTTCTTTGGATTTTGTTTCATCTTTCGATACATCTTGATTATTATCATCATCATTTTCCTTAGTGTTTTTAGATTCTTTTAAATCATCCTCGTCACTTTCTTCATAGCTTACATCGCTACAGCTATCACTATCGGTATCACTTTTATAATCTGGATTTGGTTTGCCAGAATAAATTTCACATTCAGAACCTACTATTTTTTTTGCTTTTTCAAAAGTTTCCTTCCAAAGAGTTGCATCTTTAAAAGATGATTTTAATTATTTTCAAAGTGTTTTTTTTTTTAATTTTAACAAGCAGTTTTACTGCCAGTAATAAATTATCTTAAAAAATATAATAATTTGTATCTCAATTATTATATTATATTGACAAAAAAAAAAAACTTAAAAGTATTTAAACTAATAAATAGCAATTAAAAAAAGAAAAATACTTATAAAAAGACTTACTCTCCGCATTTGCAAATCTAATAGCAAGAAGTTCTGGTTTAATTAGTTCATCAGCAAAATCTGCAAGAACACTCCAAACCCAAGCTCGATCACTGCCACAATTTGGTTTTAATTCCATCCAAGGTGTTATAAAATGATTTGCACAAATCTTTAATGTTTTATCTCTACGCATTACAACTCGTACTGTATTTTTTGTTTGATGCCTCAATAATTTTACTTCTCCAGTTCCACGTTCTTTCCATTCTGCTGGATTATTTGACGAATCATAACGATAAAGTTTCGCTCTCCTAAAATTATATTTAAAAAAATTACTCCCTTCATTTTGTTTTTTAAAAAGTAATTAAGTCAAACTTCTGTAAACTAATTAATAAATAAGTACAATTTAATCATTTCTACTTCATCTTCCTCATTATTTGACACTTCAATCAAAGGTAGAGATACTATTGGTTCAAAATGTAAATCATCTTCTCCAGGTTCATCATCAGTTTCATGAGGTTCACCACTACCACCATTCACTTCAGTTGCATTATCCGCATTCAGCTTAAAAATAAAAAAAAAAATATTACAGAAAATTCGTAAAAAATTCATATATATAATTTAAAAATTACTTTTAATTTATATAAATAATGCATCTCTTTAATAATTCTTTACAGTATTAAAATCATTATTAATTAACATCTTTCTTTCGTTAATTAAAATAAAAAAAGTTGGACGCCATATACGAAGAATCAATAAAAGAATATTGATGCAATACACAAAACAGGAATCTTAACAATTTTTAATTAATATTATAATTAAAAATTGATTCCAATCGTACAATATCATATCCCTTTAAGATATTATAACGAAAAAAAAAAGATTTGCAAATTTTTTCATTAACGGAAGTCAAACGTTTATAACCTCTTTTTGTCGAGAGAAAAAAAATGCTACATTCGTAAATTGATTTTATCGAAGCAACATATGATTTAAAGGCAATTAATTAATAATTTAATATTACTTACCACGTTCTCAGGCATTTTTTTTCTTATTTTTTAACGACAAAAATAGATAAATAATTTATAAGACAAAACAAAGATAAGTCGTATAATTTTGTAACCGCGTCAGAGACTAATGAAAACGGGCGTTGAAGATTTAATTTGATTGGTTCTATTTTTTATCCACAATTTCAATAACCAATCATTATGCTTCTAGTGAGGTGAAGTTAGATGTCAAGCTGCTTCTACAAGAACATTTTTTTTTTCATCTATAAGGGTGAAAACACACGGATAAAGGTGTGATTGTACCTTTATTGACAATTTTCATTGTCATTTACTGTAAAAGCACCTTTATGTAGGTCGGCCTACAAAAAGCAAATGTCAAAATCGGCAATTGTTGATTTATTTTTATCCATTACTTTGCATAATGTTTTTAATTACATTTTTTTCAATAAATTTCTCCTGAGTTACGTGTAGAAATGTGAAAAATTTAAAGAAGAAATTTGTTCACAATTATTGTATTGTCATTACTTTTGGAATTGTTTATAAATTGAATTTTGTAAAAACAAAATATGACATCTGTGCCACCAATAAAACCTCCTCGAGGAATAAAACACTCAAAAGAGACGGTAAATAATAAGTATTTTAAGAAATATTTGTAATTAGAGTTTGTCTATTTACTGTATTCATTATAAAGATTATTAAAAATTCTTTTTACGTTAAAAAATTTTATTATTATCAAGTGATAACAATTTTTTTGAATTTAGTAATTTCAGTTTTATCTGAAAAAAATATTTTAATTTTAGAGTGGACTGTTAATAACAGTAATTAGAGCATTATCAGCAAGTGAAACAAATGAACAGAGAGAAGTTGAAAAAGCTAAACTTGAGAAAGAATATAAAAGAAGTGATCAACGTTTGGATGAATTGGTTTCACTTCATGATCAAGATCTCACTGAAGTTATGAAGGTTTGTTTTTTTTAGAAATTTAATGAAAAACTTGTGTTTTTAATAAAAGAGGTGATAATATAATTTTTAATTGCAATAGATATTTACTGCATTATCTGAAAAAGTAACTTTGGCAAGAGAAAAGATACACGCTGTCAAAGAGAATTTAAATGCCTGTAAACAATTATTAGGATGTAGAAGAGATGAATTAATGAAATTATGGTTGGAAGGTGTTGAGCATAAGCATGTTTTACAACTTTTAAGTGACATGTAAATATAGAATTTTTACGATAAGTAAATTTTTTCTAATTTTCTTATTTTATTAAAACTTAACTGTTTACAGAGGTGAATTAAGAGAAGTTCCTTCTCAATTAAATGTTTATTTGGAGAAAAAACTTTATTTACACGCAACGCAACTTCTTGTTTCTTCTTTATCTATGGGAGAAGGAGTACTAGAAGGCGTTGAAGCACTTCGTGAAGTGAAAACAGAATTGGAACTTAAAAAACAATTATTAAATTCTACTCTACTTGAAGAATTGAGTAAGAATTTGTATTATGATTCAACTTTAGAAGCACCTTTGCAAAGACAAGGTTCAAATAGAGATTTTCAAAGGGGTATAGAATTGAGAAATTCGAAAGGAAGTAAAATTAAAAAAAGTTTTCTTGACGTAACAACTACGTTCCCAACAAATATCAGGTAAATTTTATTACAATAAATAATAAATGGTTATAATAAAATTTCTGTTTTTTTTTTTTTTCCTCAGACGCTCTAGTAATGTTAATTTGGAAGATTTAAATAACGTAATTGAAGAGGAAGATTCCCTTGGCAATGAGAAGAGTTCAGAACATTTTCTTGCAATTATAATCGAGTGCTTTGCAATTTTAAACAAAATTCCCGAAACAATTGAGGTTGGTAATGATTTAAAAAAAAAAACTTCCAAATTATTGAAATTAAAGAATCCATTAAATCCTAAATAAAATTGTTTTCAGGTTATTAAATTACAAATGAAAACCGAATTATTGGGTATAGTGACGCGAACAACAAAAAATATAATTGAATCACACAAGAATAAAACATTAATTATTCCACAAATAAATATTGAAAATGAAAGTACATGTATTACTGAATCACAAGGTCAATCGTTACTTCGTGAATTGTTACAAACTCTTTTTGATCAATGCAGACTTGTTGTCACTGCTCATACAACGGCATTGCGAAGTTTCTCTCATGTTAATAAAAAATATAATCTACAAGTTCAATTGTATAGTATAAAAGACGTTTGGAATAATATTCAGGAAGTTGTAAGTATTTATATTTTTCTCTCTTATTTTTACGTGAAAAAAAAAATGTTTTTCTTTTCTAGTTTCAGATATTGTTAACTGAATATCTTGATGTACAAAATATGGTTGAAGATTCACTTCAAGCACCTAATTCTAATTCTTTGAATGAACAAACAATGGATATTAATGGTTATTTTGCTAAACGAAAACAAACAAGACAAAAAAGTGGTTCGTTATTTAAATTCGAATCTTCCACACATCCGGCATTTATGAACAGTTATCTCAAAGAACACAGATATAGTAATTTAACATTAACTGTAAGTTTAATTTTTTTTCTCAACAATATTTACGTAAAACAAACAAATGTTTATTTTAATAAATGATTTTTATACTTTAGGATAATGTACATTCTGTAGATGAAAAAAAACTTGTGTGTGAACCAGATCCTAAAAATGTGACTCTTATTTTTCGACCAATGATGCATTTTATAGAAGAAATTGAACAGGCTTTGGGAAATACACCAGGGTATGATTGCATTAGTTTGTAATCTATTTGAATAAATCGTAAATTGTATTTTTGAATTTTAAAACCTCTATCAATTGTAATTTGTAATTTGTAATTTTATCTACTTTTAGAAATCCATGTACGTTAAATAGTTTTATTGCTGATTATGTGAAAGAAATGTATTTGGCGAGGCATCATGTTCAAGTAGCAACGGCAATTGATGCGGCTATTAGAAATCCTAGTGCTTGGTCTGCAATGACACCGCCTGAACAAATGCGTAGTATTGGATTAACTCGACCCTTATTGGAAGTGAGTTAATTTGATTTTTCACACGGTGGAACTTGAGAAATAATATCTATAAATAAATAAATAATTACCTATATTAATTACAGAGTACAGTGAAAGTCGAACAGTGTGTTCAAGAATTGCGATCATTAATGATTGCTCTGCCTTTACAAGGCGAACATTTTTGCACTTTAACATTAAACGTTTTGAATAACTATCGAGAAACATGTCAAACTGCTTATCGAGATATCGTTCAACCCGATGGCGAAGATAAACAAATTTGTTCTGCAGCTTGGCTAAAGGACGATGATATCAGTAGATTTATAAGGTATAATTCCTACCCAAGATATAATAATAATTATTATTATTATAATTTTAAATATTATATTGAATTTTATTCATCATATATATATTTTTTTGTCTATTGTGATAGATCTTTGCCTAATTGGGAGAGTTTAAAAAATGAAATGCAGTCGCGATCTATACCAATTGGTAGAAGACCACGACGTCAAGAAACACAGGACGAGGAAAGCCCTGAGGAAGTTAGACAGCGTAATTTACGAGAAGCTGAAATATTAGCGAGTAATTTAGGAGAAGGTGGAATTAATGCACATGAAATTATTTCTGATATAAAGCAATTAAAGACATTGGCACTTTTACAAGAGAGTATTGAATGGTTTTCACAATCAACAAGATCATTTATATCGGATTTAAGACGCTCACGTGCTGAAGTTGAACATCAAACACTTGTACCTGATATTTCAGAATCTCTCATTGAATCTTTGGAACAAGTGGCTAATGATTTTGATGAACTTGCAAATACCTGTATTCTTCTCTTACATTTGGAGGTAATAATACTAATTTTGTTACAATTTCAATAAATCTTTTATAAACATACAATCACTCGCTTATAGTAGATAAAAATAACGATAAAAAAAAAAAAATTATTAGGTAAGAGTCCAATGTTTTCACTATCTACATCCGAGGGGAGAATATGATCATTTGTGTAGTAAAATCAAAGATCCAGAGGAAGCAGATCCACGTGTTGAAGATCTCAGCCGAGTATTACAACAAATTGACGAAGCTTTGCAGACAACGCTTCATCCGAAAAAAACAAAAGTAAGAACTTTTCTTTTTTTAAATTAATAATTTATTTATTTTTATGTTTTATATTATTTCAGTATGTTTTTGAGGGATTGGGTCATCTTATATCGAAAATTTTGATTACTTCCGCTCAATATATTGGAAAAATTGATGACAGTGCAATACATCGAATGTGTAGAAATGTTTTTACTCTTCAACAAACATTAACAAACATTACAATGACAAGAGAATTGGCTCTTGATTATGCACGTCAATATTTTGAACTTTTTTATGAAACACCTGATGAAATTATTAATACAGTTTTGGAACATGGACCACGTTTCTCTGAATTGGAATATATGAATGCTTTTCAGCTTATTTCACGAAGTCGAGAAGAATATACAACGATAAATAAGTACCTTGAGAGACTTTCGGAAATTCTTGGCGAAGTTGGAGTTACAGTTTGATGTTATAGATTTCTTTGAAATCAACTAAAGTTTAGCAATGAAATCAATGATTTTTATTCACTGAATGCCTTGTTATATTTTAATTGAGATTGGTATTAAGGAAATATTAACTGAATCATTGTAAATAGATAAAATAAATTAAAATTGTTTTACTAATATAATTTCTTTTCGTATTCAATTATTCCAGCTTTCATTACTGAAATTCAGATTTTTAAGAAAATAAAAAAATAATTAAGGTGTATTGAAAAAAGCGCAATGTAAAATTTAGGAAACTTAATTTCCACATGTTTATTTTTTTTCTACTTCTAATACAAAACTTATTGTCTTAAAGGTCAATAAAATTTGTTAGAAAGTAAAAATTATTTTTTTTTTTAATTGCTTTTTTGATTATAACAGGAAAAAAAAATCAATGGTGTAACATTATACATCTTCATTTACTTTTTGTATTATATCGCAAAGTACAAATATAAAGTTCTATTGCTACTTTATTTAAAGAAAAAGTCAATAATGTAAGATAAAAAAAAAAAAAATAATTAACAATTAGAAGATTAATTTTGTGGAAAAATATATTGACAATTATAGAGTAATTAATATTTACGAACTTAATCATCTACACATTGCTGTTAATATGAAAAAAAAAAATAATTCATACAGCTTTCTTCACTGGAGGCCTAAATGTGCCAACGACAACAGCGTGATCACGTTCATATGGCTCGAGTGTAATCTGTTCTTGTGGTTTTAGTTTATCACTAATTAATTTTTTCACTTCGGCAGCAAATACTGCTTCTGGTTGTGCGGTGGAATCAATGCAACTTGCCTAAAATTAAAGAAATAAGTAAATTTTGTTTGCCTTTTTTTCCATGTAAATTAGAATAAATTATTTAAAAACTTACCTTGATGGAAATAACAAAATGTCCTCCATTTTTAAGGAAGTACTGAGAATTGAGTGCAACTATTCTTGCCTGATCTGGTTGTGCAACGTCAGCAAATACTGTATCTACCATGCCCACCAACATTCTGTATTTGTGTGGATGTCTTGCATCTTCTATTATAGGAATGATATTTGTCCTCTTTTTCGCAACATTTATTAAATCTCTACCAGATCTGTGAGAAAATTCCACTGCATATACTAATCCTTCCTGAAAAAATAAAAGTCAAAATGAAATACTAATAAAATATAAATATTGCTTTTAAATTAAAGAATAAAAGAAATAAACTTACTGGTCCTACAACATCAGCAACGTGCGATACTGTTGTTCCTGAAGCCGCACCAAGGTACAATACTTTACTTCCCGGTGGCATGTGAATTTGATCAACACCTCCTAAAATAGCAGCAGCCAATTTTGATCTAAATGGATTCCAAACTCTGTATTCAACTTTTTCTCCATTGTCACTCTAAAATTAGAACAAAAAGAAATTTAATTTTAGAATTAAATAATATTTTAATATTAAATAGATAATTATTATTTTTTTTTCTTCAATTAAATCTCACCTCGACACTTATTCTTTTTTCGCCATAAACTTCTGAACCGGGAACTAAATTGAGAGTGACTAGTGCGTCTTCCTTTCCTCTGGCAATAAAAACACCTTCGTGACGATGAGGTTCAATGACGACAGTTTTTCCACCTTTGAAACCGCCGCCACCACCACCTCTTCCTCTTCCACCACCGCGTCCACCAAAACCACCTCGACCTCTGCCTCCACGATCACCACCGCCTCTTCCGCCGCCAAATCCACCTCTACCGCCTCCACCACCGCGTCCTCCAAAACCACCTCGACCTCTGCCTCCACGATCACCACCGCCTCTTCCGCCTCCAAATCCTCCTCGACCTCCTCGACCACCGGGTGAAAATCCTGAAAATTTTTTCTTTTTTAATTCTCCAATTTTTTTTTCTAAATTCTTTAAAATAGAATTTAAATATTAACATAAATAAAAGCACATTAAAAATACACATTAAAATACACTTAAAATAAAAATCTGCAAATTTTCTAGAAAAATTTAATTGAAATCTTTTAAATTTTGACATTTCAGAGCTAAGGTTAAAAATTAATTTTCATATAATATTTTGGTCTTTTTTTTTTTTTGAACAATAATCAATTTTTTAATCAACAATCATAGATTATTTTGAACAATCAGTTAATATCGCTCCAAATAACATGCGCTCAACATGATAAATATAATACGTTCAATGTAATTTAATAAAATACAATACTTTTTACACACACAACAAAAAGGCCCAATATATCAAATTAAAATAAATAATTTATAAATATAAAATAAATCCGTTTAACAAAAACAATTCCTTTTAAAAAGAAACAATCGCAGTTCACCTATTATTGTTATTAAACGAACAATAGCACTGTCTGTTTACTTTTTGACAATCAACGCGTTTTAAATATAAAAAAAAAAATTAAAACTTACAAAATACATATAAAAATCCCAGTAATTTTTATTCTTTTTATATAAAAAATAATAGAAAATAATATTTAATATAACAATTTTTATAGGTTAGGATACCCGGCTAAGATTAAGAACTATTGTACAAATATGTCACAGTAATTAACAACATGATAAATATTATTAAAAATTTTTATTAATAATTTATATTTACCTGGCTTACCCATTTTGTTTTAATATATCTTCTGTGAATAAATGCGATTTAATAATCTTTTTTAGTTTATCCACGTGCTCAAATAAGAAACCAAAAGAAAAAAACAGGCTTACTGCGATGTTGCAATACAATACGTAAAGGTGTCTTTTCATAGATAAATAATTGCCATAGAAACAATATTTTAATTGGTTAAAAACATGGTCAAACCTGTCACGTGACCACTATTGACCAATTAAATTCACGTTACTGTGGAAAAATGAATGATAAATGAAAATACTGCTTAAGGCGTTAAGCTACTTCTACAATTTCTTTTTGCCTAGCATGTGATTTCACCTTTAGAGTGACGCGTCAAAAGTTTCCAATATCTGTCCATCGCTGTCCGGAACTTTATAACCTCACAAGCATTTTCATTGTAAACTTTTACAAACAAAAACTTAATAATAAGTAACAAATTTACTTAAAAATATTCAGCAATGGCAGATGTTTTAGATATTGACAATGCAGAAGAATTCGAAGTTGATGATGAAGGAGATCGTAAGTTTTTTAAATAAATTTTATTTGAGAGAATAAACATTTGATTTTTTAAAGTTAACAGAAAATTAAGGTGTAGATTCATTGACAATAAAAGTAACAATTTAAATTTAATAATATAAATTTTATAAATACAACTTGTTCTTGCAATTATTTTTAAGTAAATATCCTTAAGAAAGAAAAACTACGTTATTTATTTAGAAGGAATCGCTAGACTGAAGGAAAAGGCAAAGAAAAGGAAAGGCAGAGGTCATGGATCAGAATTAGTTTCCGTGCGAGATGATGTCGGTCATTATGAATCAATGAATGTTGTTGAGGACAACGATGATGAACCAGGACCACAAAGATGTAAGAGAAATAATGTTTTGGTTAAAAAAAGAAATAGCGTTTTAAATTCATTTAAATTAATTATGGTTCATTTTGTCATTTTTTTTTCTTTTAGCCGTTGAAGGATGGATTTTATTCATTAACTCTGTTCATGAAGAAGCACAAGAAGACGATATACATGAAAAATTTTCCGAATTTGGTACAATAAAGAATTTACATTTAAATTTGGATCGACGAACTGGATTTCTTAAAGGATACGCTCTGGTTGAATACGAGACATTTAAAGAAGCTCAAGCTGCCAAAGAAGAACTTAATGGCAAAGAAATACTTGGTCAAGCAATTTCTGTTGACTGGTGCTTTGTAAAAGGTCCCAAAAAGTAAGTTTTCTTTATTATAAAATTGAAAATATTTTTTATAAAAATCTATATATTTGTTCTGAATTTAATTTTTCATTTCTTTTTTACAGAATTAAAAAGAGGAGTCACCGGCGACGTTAGAATTAATTATCTCTAGACATAATAATTATGACTTTAATTTTTCAAAAAACAAAAGAAGAACATATATTTAAGAATCGTTTAAATAAATTTTCTACGAAAAAAAATTATTATAAAATTAATTCTTTGTTTTTCGTTTTTGGACGAAGTTAAAAAGAAATATTTCATAATGTACTACAAATAATTTTGTTTATTCTTAAAGATACAAATATACGCTCACACAACATACTTTATTAGCAAATTATTTATTTCCTTGAATTGAAAACGCAGACTTTTTTTTATTTTTATGAATTATTTAAGCATAGTAATTAAGATTTGCTTTCTTTTTAGCTTGCACTTCATTAATGGCTTCCATTAAATCTTCATGTGTAACTGCCGTTGCATTTCTCCTCAATGCAATCATTCCCTAAAAATTAAAAAAAACAATCCATTATCAAAAAAAGTCACAAATTATGGCTAAATTTATTCAATTTTGATTTTTTGAAAAATCTTACCGCTTCGACGCAGACAGCTTTGCATTGTGCTCCATTAAAATCATCAGTCGATCTGGACAATTCCTCGAAATTCACATCTGGTGACATGTTCATTTTACGCGAATGTATTTGCATAATGCGAGCTCGTGCCTCTTCATTGGGATGAGGGAATTCAATTTTTCTATCTAAACGTCCCGATCTAAGTAAAGCTGGATCCAAAATATCAACTCTGTTTGTTGCGGCAATTACTTTAATATCCGCAGTTGAACTAAAACCATCCAATTGATTTAAAAGCTCCAACATTGTACGTTGTACTTCACGATCACCAGCTTTCTCCGAATCAAATCTTTTGGTTCCAATTGCATCTAATTCATCGATAAAAATAATGGCCGGTGCTTTTTCTTTCGCCAATGAAAATGCATCTCTCACTAATTTTGCACCATCACCAATGAACATTTGAACAAGTTGAGGACCAGCTAATTTCAAGAATGTCGATTTTGTTTGAGCAGCACAAGCTCGAGCCAATAGAGTTTTACCTGTTCCAGGTGGTCCATATAGAAGAACACCTTTAGGTGGTTGTATACCTAAATTTTCAAATTTCTCTTTATGTGTCATTGGAAGAACAACGGCTTCAATTAATTCTTGAATTTGCTTATCTAATCCACCGATATCGGAATATTGTTCAGTTGGTCTTTCATCAACTTCCATTGCCTTTACTCTTGCATCGTATTCGGCGGGCAATGTTTCCAAAACAAGATAACTGTCCTTATTCACACCAACAAGATCGCCTGGTTTCAATGTTTCAGCATCAACAAGTCCTATTACTGGCAAAAAATATGTTTGTCGAGTTGATGTTTTAATAACGGCACATTTGCCCTTTCGTTGAGCATCTAAATCAACAACTGCTCCATCCTCTTCACCCATATCCTGTGGATCGACATCCAATAATTCTATCACATTTGAAACCAAATACGGTAATGTTTTATTTACTTTAATTTTTTCAGTATTCTCTTTGATTTTATCATTTTGAGCTTGCAACTCATGAGAAATTCTCATTACTTCGCTTTTCATGATTTTTATTTCATTATCTAATAATCGAGTTCGAGAAACAATTTCGTCAGTTGACATTCGCAGGACGTCTTCACCCAAACTTTCCTGTTTAGAAAAAAATCCCAATTAAACGAATTTTCAGATTACTTGAAAAAAAAGGAAAGTAATTTTTAAAGGGACAAATTTTTTTTAATTTATAGTTCCTGTCAATTAAATACAAGAAAACAATCACCTATTTCGGTATTGTTCTTTATCTTGACAATTGAAAATAATACACGCATTTAAATAGATCTCTAAAAAAAACAAACAAACGAATTTTGACAAATAAGTTGTTTTAAATGGAAAAATATTTTCTTATAAAACATATACTATAAATGTGTATATGTATCAGATTAGAAAATTATATTATATGAATATTAATTTCTAAAACGTATTAAAAAAAATATATATTTTAAAATCATAGTTTAACTAAAGACAAAATTAATGCTTGTCATTCGACATTAACATAACCAACAAAATGTTGTCAACCTAATTTGTTTTTTTAACATACCTCACCATCTTCCCAAATAGATTTATCTTCTAAAGATGCCATTTTTTAAATAAAAATTGATAACTAAATATAAATTTCTTATTAATTAACAGCAAAAAAAATTCTTAAGTAAATATTCCACATACAAATGTATTGGTACTTTTTTAACTTCTTCAATGCGAGGCATAAACCAAACAGTAATTATTAAGCCGCATACACATAACCTTTTCCGGAAATTTTACAAAAGCGCAGTCTATTGAAAGAAAATTTAACTAGATTTCAACAGATTTAAGTGCATCTCAATAATTATATAATCAATGCATTTTATAACCATTCAGAAATGTCAACGTGTTAAAGATTTGTTTGAAAAAACGCTTATGCGGCGTTTTATTGAAAAAATTACTTGACAGTATTAGACTCAATGTTATTAGACGTATGGTGACTTAGTAATTTTTTAATAAACTGCCACAATGTTTAAGAAAAATAGCACAAAGTTAATAATTTACGCGATAGGTACTTTTGCCTGTTATTTTTATTATGGTGTTTTACAAGAAAAGATAACATGTGGATTATATGGTGAAGGAGAAAAAGCTGAAAAATTTACATTAATTATTGCCCTCGTTTGCTTCCAATGTATAGTGAATTATCTATTTGCAAAATTTATTTTGATATTTGTTAATCAAGGTGAAGATTCCACGAAAACTTTATATTATTCTTCTTCCGCTCTCACTTATTTACTTGCAATGGTATGCAGTAATATGTCATTACAATTTGTTAATTATCCAACACAAGTTGTTGCCAAAGCTGGAAAACCAATTCCTGTTATGATACTAGGTGTACTTCTTGGGAAGAAGGTAATTCACATTTTTTATCAATTCTAATAATAATTGACTTGTTTCCTCGATTTTGACATTATTTAGCTAAATTAGAATTCAAAAGAAATTTATTATTTTATTTGATTTCAGTCATATCCGTTGAGAAAATATTTCTTCGTATTATTAATAGTAGCGGGTGTTGCTGTTTTTATGTACAAAGATGGAAAAACATCATCACAAACTTCTAGTCAAATGGGATTTGGAGAAATTTTATTAATACTCTCATTAACAATGGATGGTTTAGTAAGTGCAATACAAGAGAGAATGAGAGCAGAACATAAAACACAATCTTTACATATGATGCTCAATATGAATTTTTGGTCCATTATATTTAGTGGATTATCAATTTTAATAACCGGCGAATTAATTAAATTTATTTCATTTTTACAAAGACATCCAAATATTATTATGCATATTATAAATCTTGGTGCTGCTGGTGCATGTGGACAATATTTTATATTTTTAACAGTATCTGAATTTGGTCCATTGCCATGCTCTATTATAACGACGACGAGAAAATTTTTTACTGTCTTAGGATCAGTTATATTATTTGGTAATTCACTTTTAATGAGACAATGGATAGCGACTATTGTTGTATTTCTTGGATTATTTTTAGATGCCATGTATGGCAAGAAGACTGCGAAAAAAGAAACTATCAAATAATTTATCAGGTATATCATATATTCAAGTTAGTCAATTTAATTTTTCACATTTACTAGTGCGATTCCAAGTGAGATTTTGACTTTTTCGGAGTAGGTTAACCGATTGCAATGAAACTTTGGAATTTTGTTATATATAGTAAGACTAATCTTTAACGTAAATTTCAGCCTAAAATATTTGTTAGTTTACGAGATTTGCAATAATAACAAAAAATTTAAAACTGCTATATCTTCCGTTCTAATAAACGGATTGAGGTCTACTTTTTTTTAAAATGTCAAGGAAAATGAGAGGAATAAATCTCTTTGAGAACATTTTTTTATAATTTTACAACTAAAAAAATTATTAAATAATAATTGAATAACTTTCGCGCGACTAACTAAAATTCAATCACTTAAACGCTAAAATGATCTTACCTGTGTTTTCTTTAATGTTCCAAAGGATTTTTATTGTAAATGTAAGTTTAACTTAAGAAATTTTATTAATTTATTAGTATAAACAATTGAGATTTCTGCTAGTTGACGTGCAGACGACATTGCGCACGCAGCATTCTCACATAGCCAATTTAGTCCACGAATCACGTCAGTTGGCTATGTGAGAATGCTGCGTGCGCAATGTCGTCTGCACGTCAACTAGCAGAAATCTCAATTGTTTATACTAATAAATTAATAAAATTTCTTAAGTTAAACTTACATTTACAATAAAAATCCTTTGGAACATTAAAGAAAACACAGGTAAGATCATTTTAGCGTTTAAGTGATTGAATTTTAGTTAGTCGCGCGAAAGTTATTCAATTATTATTTAATAATTTTTTTAGTTGTAAAATTATAAAAAAATGTTCTCAAAGAGATTTATTCCTCTCATTTTCCTTGACATTTTAAAAAAAAGTAGACCTCAATCCGTTTATTAGAACGGAAGATATAGCAGTTTTAAATTTTTTGTTATTATTGCAAATCTCGTAAACTAACAAATATTTTAGGCTGAAATTTACGTTAAAGATTAGTCTTACTATATATAACAAAATTCCAAAGTTTCATTGCAATCGGTTAACCTACTCCGAAAAAGTCAAAATCTCACTTGGAATCGCACACTAATATATTTCGAAAAAAGACAAAAATGAATATTTTGTTTTCTCGAAAAAAAGAAAAAATTAAATTCAACTATATTAAGTCTACAGTTGTTTTTTTTTTAGGGGTTTTTATTTACATTTTTCTCATAGAGAAAGCATTGTTGGAAATTTGCGATTAAAATTTCTTGTGCAATTTTAGTTTTTAATTAAAAAAAAAAATCTATTCATTTCTATGAGATGGGATTCATAAAATGATAATATAGAAAAATAAATGATATCTATTTTTAGATAATTCATTGTAAATTTTAAACGACTATTTAAAAAAAAAAGAGAATTATTACAAATCTTGTAATATTTTATATGTTCTTAAAAAATTGTGTTCCAACGATTAAAATAAATATAAATTTTTTATTTTACCTTTCTTTTTTAGAATAAAAATTTTTTAATTGACACTGTCATTCATTGACTTTTTATATTTTCATTGTCAAATTCGATCGAATTTAAGATTAAGAAAATTACCGCGATTTTTTTTTTTTTTTGCGATCATATCATTTTTGAATGTGCGTCAAAGAAGACGTGTTAATTTGGGAATAATTCACCTTATTAATATCCTTATTATAATTTTATCTTTTAATCATTATATACGAACATATGAGTATTAAGTATTTTCTTTCTATTTTTAAGATTAAGTTTTTCCAAAAATTATTACTGAATATTGTAAATCTTTTTTCTTTATATGGAAATTAATTACTTTTTTTTGTAATTTTTAAAAATTACAAAAATTAAACTAAAAAACAGTATACATTAATATAATTAAATACAATAAATTTAAATTCAATTTGAAGAATCAAATTCAATTAAGTTATTAATAAATCTAATACAATTTAATAAAAAAAAGTGCTGATTAAGGAAGTAAAAACTGTAAATTGATAAAGATCTGTAAACAATAACAGTAGTAATTCACAGAACTAATTATTATTATTATTATTTAATGTATATACATTAAAAACGAAAATTGATAATAAAAAAATAGACAAAAATTAGAAGCTAAATTGTTAAGCGGGATTATAAAATTTAATTAATTGCATTTGAAACAAATCTCAATAATCTTAGAAGATAATCTTTTGTCGGACATATATATCCAATGTGTATTGTCCCCTGAATTTGTTTCCTATAGCAAGTGCGATAACTGATAAAAAAAAAATAACATATGTCTTGAATACTGCAACTGGAAGGGAGTAATCAGTAAAATTTATCAGAATCAGCTAGGACTATTTGACGGGGAGGGCAGTTCATTACGTATCTTCCTTAGTTATAAATCGCGTGTATTGTCTGACTTTTTTTTTTATCGTTGTGCCTTCTATATAAATGTCACGCAATACTATAAGTTCAAGTAGATTTAAGTTTATACAAAAAATAATAAAGTGTTATAGTTTATTTTAAAAATTCTTGTTTCTAAATTTTTTTTTTACAGAAAAAAAAAACTATCTCAATGGTAATTAACATTATTATCAATCTAATATTTTATTAAACGATTCTAGTTTATTGTTATTTGTAATGCAAATGATATTAGTAAATATATTTCTGTTTAACATTTTTTTTTTCACTGTTAGTGAATAAAAGAGAAAAATTTAATTTCTCATTTTTTTTTATAATTTTACAGTTTTTTTTTTTTAAATTTTTAAAATTGTAGTTTTTTAATATCGACTATTTTTTTAAATTTATAATTCAAGATTTTTTTAAAACTTTATTATACTTTAGAACGAAAAAACAACAACTATTATCTATATTCAAATTTTGTATCATAATTACTGTCGTAATTATTGTGTGTTTTTTAAAACCGGAATTTTTGTATTCAAGTCAATTTGACCGATATTATTTGTAGTTTTTTTTTTTAAATAACAAAATAATTTTTAAAAAAATTTATTTATATTTTGTGAATATTATTTTGGAGTTATTAAAAAAGAAAAATGTTGAATAGAGAGTTTAATTAAGTTATTGACACAAAGAGTAAAAATTATCAGTTCACCTTTTATTACATTGATCATGACCTAAATTCCCAGTTGAGTGATTTCTCGTTAGAAAAAGAATAATTCAGGTACACTGATAAGGTGATTTTTCCCATTATTAACGAAATAATTGATTCATTAATGAATTTTGATTTAATTTCTTAATTTTTTTAAATGCGTCACTTTAAAGTCAATTATAATTTTAAATAATTAGTTCTATTTAAATGACACTTATCTATTTATAATGATAGAAAAAAAATAATAGCAACAAAGTCGTTAAAAGTGATGATGATAAAATTTAAAAAAAAAGTAAAAACCAATTTCCTGTTAGCTAGAAAATTGACATTTTCCTTTAAAATTTATAGTGAAAAATTGAAAATTCTTTGGTAATTGAAAAATTATTTATAACTTTAAATTGTATATTGATAATTAATTTATTACTATTTTTAAGATTTTCAATTAATAATATCTTTGGAAATTCCGACAATTGATATAAAAGTAGTTAATAAAAAAAAAAAAAATGACACTTTTACTTTCAAATAAATTTTGTTCCCAAAGAGGAAAAAGAAGACAGTTGAATTCGAGACACTGTACGAATAAGTTCGGAAAATTTGTACCCGGTTCTTTTTTAAAAAAAAAAACAAATTTATTAAATAAGAGTCATTGTGAAATAATAAATACAGTGAAATAAACTTTTTAAGTAAGTGAAAAATAGTAAATATATTTTAAAGTAACGATCAACTTTTATTTATATATTTAATAATTAGATAAATAGAAAAGAGAAATTTATTTTAATTTTCTTTATAATGAATTATTTGGACCTGAATTTATTTAAATTCAGTTTTATATAAATTTTTAAAATAAAAATTTCAATTAAAAATTTAAATAGAAATTCAATTGAAAATATTTTTAATGGAAGGATCAATTAAATATGTATATTAAAAATTTAATAGTATTTCAAGGAAAAAATGTTATTTAATAATGATTTCATTGTGATGACAGAAAATTATTATTTTAAACAAAAAATGATTTATTACTATTCTTATATAACATTTTGGCAAAAAAATGAATTCATCACACGAAACAATAGGACAAAGTAATTTTACATTCAAAAATCTTTAGCACATATATTCTGCGTGAAATCTCAGTAACTGGTTTTTCTTTTCATATTGAGGGAAAATTTGTTTTCAAATGACGCAAAAATGAAAATGAAAAAACAAATTTACTAAATTATATTGAAATGTCATTATAAATTTCAGAGAATAATTATATTTATGATTGACTAACAATGTACAATTTTTTGAATAATTACAAAAAAAAAAATTAATTAATCTGTAAAATGAAATTTAAAATTGTTTTATGCTTATTCACTCTTGAGCATCTCACCTTGAAAGTAACAGATTAATAAAAGTTGAAAATTCCTTTCTTTTATTTTTACAACTAATTTGTTTATTAATATATAGTTAGAGGTGGAAAATTGTTATAGTTTTTTTTTTGTTTTTTTAATTCAATTACTTGTTTATTTTACTATTGTTCTCTAATGTTTTGTTTAATAAATCAGTTTTATGTGCAAAACGTAAAAGACATGATAAATACATAACACAATAATGAGGTGTGTAAATATTTAAAAAGTGAAAGTTGATTTATCAATTCTACCATGTGTGCGTGTGATTCATGAAGTTTAAAAATTAAAATAAATTACTTGTTTCAGGTACATATGAATAGGTGAAGTCATTATGGAAAAAAGATTCTACTTTTGTCAATCATTTATGATTTATTTGCTGTTTTTAATCACAAGTGTCAAGAGCATTAATATTTCTCATTCTCACAATGATGGTAAGTTCTGAAAATTATTTCAATAGTTATAATTTTACATTCATTTGAAATGGCGCGCTCTTTAATTACAATGTAATTTGATAAAGAATTTATACTTGGAATAATTATTCCGTAGATGAGGAAAAATAAAACGAAAATATAATTTTTTGAATTTAGACATTTTTAGTAAGAATTAAAATTAATTAATTTGATTTTTTTTTTTTTGCAGATTATTCACTGAAAAGTTCTTTCAATGAAGTGGAAAATTCATCATCATTGAATGATATTATTGGGACATTACGAATAATAACGACAAATAATAGTGACGGTAATGGCACAGTGGAATGTTCAGTTCGATCGATACATGATTTTCCTGAGGATTTATTTAATCGTTATGAAAGAAAGCAGGGTGCTGTTATTTTTCATATATTTTTTTGTTTCTATTGCTTTTTGCTGACAGCATTTATTTGCAATGATTATTTATTGCCTGCTCTTGATTGTATTTGTGCTGATTTAAATATCAGTGCTGATGTTGCGGGAGCAACATTTTTGGCAACGGCAAGTTGTTTTCCTGAATTATTTGTTAATGTTGTCGGTACATTTTTAACTGAATCTGATCTTGGAACTGGTGCAGTTGTTGGAAGTGCTGTTTTTAATACTTTTGTTACACCGGCTTGTGGAGCTTTATCAGCTGCCGAGGTGAATTATTTATAGTTATTATCCTTGACTAATGTTAAAATTTTATTCATCTTCTTATTTATTCGTTCAATTAATCAAATTTTCAATATTTATATTAATTATTTGTCTTATTTTTTTTATTTGTTTATTATGCTAATATATTTATATTAATAAAATAGTGAAATATAATAAAATTAGTAAAATATAATAATAAATAAATAAAAATGTCATAATCAAGGTAAAATAATTTTTTCGAATTACATAAATAATATAATTTAAAATAATAAGTAATTAAAATAATAATATTGATAATTTTATTTCTCTTTTATAAAGAAAGAATTAATATATACGAATTATTATCGAATATAATTTATAAAATAATTAAAATTATTAATTATAATATACATTTTGATTGAATCTGATAATTTTCCGAATCTATTGCTTAATTTGAATAATCATTTTAATCCATTTTGAAATTTGTAAATTCATTTAGAATATTAAATTCATTTTTATGATCGTTAAGAGCTAAAAACTGGTTTTTCAAAATCGAAACTGTCTCTAATTTACATAACTCTAATTAAGAGAAAATTGTATATTATATTTATTACATTTGTTATTTATTACTTTATATTATTATTATCATACTAATTATTATGTCTTATTTATAATTCTTTTATTATATTTTATTGATAAATTCAAATTTTGACAATAAATTTAAAAAATTTAACTTTTTTTTTGCAAAAAAAAAAAGCGCGAAAAACACGTACAAAGTGCAGAATGATTATATTTTTTAATCACAAGATATCCTTCGATCATTATTTTTTTAATCAACCGACCATTGTTTATATTGATTACTACATATGATTTTAATTATTGACGTCATTTAAAAAAAAAAAAAAAAACTTTTTTCAAAATTCATATTTTTCTTTTAGAAAAAATTGATGTGTAAATGTAATTTTTAGGTCTCTCTAAATTTTTTTCCTTTTTTTTTTTAGGCAATTCACTTGAAATGGGGAATATTAACACGAGATTGTATTATTTATATAATCTCCGTGAGCAGCTTGGTAATTATCATGTGGGATGGAATAGTAACATGGTATGAGGCATCAATACTTTTATTATTATTCGCCGGATATTTTAGTATTTTATTCTTCAGCGGAAGAATTTCAAGATTATTTACAAATTTCGTGAAAAAACCAAAACTTTCAGGTGTTAAAAGTGAGTATATTTTTTTGTATAATAATTTAAAAGAAAATTTAAAATGACAAATTTAGAAAAACATTTTTTCTCAAGATTTTAAAAACAATTTTTTCAAAATAAGAATTTTCTTTTAATTAGAATTTTTTGTTATTTTTCTTTTTTTTATTATCTGATGTACCATTAATTTTTTCTTTTCTTTTGCAGCTGTAGATACAAAGAAACATGACGTTATGCCTCACGGAACTTATAAACCATTCTTTCACGGAGAATTAGTGATTGAATATAGAAATAGTTTAGTGAAAAATAATAATTTCAAAGCAGCGGTTAATGGAGAGATCTCTAATTTCAAAGAACCATTGGAAGTGTACATTGAACCTGGTGTGTAAAATTTTGAATTATTTATTTATTTTTAAAATATTTTAAATTCTTAAATTAATAATAGAAAAAAATATTAAATTTCTAAAATTTTTATTAATGAAAGTTGAAAAAAAAAATTAGATAAAAATGATAAATTATATAAATTTTGATTTATATTGAAAATAAATTTACAGAAACAATCTTCACATGGCCGAGAAGTTCAACATTAGCAAAATTTTGGTTTTTATTCACATGGCCATTAAGGTTTATTTTATTTTTAACAATTCCCGACACAAGATATCATCGATTTCGTAATTGGTATCCAGTGACATTTATAATGTGCGTAATATGGATTGCTGTAGCTTCATATTTAGTTTCCTGGATGACAACCGTTGTTGGCGATACATTAGGAATCCCCGATTCCGTTATGGGAATAACATTTTTATCTGCTGGCGGGAATATGCCGGAACTTGTGTCCATTGTCATTCTCTCGAAACGAAGTGAGTAAACAATATATTTATTACAAAATTTTGATTTCATATCATTTTTGATATATATCTTTCTTTTGATTCACTGATATACATGTTTAAATGAATGTTATTTTTAAATTAAATTTTGTAATTCAATTTTTCTCCTTATTATAAACGTTATCGTACATTGAAAAAATAAGATTGACTCATTTCTTTTCTTTTTCATAGTTAATTATGGTAAATGAAATCATTAATTTTTATAGAACAAAAATAAATTGAATTATGTTTTACTTTAATTTCAAAATGAGTATAAAAAATTTGTTTCGCAATTTATTTGATAGAAATTTTCTTTACATTTTCAATTGTTATTATTTTATTAGATCATGGAGACATGGCAATGAGTAATACAATAGGAGCAAACACATTAGATATTCTTTTCTGTCTGGGACTGCCCTGGACAATAAAAGTGATATTAAGTGGGAAAGATGTACAAATTCAAAGCAGTGCCATTGCTTATAGTGTTTTAGCAATAATAATATGTGTCGTAGGTTTTTACGCTGTCACCGCTTACTACGGATTTAAATTAAATAAAAAAGTGGGTCTCGCATGTCTCGTCATGTACACCTTATTTTTAATCTTTGCCATTCTTTTAGAATTGAATACTTTCTTCTTTGTGAATCGGCCAATGTGTGACGATTAATAATAATTAATTAGCAAAAAAAAAATAACATTTTTTCATGGTCACAAATTTGGAATTTTTCATGAAGAAAAAAAAATTATCAATTCTACGTGAAAGTAGAAGAGAAAGATAATAGAGATTGAAAAGATGGTAAAGAGAAGAAATAAAAGAATCATTTCTTAACATCGATACAAAGTTGCAAGAAGAAAAAAAGGACAACTTATTTGCTCATGAAAGAAATGTATTTTTTCTTCAGTGAAGAAAGATTAATAATAGATTAATTACTAGGTAATTTATTAATCATTGTAAAAAGAATTATTTTATATTGTAATACCTTAAAGTATAAATTTAAATTATTGAAAATATTAAAAATAATTTAATTAATCACTATTTGTAGCTGATTGGCTTTCTGTCTGTTTTTTTAAAAAATTAATTGAACTTTAAGGAGAAGCAATTTTAAATATTCTTTTTTAATGTTACTAATAATAATCATAAATGATAATTAATAGACGATAATTTTTTTATATTGAAAGCGATATTATGTATTTATATATTTATGTGCAAAGAACTGACATTTTAGAAGCGCGACGAATTTTTGTTTTACTATTAAGTTTTTTTTTTTTTTTTTTTGTAAATAAGTAAAAAATTGATAAATATTTTTAAACGGAAGACAATGAATCAATAAAGAAAAAATTGATCGCATTTGAAATCTATTTATTTTAAAAGAAAATTCATTCTAAATTATTTGATTTTTCAAGTAATGAATATATAATTAAACGCTGAAGAAAAAGAGAAATTTTGAAAAATACAACAAAAATAATAATTAAATTTTTTGAGACAAGAAACTAGATAAATTTGTGGTAACAAAAAAAAATTGTAAAAAAATTTTTTATTCATTATTCGAGGATAATTATATATTGATAAATAAACTTTCTTAGTATCGGTTCATTTTCCTTATTGACACATTTATTCAATTTCTTTTGTATTTTCGTTTTATTGTCATTACGCTATAGAAATTTATTATTAATCCATATGATAAGGAAAGGATTCATTTTCCAAGGAAAAATTTCAAAATAAAAATGCAAAATTCGGTAGAAAAGTAACTTTCTATTGGCATAATAATAATCACTTCTCTTTTAAATCGTGACAAGAAAATTTTTTTGCTGTGGCAGAAAATAATATTACACAATATTTTTCGTTTTTTATCATATACTTTCGGAAAATCTTTCGATGAAACACACACAAATCTCGCCATTAACAAACTAACATATGTATATATCTATAACAATAACAAAATAACATATTTAAATTGCGATAAAATTTTCTATGATTAAAATATTTTATAAATATTTTATAACAAATAGTCTATAACAAGTAAACAATGAATATTTAGAAGAATTACATATATTTTACAGATGTTAAAGAAAGTTTAAATATTTAAAATAACAATATATAATTTATTTAAACTTTGAAATTTTTGTTGAGAAAAAAATTCATATATAAATTACATTATTTTTAAATTTCACAGAAAAACAATAATATTTTCATTATTAAATTTTAATAAATATTATATTAGAATTTGCGTAATTGCATATATAATTATTTTTCTTTGTATGTACCTGAGAAATGCAATGTCCCTTAATTTTTTTTTTTTTTTTTTTTATATTTTGCAAATATTCATAAATTTAATTCTTATTAATTTACATAATAATTAATAAGTACAATTCTATATAGAAATTATATTTTTTTCTTATTAGAAATCAATATTATTAGCGAGACGAGTGTATTTCTGTAATTAAACTTTTTCATAAAATCTTTTTGCTTTCTCAATTAATATGATTAATAAGCAGTCAGTTGATTCTGATCTATTTTATTTTATATAAAGATATATTAAACAATTTATTCCTCAATGAGAGGCAGCAGTGTAATTAGCTTGTAAAAATCATTTATTATTAAAATGTCGTCGTTCTTTTATCTTATAAATTAGTGCATTGTAAACAATAATTTCACATTATGAAACAATTATTTTTTTTTAATAAACATTTAATTTTTGCAAAATAAGAAAATAAAAACAATTTCGCTATGGAAAAACGAAAAATTTAAAATGTTGCAACTCAGTTGTTTTTTTTCTCTAAAAAATTCTTTTTTCGATTAAAATTTCCAGTTAATTTTTTCTTCTACTTTAGCTATATTATTATTATTACTATTATTATTTAAATTTTACATGTTGGGGGAAAAAAAAATTATACAATTAATTAATAATCACTTCTCTCGTGCTGTTTGAATAAAAAAATGAAAAATTATGCTGCCCTTGTAAAATATTGTGAAAAAAATTAGTTTTTTTTTTTATTGTATATATATAATTAATATATTTCGTTATCTGTATGGAAAAACTATTATTTAATATTACTCCGGAAGATAGAACGCTTATCGAAAATTGGTTTTAAGCTATTATTCTAATCTGACAAAGTTTATTATCTTTACGTGATTTAAAATGTGCCTTCTGAATGATGATAAAAGTTTCGCTAATTATATTACGTGAATCACGGCAGGTCCACTAAAAAAACGATTTTATCACTATAAATATTATAATCTTTGCGGTAGTATCTTCCGTCGATTATTGAAAATCATATAAGCATTTGATTTTTTTTTTTTTATCGCCAGGACATGTTGCTTTCGATGTCGATGAGGCATAAAAACCTAATAAGGCTGAAAGCTTATTTATTATCATTATAACAATTCGAGATAATCAGATAATAACACTAATAATCTGTTTATGTATGTAGTTTTAACTATTTATGTTTCTAAAGTCAAAGAAGATTTTTGTACTCGATCTATTATTTAACTAAATATTAATAAAAATTTTTTTTATATCGCCAATTTTTTTTTTTAATTTGAAATGACGAAATACTGGTAAAGTCCCTCGTACTTGAGTTCTCTTATAATTTTATTTATATTAATAAAATTATCTAGACAGCAATCGTGATTTTTATTTTTGATAAAAATTTTGTCACGATTTCCCAACATTGAAGAAAAATTTTCCTTATATGTTTATATATAGGGTTAAAATTTCTACCAAAAATTATGGATTCTTTTTTTTATATTACGAATCTTATTTTTGTATTGCGTTTTATTCTCGAGATTTATTTATTTATTTATTATTATTATTATTATTATTAACTATATTTCCTTTTTATGAAAAATTTTCGCGTAGTTTTTTTTTACTTGGTGCACAGATAGCGCTTACAAAGTTCTCAGTGTTTGTTGAGAAAAAAATATGTTCCATTTAATAGGAACATTATCGATTATAATTAATTTTTCTTTGTCCTTTTAAAAATGTTCTTCATTTTCTGCAAGAAAAAGAAAACAAAAATTTCATTATTCTGATAAAATAACTAGTAATAAATTTCACAATATTGAAGTTAATTAATTTTTAGATAAATATATAAAGAAAATATAAAATTTCTAACATTCTCAAAAAGGACAAAGTACCTATATAATATTTGCATTCGTATATGTGTAAATGGACCTCAGTATTTACTAATAATGACTTTATCACTTTAATGTTGATATGATACTATAAAATTAATTTTTTGTTTTAATCAGAAAAATTGTATTTTAGTCTAAGAGATACTGCACAGAAAATTAAATCGAAGGCACGTAATGAGAAAAAAATTTAATTCACTGCATTGATGAAAGAATATAAAAGAGGATTATAAAACGCTGACATAACTAACATTCTCGTTTTTCTTATTGGAAAAAAAATTAAAATTACTTTTTTTTTTTAATACTTTTGAGACAAATGTTAATATTATACTTTCACTGAGCATATTTTTTATCTTATCAAGAATACATTGTTATACCTGACATTATAATATGTCACGATGATAATGGCATTGGATCTGTTCACAAATATTTTGTAAATATTGAGATCAAATCAAGGGAATCATACTGATGATAAAAAAATCAAAATATATTTTATTTTACAAAAAAGTCTATTTAAATGAAAAAAAAAACAGAAACAAAATTAAAAATCTTTTTGTTTTATAAAAGAAAAATTGCGTGCCTTCGATTGATATAGTTAATTTAATGATAAACTCGGAATGATACTCGTATAAAATGTATTTTTTTTTTAGAGTTAATCAAGTTTATAAGAATTCTTAAGATTGTCAATCTAAAAACTCTTTTCATTATATTCTAGATTGACTGTCGCAGTATATGTTACTTATCACTTTCCCGCTTATAAAATGTCACTATATTTATATAGTAATTATTTTATTACTGTTTTCTTTTCGCGTATAATTACAAATTATTTCAATTTTTTTTTAAAAGTAATATTATTAAATAATTATTATCATAAAATTATTAAATAATAATTGCAATAATTATATATACATTATTACAATAATTGTAATTATATTATTAGAATTATGATTAATTGTTTTATTTTAATTCTATATTTGAGGAAAAATTTTCATATACAGATGTACTTTTATTATTGTATTTTATATTATTATTATAGAATAAAATCGTTTACCCTGAAAAAATCTATTAAAAAAAAGAATATTACAAATTTATGTAAATAAATAATAATATTTTATAAATATTAAATGAAATAATTAATTTTTTTTTATACGATGAGTTTCTTTTTTTCAATTTTAAATGAATATTCAAAACCAAATTGTGACAAAAAAATATTTAGTGACGAAAGTTATATTTGATATTTCAGAAAATTAATCGCATTTCTGTAAAAAAAATTTTTTTGGCAATTCTTAAGAATTCTTACACTCTACAGTAAAATAGTTCGCAAAAACCTTTACGCTTCTTTGCTACCTATAACGGCATTTTGAGCGCTACTTTTGATGAGATTAACAATGCTCAAAATAAAGCAGAAAATTAAATTATTCAAAATGAAAAATAAATTACGTTTTTTTTTTAAATATTAATTAAATAAAAATTAAATTAAGGCCAGGTCCAAGTTGTGTCAGCTGTTCCATTGAAACTTCAAAGGAACAGCTGACTCGACTTGGACCTGGCCTTAAAGCTACTAAATAGGGAAAAATATTCTTCATATTTGAAATTTTCATTTATTTGTATTTTTTAAAGAAAAATAAAAATTGTAAGTTTTTTTATGACAATGAAATAAATTAAATTAATTAGCATGAAATAATGTTATTATTGAAGTGAACATTGTTAAGATCATGTGAGCAAAATCGCAAATGCGATTGAGAGAATAGAATATATATAGAATCTTGCTTTATTACTAGCTAATGTTTTTATTTTTCGCGAGATGATAGTTTGCAAGTAAATTTTTTCTTTTATTTCGATTATAAATATTTAATATATATTATATAGAATTTAGTTAATAATCCTAGAATCATTTTTACGTGAGCAATATATGAATAATGATTAAAAATACATTGGAGGGACAAAAATGGCAATGAACTATCACGTTTGTCCATCAAAATGCACTATATGATCAAGTATATATATATAATTTATTATTGATTATTAATTTTAGTTTTAATTTATTATTATTAATTATTAATTATATTTAAAGTGTATTTTTGCTCGCACTTTATATTTTTAAATTTACACCACGTCGCGAAAGAATTCAGACGCACCACTGTGGCTATATTATATATTATTTTGAAAATATTATATATATATATTAAATACGAATAGTAGAAACACACTATTATTAATGTTGTTCGTTGTGTTTCACTTGGTCAAAACCAGTCAAAATTTGCCTCATCTCGAAAAAAAGTCACGATTGACATATTTTTTTTTATTTCAAATGTATTCACTATTATTGTAATCACATCGTGAGAGACTCGTTAAAAATTTGTTTACCTATATTTTTTTTCCGTTCGAGTATTTTTTTTTTAATATCAATGTTATTTTTGAATATGCGATTAAAAAAAAAACAAATTTTGCCAAGGCATGAACAAATATTTTGGATATTTAAAAAAAAAAAATCGCCATATATAGTAATTGTTAATTCGTTTCGAGATTATTATTAAAAAATTATTCGAAGTATCACTTTTTATAAATAGTTTATCAGTGTGCTTCTAAATTTAAAAATTATTAATTATCATCGTCGATTATTGTTTTGCATTATAGACAATTTTGTAATTTAAGGAAGCACATTTAAGCGGTATACCAGATGTGAAGATTATTCAATTTGAAATTATATATAAAGGCATAAATTTCTCACTGTATTTGGCAAAAAGAAAGCTTCTGACTTCCTTCTTTGCTTTGTTCCTGATCTTGGCTAATGCCACCTTCACTTTTTGGACTGGATGCACCACCTTCTTCAATTGAGCCCCCGCGACTTCCGTGGGGGCAAATCGATTGTCATCTAAGTGCCAATGTTGATACCATCGGTGGTCGGGACGGTTTATTTTCCAATATCCTTTCGATTTCGGTCATCATTGTTGTATTTAATTTTGGAATGAGCTGAAAATTGAAATTAGTTACAATTTTCAGTGCTATGATTAAATAGATAAAAACGACGATAAACGTAAAGTATAAGATCTCTTTTCTTCTATATGCTAAATATAGTTCACTGTTTTTATATTTGTTAATGATAATTAGTAATCAAATTACAAATATATTTCTTGCAATTAAATTTGTTAAAAAAATCTTCAATTTAAAGAGGTTATAAATAAACTATCTATATACAAGTGACAACAAAGCAGGGATGGATCGTAATGTATTGGAAAATGTCCGACATTTCTTATTGGCTCGTAAATTTCCGGTAATATTACCAACCAATCAGAAATCGGAGATGCTTCTCAATTCCCAACCTTGTTTTTTTCGTCACTTTGGTGAGCTCACCATGATCGTTGATCCCTTGCGCGTTTAATTTATTGTTTCTTTTCGTGTAAAATTAATATGCCTTGCGTTTTATTTTGTTTCTTAAAATAGTATTGATTGTTGTGCATAAATAATTCCTGAATTCAATAAATAATTCTTATATCAATAAAAAAAAACCCCATCTTATCGCATTGTTTTAATTGGTATATTTCCTTTAAATTGAAACTTTGACCTTAATATTTATTTTATTTCGATTGTGTTATTTTCAATAACATTTATTGCTATTGACATGTGATTAATAACATCGAAAAATATTTTTAACATCGAGTGTACTCCTCCATGAACAAGATCGAACTGCCATCCACCTTGCGTTGAAATATTTTTATTATTTTCAATAACATTAATTGCTATTGACATATCATGATCAATAAAAATATTAAAAAAATATTTTTAAGATCGAACATACTCCTCCGTGAACAAGAACTGCTTACTGCGTGCTCTTTCCACTAGTGCACAGTATTTACGTCGAGTCTCGTCGCAGTCGTCGCCCCACTCCGGGCCACTTTGGCCAATGAGAGAGCGTTGAGGCCGAAAGTGGGGGTAACGACTGACTCAGCTCACTCAGCCATATAATTACTGCACATTGGGTAGAAGCTTCAGTTTAACGTCGTTTCTGGAAGGGAGGGAATTGCTGCGTCCAAAATTTAAAATCGTAATTTTTAATGTTTTTTCATTATAATATTTTAGGTTTGCATTGCAGAATACTGAATTAAAAGACAATCACAATTAGAACTCCAAATCGTTTAATGATTTTCGATCTTAGTAGATTTTTCAGAAAATATACTTTGTAATTTCCGATTGTAAATCGGAATTTTTTATTATTTTTTATTTACTCTCCCTTCCAGAAAGTATATTTAAAGTTAAAAATAAATCGTTAGTATTTTAAAGTGAATTCACCAAATGGTTGATTGAAGTTTAATAAATATGGTGATATAGAAAAATGTGTAATATTTTCGGTCGCTTTTAAATATTATTTTTTGCTTTTCTTTTAATAATCTTTTCTCTAACTAGGAAGTAATAATAGTTTCGGGAGTGTCGAGTTGATTTTATATGTACAAGTGAAGTTTTGCGAAAGAGACGCTAGAGGTCTGCCATTACATTATAGTTAATTATTATTGCAAGGTTTATGGTCTCAAGTTTTTTAATTTATTCGAACATTATTACGCGTAGTGTATTTTCGAGTGTCTATTCACTTTTTGTGCCGTTAATATACACAAAACTATTTAATAAGTGCCCGTATATTAAAAATAAAAGAAAGTGTGTTTTAGGTGTCGCGTAAATAATATATAGTGCAAACAAATACATAGTGGAGTGTTGTTCTTAAAAAGTATTTGTGTTAGTACGTGCTTCCTAAAGGATTATAATGTTCGAGTTTGTAGCGGAGCAGCTCCTGGAGGAGATCTTGTATAGCTGAGTCGCAGTTAATTGTAAGTATAATTAAATATTAACCCTTCTTTAAATTTTTCGAATTATGAAATATAATTTAACTATAACTTTAATTTCAATAATCAATTGATTACATTTAATTTTTCATAAAATAATAATAGTAACAGTCTGTTATTTTTTATTTTCTGAATTGTCAATTATAATCATTTATCATTAGGTATTTATTTAATTATATAATCATGTATTTTTAATTAAAAAACAAAATTTTTAACTAATAAGTAATGTTGGTTACAATAAGTTTTTGTAAAATATTTAGAATAATATTAAATGCGCTCTCTCTGTAAATATTTAACTCCAATAAATCAAATAATTGTAAAACAATTTTTAAAAAAATTATTCGATTATTAATATTTTTATTCTTTTTTTGTATTTTTCAGCATATCAAGGGAAGTGTGAAGAGAATTGGAAAGGAGTATGAGCAGAGGATGTGCGACCCTAGGAAAGACTCTTTTGGTTCTGAAGATGAGGAGGATGTGCGGCTATGTAATCTCAACGATGGATCCGCGATCGGTGAGTTTCTTTTTAATTAAACAATATAGTGACGCCGTTGACATACATTATTATTTCTATATTAATAAATATATAGACATAATATCATAAATATTAATTTTTGTTTCAATACAAATTAATATTTATTATGTCAACTTTCACTTGAAGTTCTGAAGAATGTTTTCTTTTTTATAATTAAATATAAATTAAATAAATATAAATAAAAATAAAAAATTAAACATAATATTTTGTTTACATTATTGTAAATTTAATTTAATTATTCAATAAAATGAAACTGAATTTAAATTAAGTGTAACTTACAATTAATCACAGATTAAATGGTACGGATTTATTTTAATATTCATCAGAACTTCAAGCGTATATTATGAATGTATGTATCTATATATATTATTATTTGTTGGTGTGAAAGAGAATTAGGGTTTCTTTTTAGTATACAGGTGTAGGTAGGCAGATTTTTTTTTGTGTATGAGAATAAAAATCGTTATTAGTCCTAAAAATAGGTAGGGAAATCGGAATCAATTTTGTGTGAATGTATGTGTGTTATTTTAGGTCACTATATTGTTCAACAATTTTTTATAGTGATTTTTATTTTTTTGTACAATATATATGTCTAATTAATTATTACTTTCAGATGATTCATCGGTGAGATAAAATATTTTATCTATTTTTATTAATCTTATTTTTCTTTCAGAAATATATTTTTTTTAATTTTATAATTTATTACAATTATTTATACGTATATAAAATACTATTTAATTTATTTCTTCATATTATTTAAATTTAATTATGCCTCAATTTAAGGTTTCCTTTAATTTAATTAATAATGCTTCAAGAGAAATATTTAACATTTCTCTATATTATTTAATATATGAAAATTAAATATAAATTTATAATTAATGAAATTAATATTATAATGAATTTGTTATTAATTATATTATAGTGAAGTTTATTTCACGCTCATTGAATTATTAAAATGAATTATATAAAATTTGTCAATTAACACTTCTTTTAGAAAAAAATTCTTTTTTTTTTATAAAATATTTGATAAAACACTTTCTAAGTAGAGAAGAAGTTGTTTGGTCAGACAAAATTCTTCTTTCAAAGTAGAAAAAAAATTCTTTCGTCAGACAATATTAACTTTGGGAGTGAAAAAAAAATTGTCCATTTTAAATGAAATTTCGGATTAATTATTTTGCATATTTTTCAATTACAATTTTTAATTGGATTTTTCAAAAATAAGTTTATTACCTGTAAACTTTGGAGGCTCTCGTAGAGTTGTTCTATGCTTGATGCTCCGAGAAGAAGGCACTGAACACTCTCGTTTTTCAAGGTCCACGCAATTGCCAATTGTGCAAATGAACAACCGAGTCTTTCTGCCAATGCGCATACGTCCCTTAATTTATCGGAATATTTTCGAGCCGGTTCTTCCTCTGATGTCTCTTCCTTCCATTTAGTACCCTGAATCATAAAATATTTTATTTAACTCTATTTTTGATTGGGTGAGACAATAATTTTTTTTTTTTAAATTATGTGTGCCAATCTACTCATCAACAATCTCGATGAAACGCACCTCTTTGTATAAAGATTGGGTTTCATCTTCTGTCCAACTGAATGAGGAATATTTATTCTGAAAATACAAAGCGATTACTACGTCACGTTTCACGAACCCAAATTAGACCCTAATTTGAATTTTACTCATTTAATGACAAAAATTTCGTTGACAAAAAAACCTCGTTTATTTATATTTAGTCATCTTTTAGATGTTAATGAGAAAATTAACAGAAATTAATTTTAATACAAACAATTTTTTTTATTTATTTTTATTTACTTTATTATAAATTTCTTAAAGAGATTTGTTTATTTGGAAATTTATTTGTATAATTGGAAATAAAATTAGATTTTTGTTTCAATTTTAAAATAATTTATTTAATTGTTAAAATAATTTATTAAAAGTCATCATTTTTCGGTGATCGATTTTTCTTTGTTCTTTGTCCTCAAAATTGAGTCGTTTTTGTCATTCCTTTTTCGTCTTTCGTTTCAAAAAAATTGAGGTTTCGTAACGTATATATTATATATATATATATGAAATTCCTACTAGTGCAGAAAACATTTTTATATCGACATTTGTTTCTTACTTTGTATGAAGATCTAGATAAAAGAGAAGACATTCCCTCTTCCGGTTTTGATGAGCTCATGCCTATTGTAATTGTGGACCATGCCATTAGTCCCACACCTATCAAAATAGAAAATTAAATATGAAAAAAAAATTCTTCAAAAAAAAAAACGATATTTCTAAAATTTTAGTTGCATTATTTTTAAATTAATTTAGAAAATTTTTAATATTTCTTACCAATTTTATTGTACAATTCGGGCATATAAAGTTCTGGTTTATCTCGATAAAAAAGATGATATTCTGCTTGCTCGACAATTGGAGTTACACAATTAAATTGTCTGCAATTGGTGTATGCTTCCATAATCTCGACAGGAGTCCATCTCGATGTTCCCCAATACATCACCCAACCTTTGCCAATTACATAATTCATTGCACGTACTATTTCTGAAAAAGGAGCACCGAATTATTTATTATCTTTGTTCAATGCAATTTCAAGATCGAAGAGAATACGTGTATTGTTATAGGTAAAGTTTTATGAGAAAATTGATTTTAAAAATTATTAATACGAGAATTTTTTTTTGATTAAAATTATTATTTAATAAATTTAGAGAAATATTTATTTGTCTCTCGAGAATTAAATATAAATATATTATATGCTTTTAAATAATTTATTTTCTTTGAATAATTTTTATCTGACTTTAAATAAATTATTATTCAATTTAAATAAATTATATTTAGTTTGAATAAAATAAATTTCTCTTAGTATTTATTGTTAATATATTTTTACCTTCCATGGGACACATCGGATCAACTTTATGAATCATGACAATGTCAATGTATGACAATTGTAATCTTGCTAAAGATGCTTGTACGCTTTCGATAATGTGCTTTCGTGAAAGTCCCCTTCCTTCCGTTCTATTAATTAAAAATTCATATTATAATTAGAAATAATTTTTAATTTTATTTAATTATTTAAAAAAAATAAGTTTTGAAAATATTTTTATTTGATTCAAAGAATCGGTTATACTTGACTATTATCAATTAAATATTTATATACTTGAACCAAATAATTTTTATTATTTAATACCAATAAATTTTTATTTGATAATAAATCAAGTAACCGATTATTTGAATTAAATATAATTAGAAATAATTTTTAATTTTATTTAATTATTTTAAAAAAATAAGTTTTGAAAACATTTTTATTTGATTCAAAGAATCGGTTATACTTGACTATTATCAATTAAATATTTATATAATTGAACCAAATAATTTTTATTATTTAATACCAATAAATATTTATTTGATAATAAATCAAGTAACCGATTATTTGAATTAAATATAATTAGAAATAATTTTTATTTAATTATTTCAAAAAAATAAGTATTGAAAATATTTTTATTTGATTCAAAGAATCGGTTATACTTGACTATTATCAATTAAATATTTATATACTTGAACCAAATAATTTTTATTATTTAATACCAATAAATATTTATTTGATAATAAATCAAGTAACCGAATTTTTGGAATTAAATAATTTTTTATGTATTTATTTTTAGGAAAAATTTTTATATGTTTTAGATAAAAAAATATTTAAATTTGCTTCTTTTATATAAAATTTCTTGCTTTTTTTCTTAATTATTAAGAAAAAAATTATTTTTCGTTTTAAATATGTGGGCTTTATAAATTTTATAAAAAATTCCTTATCTACACTATTGCAGGGAATTTAAATTTATAGAGGGAGAAGATTAAATGTTTGGCAAGCAGACAGAGGGAATATTTTCTCTTGAGGTGGCCGCAATTTTTTTTTTTTTTTTTTTTTGGTTGTTAACTTACTTGGTGTTCCAGTATATTTTCGTTGTAACGACATAGCTGGAACGATTCCAGTTTCGACGCAAGAGAATTCGTCCCAATTGAATTTCAGCCTTGTGCCCACTGTGGGCTTCACTCAAGTCAAACACATTTATCCCACTGTCATAGGCAAGTGTCACAACGGCTTCGGCTGTTTCTTCGTTATTCGATCCTCCTACACCTCCAAATGTAGTCCACGTTCCTATATGTGTATATAAATTAATAATTTCACTACAATCAAAAGAGACGATGTTCATAGTAAATTATTCACAAGAGAAAAATATTTTCTTTTTTTTTTTTAGAAATATTTCGTTCTTATTTTGATATAAAAAAAAAAAATTTTTCTTCTACTGAAATATTTCTTTTTGTCAGAAATATTGAAGAATTTTTGTATTTTGGGATTATTTTTTTGTACAATCTGTGTACCGAAATATTTTTTGGTTTTACACAAGATTATTTAATTAAAATTTCATTTATATGTAGAATATATATTCCACTTTAATTTTCCATAATATTATTACAGACAATCAAGCATTAAAATTAACAAATTACCCTCTCTGTTAATTAAGTTTATAATGAATTCAATTGGAAATTCGATTCGCAAATATGAAAATAGAGTTTCGAAATTAAATTAACAAAAATTGGAAAATATTTAAAATATATTTTTTAATTTTATTGAACTAATTTTTTTTTTTTTTTGAATTTACATTAAGAATTTTAGAGATTTATTTTAAATTATTTTATTAATATTTTAATTTTCAATTTAAAAAAATTTGTAAATTTCTAGATCATGAATTAGTTTTCAATCAAGAATTTTGTATTTTAATTTTATTATTTTATTTAAAATAATTTTATATTGGGAACCAGTAAGTCGAAGAGAAATATTTTAGTGGATTACAAACATCCTTTAGAATCTCGGATATCTTGTCTAAAGTGCTTCTCTACATCTACTGAAGCTCATGAAAAATTCCCCTTTCCTTTTCGAACTTTCTCATGAAAAATTCCTCAATCTTTTCGAATACGTTTCCTCTAGTAGGTATTTTTCTATAAAAATTCATCCTCCTGAAGAAATTCTCTCTTTTCTTCATATTCAAATATATAACACTAATTTTACAATTCAAAAATTTTTTCAAAAAATATTTTTAAACTCTTACGATTTTGTTTATATAAATTATGTTTATAATTATAAATTTAGCTATAAATTTAGCTTAATCAAGAATTAATTAGTGCGGAATTCTATTGCTTTATCAAACTGAAAATTTATCAGGAGTAATAAATCAAGTCACACTTTAATTAGTTAGAATATTCGTGAAATGAAACTCTTTTATGGATTAGTGGAAAATTTTTTTTTAGTATATATGACGGTTGATAAATCACTTCATTTAAAATTAGTTAAATATTAATTTAGTAAAATTCTCATACAATCTAATTTATCAGTATGAATTAACTGAAACAATCATCATTCTGAAATTAAATTTTATATACAAAGTCAATTTATATATAATAAACTAATCAGCGAATAATAGTATATTATGTGGCAAGCACGTAAAGTAGTACTTTTTAGGTGAGGATGTAATTTTCAGTACGAGCTGTCGTTAGTGCGACGTAGGTGAGACGAAGGCGAGCTGTAGGTGAGATGAAGACGAGCCGAAGGCGAGTCGAGTCGAGCCGAAAGCGAGCCGAGTCGAACCGAAGTCGCACAGACAGCGAGTATTGAAATCATCCGAACCTAAAAATTACTACGTGCGAGCCACATACGCTATTTTTTTCGCCATTGTTATGAAAAAGTGAAACAATTTTAAAGAAAAAAAATAATAAAAATTGATAAATAAAATAAAAGCAAAAAAAAAATTATGCAAAAATTAACAACTGCCTAAAAAAGACTTTATAGGGCAGTTTACTGCCTAAAAAAGACTTTATACGGCAGTTTGCTGCCTAAAAAAGTCTTTTTTAGGCAGTTGGCCCAAACTGCCTTAAAAAGTGCTACTTTATCTGCCCAAAACAGGCACAAAAAAGACACTTTTTCATGTCAATGGCGAAAAAAATAATTTTGAGGTTTTTTTTTAGCAATTTTTCACGCTTATAACAGTCATGTGAGACTTTATTCCATTGGGAGTATATAGCAAAACTGATCAATATTTATCGCGGTAAAAAAGAAACACAAAATATGCATGTTACGTTGCATCGCACTATAAAGACTCTTTTTTAATGTGAATTTGTTGTTCAGTGAATTCCACAAGGAAATTCTATGCGTGATCGAGAAAGCACGATAAAGTATAGAATTCTTTTTACATTATCTTAAATATCGTATAACAAAAGGTTTTTTTTTTAAATTTCTCTAAGGTTGAGAGAGGATGCATTTTGTAAAAATTAATATTACATTTCTTTTAAAATTTAAGAATCCGTAAATTTTTGAATATAAGAAGCTTTTTTTGATACTATCAAAAAATTGTATACAGAAAATTAAAAGGCATTCAAATAATCTGCAACGCTTATTTTAATGCCTTTTAATTTTCTGTGTTACAGGAAATTTGTTTAGAATATTCTATTCTGATTCTATTCTCGAGGTCATATTTCTTTGATTTCAAAAATCTGTAATTTTTGAGAAAATGTAGAAAATAAATTTTTTTGATTCTAATCAAAAAAAAATTATTTCATTTATAATTACAAGGGCTTTGTTAGAATAATCTTCTTCTAAACAATTTTTTAAAATTTTTTGTTTGCATTTTGCGAGTTAAGAAAACAAACAAAAAAGAGTTTGAATTATTTAATCGATTGAGAGAGTACCTAGTCCAACATTGGAAACACGCAGACCACTTTTGCCCAAGTTGCGATAACGAATACCCGGCGATGGATGTTGTAGTCGTTGCGACTGTGAACTTACACAGCTCGTCAGCAATTGTTCCTTAGTTCCCGTTGATACATTACAATGAACGCCAGATTCGACTCCATTGAATTCTTCCATGCAATCTAAACTTGCAATTGGAGCACGACATCTGCATAAGAAATTGTTGGGAAAATCATGATCAGAATTTTCTGCATGGGATATTTGCCAAGTATTGAGAAATTGCATTCTAATTTTATATACTTGTGACTTTTCAATATCTCTTGATTACATTTAATTAAAAAAATGCATTTTACAATTATAATTTTATAAAGAAAATAAATATTTAAATAATAATAATAATAATATTTAAAATATTTATTTTTAATCAAGTAACCGATTATTTGAATCAAATATGTTTTTTTATTGCAAGAAATTAATTAAATATTTTAGCAAATTATAACTTATAATCAGTAAGATTTTATAAATTGAGAATGACGTACTATTGACTGAATACACAGAAAAAAAAATTTATTTGATTCAAATACTCGATTACTTGACTATTATCAATTAAATATTTACACTCAGAAAAATGGTATATTTGTCTCCGAGCCTACTAACTCATTTATTTGTTGCAAATATATTTCATTTCATTGAAATAAAAAATTTATTTGAGCCAAAGAAAAATTTATTTCTGACAAATAAAATTTTTATTTACGCCAAATAAATAAGTTAGTAGACTCTGAGACAAATATACGTTTACTTAATTCAAATATATTTTATTTGGTTCAAATAAATCATTTCTCTGGGTGTACTTGAATCAAATAACTATAATTTGAATTGTATTTGAACCAATAATTTCTGTATTTAAAACAAATACCATATAATTGCCTCACATAATAATTATTCGATACAAATAAATATTTATTTTATAATATAGTCAAATAATCGAGTATTTGAATTAAATAAATTTTTTTTTCATTGTACAGATAGTATTTTTACTGATTAAAAAAAGTTAATAATTTAATTAAATAATAATAAAATAATAAAAAAAATTTAACTAATTTATATAGAAAAATCGTCAGACTCATTAAAATTAAAAAAAAATTTTACTCTAATTAAACTTTAGTGAGAATTGTATTTTTTTCGATCAATCAGTTGGCAACGATTGCAGAGAAATTTTTTTCAATTCCATGTGGATTTTTACTAATTAAAATAGTCAGAAATGTGTCACACCAATCACTGTCGAATATATCACTGCTTCAAATAATATTAGAACAATTTTTTTTTTTAATGTTTATTTTAGTACAATTTTTTTTTTTAATGTTTATTTTAGTACAATTTTTTTTTAAATTTATTATTATAAACAATTTTATAATTATTATACTTTTTTTTAAATTTAAGTATTAAAATTTTTATTTATAAAACTTTCTACAATACTTAAAGATATTTATAACTATATTTTTTAAAAATATTTAATATAATCATATCACCCAGAGAAATGATTTATTTGAACCAAATAAAATATATTTGACTTAAATAAACGTATATTTGTCTCAGAGCCTATTAACTTATTTATTTGGTACACGGAAAGAAAAGGAATGGTTGGGTCAACCATAGGTATTAATAAATACGTCCCATAAATATTATATGGTTACCACAACCAAATCTTTAGTTGATACAACCATAGTATGGTTGGCGCAACCAAAGGTTAGGTTGTCACATCTAAATGACGAAAAATTGCAAATTTGATGTGTCAACCTGACCTTTGGTTGCGCCAACCATACTATGGTTGTATCAACTAAAGATTTGGTTGTGGTAACTATATAATATTCATGGGACGTATTTATCAATACCTACACTGAAAAAAAGGTTTGGTATTGACAACCAAACGTTTGGTTGGTATTTAAGCAACCAAAAGTTTTTTGTTGAATCAACAAAATTTTTGTTATCCCAATAAAACTTCTCTCTAAATATGAATCAGTGAAAAAGTCACTGGTCTCAAATCAGTCGCTAAATTCTGGCTATTTAAATCAGTGGTTTTCACTGACAGTTAGTGACATTTCACTGGAGAATCAATTACTTTGACTGAAAATCAGTGAAATGTTACTGATTCAAATAGCTAGAATTTAGCGACTGATTTGAGACCAGTGACTTTTTCACTGATTCAAATTTAGAGAGTTTAGTTAGGACAACAAAAATCCTTTTTTTCTAATTTTGGTTGTGTCAAACAAATTTTGGTTGAGACAATTAAAATTTTGTTGATTCAACAAAAAAATGTTGGTTGCTAAAATACCAAACAAACGTTTGGTTGTCAATACCAAACCCTTTTTTCAGTGTATGGTTGGCCTAACCATTCCTTTTTCTCCGTGTATATAATTAAAAATTTTCTTTGGTTCAAATAAATTTTTTATTCAAACGAAATTAAATATATTTGAAACAAATAAATGAGTTAGTAGGCTCTGAGACAAATATACAATTTCTCTAAGTGTATAAAGTGATTTTAAGTGAAATTTAATTAAAATTATTATTATTATTATTATTGTTTACTTTCGCAACAAATATTCATCTGTCTTTGAAAAATATTATTAAAAAACGAAGCTGAAGTACGCAACGTTTATATAAACGATTTTTAAAGAAATAATTTTTTAAAATGAAAAATTCTATAATTTTTTGCCTAAAAAATATTTCTTGTAGTTTTTATTAATCAACAAATTATAAAAAAATAATTTTTAGGCAAAAAATGATAGAATTTTTTATTTTAAAAAATTATTTCTTTAAAAATCGTTTATATAAACGTTGCGTACTTCAGCTTCGTTTAAAAACCTAAAAGATGCTAAACTTTGTTATTATTAATTATAATTAGTATACCTATAAATCGTAGGCAGTGCAAAAGAATCGTCATCCTCCATACTGCTATTGGTATTAGCGTTATTATTTGTATCATTTCCCGCGTTGGATGCGTGTCCCAAGTTATATAGCATTAATTGTGACATCACTGATTAAAAGCACTCTAATTATTATTCCACTAATCGTATCTCAGAATTAAACAGAACTCATTTTTTTTTTTATTAAATGACACACTTTTCTTTTTTTTTTTTTTTAAACAAAACCTAATCACCAATTCTTGAAATATAACAAGTAAACTTTATGTTATACTCCAAAGCGCGAGCACTAGCAATTAAATACACTAATTCGCGCTATTATTATTATTATTTTTTTTAAATTGTATTCCATGTACGATTTAGGCACTAGTTTATTGAATCATTATAGGCACCATTCGAGAGATAAAGATATTATGAATGGGGGGCAAAAAGGAATTCAAAAATAGGAGAAAAAACACTGATAAACTTTAAATTATTAATTTTATCACTTTTTCATCGACTTTTCTTCATTTTGCTTATTTTTTCCAAAATAAACTCATTAGTCTTGAAATTTCTTAGGTGAAACTTTTTATTAAATGTTGACTTCAACCAATGCCAATTATTTTTTCTTCTTGAAAAAATCATTTCAAAATGTTTAAAATTTTTTAACTATGTTATTGAAATCTGATCGTTCATGATTTATTTTTTAATTTTATATATTAACTTATGATCATTTATCGTAGTTTTTTTTTGCTCGTTTCAATTATATGTTGATTATATTCTCTTGATCATTTTTATTCTACATCGATCATTTTTCTTTTCGTTAATTCTTTAACATCTCTTCTATTATATATATATTGAAAATTACCTTGTATATGTTGATTTTTCTTTTATGATCATTTGCTTTAGTATAATTAATTATTAAGATGAATTATTAATTATATTCTTCAACTATATTGTAATCATTTTTCGTTTTGTAGTTTTTGTTTTCTCAAAACATTTATTTATCAATTTCTAATTAGTATATATATGTATATTAATCATTTTAATCAAATATTGATCACTTTCATCGAATATCAATTCATTTCCATCAAATATCGATCATTTCGAATACTGATCACTTATCAATAAACGATCATTTTTTTTCAAATATTGATCACTGATCTAATCCTAATTCTCATAAATTCACGTTATCATAAATCTCGATTATTTTTATACATTACCAAAAATTTCTCTCTTCTCTACCCCCTTTCTCATTTTAATACTATAAGCGAACTATTTTATAATTTTAAGATGAAAATTGCGAAGATTTATTTACAAGGATACCTCGATATGAGTCTAAAGATATGTTGACATAAATTGTCGGAAAATTTTTTTTCTTACTAGAAAAGAATTAACAATTTGATTAGAATACAATATATTCTAAAGAGGTAAAGAACGTGATTATTATTTTTTTTCTCTTTAAAAAGTACATTTAAAATATGTTGAGATTTATATTATATATATATATATATGTATATAATGGCTTGTCGAAAGAAACACACATAAATTGTAAACGAAAAAAGAGAGTTTTTTTTTTTTTATATAGTAAAAATATGTTTTGAGGGCAAGTGTTGTGCTCGGAGCGCGGCAAGGCAACACTGCGCGCGGTCTTTGGTTCTTGTGTTGAAAAAGGGGGTGAAATTGCGCGGGTGCAGAGAGGTCTTGTGCTGCGGCAAAGGCGCATGACGCCGTCGCATCCAGCGCATGGATCGACTGGGCTCACCTATTAATATATACATATATATATATATAACGGTGCATACTGTCTTACTGGCACATTACCAACATGCACCCACATGCCGGGCTTGGCACGTCACCGCGATTTTACCCTCTCACACAAGTGTAGCCGGTTTGCAGGTATATATATATATAATATATATACACGACACATTTCCGTGTCACGCGCGTGCCTTTATATATATATATAGAATGGTTGTTATAGTTTGAGGTATTACTATATAGATGGTACTGTGTACTATACTTACAGGGTTTGGTGAACCAACTCGGACTCGCCGGCAACGCCGCATTGCAGATCTGCACGCTGACGCTCGGCCAACCCTCCCCGCTTTCTTTATTTTCCGCTCTCTCTCTCTCTCTCATTCTATCTCTATTCCTCTTTTCATAGGCCAAGATTTTCGCCTTTTTCTGCTTATTCTCGAATATATTTTTATTCTTTTTCGATAAATTGAAGAAAATCCGCAGGAATTTTTGACCGCTCTGGTGTAAAGATTCGGATACTATATATATAGAGAGAAAATAGAAAAAATAAGAACAAATCGAGTGAGAAAAAAGGCATTTTTTTTTTGTCTTTTGTTCTGATTTTTGAGAAATCTCTTCACTTGAATATAGAATTTTCTTAAAATTGAATTCTGTTTTTTGTTCTTATATAGAAAAAAAGCCAACTTTTAACTCGTTTTCAGCTTAAAAATTTTAAATTAGCTAAAAATTTTTAGTTCATTTTGTAAATAAAAAACCTTTCATGAAAAATTCTTGGAAAAATTTACAATATTAGTGAACGAATTTTTATTTTATTTACATTTATACATTATAAAATGCAATGAAAAAAGGGTTTGGTATTGACAACCAAACATTTGGTTCACAGAAAAAAAACTGGTGTTACACTGAAAAAAAAATTCTGGTTAGGCTATATTTAACATTACTTTCTAGTTATGTTAACCAAAATTCTAGTTGAATTAACTAGAATTCTCGTTAAAATAACCAGAATTCTGGTTAACCTCACCAGAATCAAAATGTTAAATATACCCTAACCAGAATTCTGGTTATTCTAACTAGAATTCTGGTTACTCTAACTAGAATTCTGGTTATTCTAACTAGAATTTTTTTCAGTGTATTTTTGTTGCGGGTAATTTTCTCCAATACCCATAAGATTTAGGGTAAAATTTGTTGCGTGTTATTTTAACACCAATTCTGGTGTTAAAATAACACTTTCTTTTTCCTGTGTTGGTATTTAAGCACAAAGTTTCCGAAGGAAAATTCTGGTTGGAATTTTCTGTATTTTTCGAAAAAACATTTCTAAGTGTGAAAAATTAAAATTTTTTTAAAAAACTAATTTAATTTTATATAAAAATAGTTTGCCATACATTGTTTGAATATATTAAATGGAAAATCTTTTTAAAGATCGTCTTAAATTTAAAAAATAAAAAAAATTCTAAAACACTAAAAAAAAGAAATTAGTAATTTTTTCGTGAATGTCTATTATTTACATAAAATATTCAGTGTTTGAAGACAAATAGCTTGTAAATAGGAAGATAATATAACAATCGGATATATCAGACCTAGTGCTTCAGTAAATCCCATTATGAAGTATAAGACCGTTTGAAATCAGAATAGACGATGCAATGCTCCCAATTCCCTTTGAATCGCGTCTGACTGTAATTTACTTTTTCTACTTTGAAGCTTTGTTAAACGTTACAATATTTTTTTTTTTTTTTATATATATACAATCTTTCATTGTCACTTCTTTTTTGAAGATCCATATATATTTTTGAATTTTATTTTATTAAAATAATGGTTTGCAATAAAAGTTGTATATAAAAAAATATAGTATTCTTTCTTTTAGAGAATTTCATGATGTATTTTATTGGCGCAATTTTAGAAAGCCAATAAAGTCCATAATTTACACTTTTTAACATTGAAATAAAAAGCAATATTACAATATCGAAGCAATTAATAAAAAAGTAAAACAGCTTTTCAGCTTAATGATAATTAGGTGAGGGTCACAATTTTTGGCACAGAAAAACAAAGAAAGAAATTATCGATCACTTCATATCTATATTATATATATATATATATATATACTGTATACGTATTATGTATCAAGTCTTAATGTAGGTCAAGTTCCAATATAATTATATTTTACATATTATATTACTTTATCAATTAATTTATTTAATTCACAAATATCTCGCTGAAAACAATATTTGTAATTATATTAATCACATTATAATTACATTATAATTAATAATAATTCATATTTCCTTTTTTGCTATAAAATTCTTTGGATATTTTTTATTATTTTTTAATTACAAACATTAAATTTCTACAAAAAAAAGTAAAATAAATAATAGTTTTATCATTTTTTTTTTATATTTCTGAAAATCGTGTAATTCTTTTTGACTTTTAGAAAGAGTGAATGTCTTGTGATTTTTGTAACATTGTAAAGAATACTGTTTTTTTATCCAAGCATATATATTATTATTATAGAGACAATGAACTTTTGTATTTGCGCTTTTCCGACTATCGTAATGGGGTACCACGCGAGCAGTTTACGATAAGATGGTTTCATTCAAGATTCTCTCAAGCCTCTTGAAAGAAGTAGCTTCCGCTCTTAAAAAAGAGGTCAAATATTCCAACTCTTTCCGGTTATATTTTATTCTTTGATGATATTCACACTCGTGAATTTTTATTTATATACCTACTTTGATATTTCACACTTCTTTTTCCATTATATAAATATATATATAAATTATTCAATTTCAGATTTTGGAGAAATATATTTTTTTTCTCCATTTCTTTTATTCTTGATATAGTATTTTATTTTTCTATTTTATTTTATGAATTTAAAATTTTATAAAATTATTTATGAAAATATACGCGTTTTATTTACTTTTTTTAAATTAAAAATGGTATTCTATCTTTGGTATGGTATTTCTTCATTTGCGAAAGCCATTTTATCTTTTTTTTTTTAGAAAGTAATGTCCAAGATGAAACCGATAAAAGTCGAATAAAACTTTTTATGGCAGAGGGAATAATTTTCTTTTTAATGACAATCGGAATTGCCAATACTGTGTACCTTTGCGAAGTGGCATATTAAAAAAAGAACTATCCATTACATTCAAAATACCACAATTTACATGCAAACTATAATAATAGTTGAAAAAGACATTTTTTTTTTATTATAAAAACAAAATTTAATTACTTTTTGTGGTACTTAACACAAGCAAAATTTGAATACTTTTAAATTGAATCAAAATGTCTATTAGACCATTTTCCTCTAACCTACGATGGATAAAAAATTTCAAAATTTCATTTGATATGCGTTATGTGTGGCTTGTCTGTCCTTTTTATGATAGGATAAAAATATAGTATTTGTTTGTAGGTGAATAAACGGAAACATTGACGAGAATTTAGTTCGTTTTTTTTATAACGTATGTAGAGTATACACTTTTACATGTATATTGTTTATGTATATATATATAAATATACAATATACACGTAAACTTTTCATCGAGAGATCAAACCACACTTTTAGGTTCCATTTATGGATTCACTGAATTGTGCGGTATAGTAACTCGAGAAAACGCTTTTCATTGATTATATTTCACTTTGTCTCGCTACTTTCATTGTGGCAGCATATAAAAGCATTTTACATTTTTGTCCCTCTGAAAAAATGATGCATGCAATGTGAAACAATAAAAACAGTTTTAATGGAAAAAAGAAAATATATATATCTATAAATGGCAAACATTTCGTTTTATGAAACAAATGATTATTTTGCAACAGGCATTATAATACATTTTTTTTCATTCTTATTATTTTATATTTTTTGAAAAAAATATTTTTGAAAGTATTGGAAAATAGTATTTTTTTTTACATACAAAAAAATTATTTGTTATCTTTGAAATCGAAGACTTGAGAATATAACACAGGCCAACAAAATTAGCAACCTTTTTTGGTGCGGCAAATGTCAGACCTGTTTCTGATAGGTATTTTCATGCCGAACACGAATCCGTAAACGAAAATTTCCTATCAGCTCTAGTTTTTGAGAAAAACGGGTTTAAAATGTTCAAATGTTCATCGCGTTTTTGGCTAACTTTGAGTACCTCTAACACTGAAACAAAAGGTCGTAGAACCTTCCACTTGGGCTTAATTTGAAGCTTAATGTTTTAACTATAATCCCCAAAAAAGACCTATCTTGCACCATAACCTCAAAGTCATTTGTTATCCATTTTTGATTCCCAAATATTAATTTTGTAAAAGTTTGAGTGCGTACATCTAGTCCTTGAGGTTAAGGTGCAGTAATGTAATTTTTATGAACTACAGTCGAGGGATAAATTGAATTGAAGCTCAACAAGAAGGTTCACTCACCTTTGGTTTTATTGACTAGAGTTATTCAAATATTACCAAATAAGTTCTGTATAGTTAAATACTGGTTACCAACAATTTTGAGGTTATTAGTGAATAATATAATTTTTAGGGCTTGTAGTCTAAAGTTCAAACTTTATTTTAAGTTCAAATAAAAGGTTCTATGATCCTTTTTTCTTTGCTATAGGTACGCGCTCAAACTTTTACAAAATTAATATTTGCGAATCAAAAATGATAACAAATGACTTTGAGATTATGGTGCAACATAGGTCATTTTTGGGATAATAGTTGAAACATTAAGTCTCAATTTAAGCCCAAGTGGAAGGTTCTACGACCTGTTATTTCAGTGCTAGAGGTACTCAAAGTTAGCCAAAAACGCGATTTTTAAACATTTAAAACCCGTTTTTCTCAAAAACTAGAGCTGATAGGAACTTTTCGTTTACGGATTTGTGTTCAGCATGAAAAAACATATCAAAAACAGGTCTAATATCTGCCGCACCAAAATCAGTGTTGGCCTGTGTAATTATTTGTGAATTTTTGAAACTAGGTAATAATTGTTGGTTTTGTTTTTGAAATTGAGTTTATTTCTTCTTTATTTTTCTCATCTTTTTCTCTTGTTTCATTTTCAAATTTTATGTATTCCACTCAACCTGAAAGCCGGCCCTGAGTATAAACATTTTTAACAAAAGTCTTTTCTCATACACTATATAACTCCAGTCTGAAAGTGTATAATGATTTTTAACAAATTTTCTATTCCAATGACCCTTTATTTTGGCTCATGGAAGCAAAATAATTTGCATAATTTATTTATATATAAGTTTTTTCTTTTTAATTAACAAATAAAAATGAATTGTGCTAACTAAAAATGTACAATAATACAATTATCGACACACAAGCAAAACAAGTCATATTTTTAATCATTAATGTTTTGTAACTTAAGCATTCTTAATACTATAAATTTTTCAATTTTATTTTTCTATTTTCAAATTTCTTTTTCAAAATTTCAATTTTAGTCCTTGAATTTGATTTTGTTTAGAATATTTAATAATTTTCTTAATCTACTAAAATGATTATTCAATATTATTTATATTGGATTTTTTTTTTATTATTTTTAGCATTATTTTTTTTCATAAAAGTTTTGTTATTGAAAATACATACACTTTTGATTTAAAAAAAAGAATAAGGGGGAAATTTACAAAAAAAAAAAATTCGTTGAAATTTGTAAATTTCTATTATACACGTAACAATATTACAAATTGAGAATTAATCAATAGTATTTTCTAAAAAAAAAAATTTCAAGACGAATATGTTCAACATATGCAATAGATACAGAACACTTTGATTGGCCGAAATATAGGCAACGCGCAGTATTTTATTCAAGAAACTAGAACTAAAAATATCTTAACTTTGCACTTAAACTAAATATAGTTTGAGATTCATTCCTTTGAGATTCATTCAATATTTTACTGCAGTTCGAGTAAAAATGGAAAAAAAATCAAGCATCCATCAAAAAAATAGAAAATTTGTAAATTGTGTAAGAAAATTTTCTCGAGTATTTTTTTTTTCAATATTTTTCGCAGTTTTATTCAACGAAATAATTTAATCATGTAAATGAAATTACAGGGTTCACTGAATGTTAAAATAAAAAAAATTTGATTGCGTTTAATATAAATAAAAAAAAAAAAAATTCTTTCGCATTTATGGGAATTAAATTCTCCGGGGGAATTATTTTAGGTATATAGCAATTAGATGTCTGACTGAAGTGATCTGTAACTACTGAACCGTTAAACATCTCTTTCTCTCTCTCTCTATCTCTTTCTCTTGATGGATGCTTGCTAACTATTAGCTCTGATTTCTGTGATCTTTTCGAGGTCTAAACTCTGCTCTCCACTCTCGAAAATTTAACACGGAATATAGTCTCTTCATTATGTAACTATGAATTTTAAAAAAATAAATTAATCCAAAATAGATTTTAATTAAATTACAATAATTAAACATTAAAATTACTAAAAAAAAAGTAGCAAAAATTTTAAATTTATGTAGTCCAAATTAAAAAAAATTAAGCTCATCAAATAAATTCAATTTTTTTCAATTAAGAGGGATTAAAATCACGTTTAAAAATTAAAAAAATTGAAAAGCAGTCGAATTTAAAATTTTAATTCAATCGTTACTTGAAAAATTATTATTCGCTAAAAGTTAAAACAAATTAAATTTTTTTCTTAAATAAACAGAATTTATGTTAAAATGAAATTTAAAGTGCAAAAAAGAAACTAAAAAAAACATTTTGAGTTGAAATTCCGAGAAGTTCGTTGATGAAAAAAAAAAAAAAAAAAAAAGATTAGGGAAAACAGTTTTGGGTATTCATTTCGTCGTCTCTCTTTTACACGAATGTATAAATTCGATGAATGGATGTTAGAGAGTTTCTGTTTGAAAACGTTTGTGTGTATGTGTATGGGACAAGTGAGAGTTACTATCGTCGGATCTATTTCTACGATCCGAAAAGATTTATCATGATTCACTTGACCGTCCTCTGACAAGTGGGCAAATTTACCCTAAAGAATACGTTGAGCTCGATGAGTGAAGCCAAAATCAGGAAGACCGCGTACATACACAAACAGATTCGTCCTACTTTTTGATCTAGTTGAAATTTATTCGATGCGAAGGCAATGTACAAGAGCATTAATGTCGATAATAAAGAAATTGCACTGTATTCCAAACCCGCGGAATTTATACTGATATAATGTTTTCCCGGTTGAGTTGGTGAAAAAGAAGATTTTATAAGCCATGGAAGTCCCAAGCAAAGGAGAATGTCAAAGGTATTCGAGCCAATTGAATTACTTATGCCCATGGAACCATGACCTGAAATTATATACCAAAAAAGGAGTTTTTTTTTCAATAGAAATTTGAATAATTTTTAAAATACTTGATAATTTTTTATAATTAAAGGGATTTATATTTATTTTTTGTGATCGATGATGTTGAGAATATTATTATATTAAAGCATCGTTTGCGGATTACATACCTTGTTTGGCAACAATTACGCTAGATACAGCTTCCGGTACGCTGGTTCCTGCAGCTAGAAATGTGATACCCATCACGGAATCAGGTATCTTCAATGTATCTCCTAAAGGAATTAAAATGTACAATATCATTTTTTTTTCGCTAATTAATCTGATTAATTTGAAAAAAATGAAAAGCGCAAGAAAAATAGAAAAACAGAATCAAAATAAAAATTTCAAAAATGGAAGAAAATAAAAAGAAAGCCAGAGAAAAAATATGAACGGAAATGAAATAAATATCATTTACCTATAATTGTAATCATCCATGCAACCACGTAACTTAACGAGCCAATCCAGATAATGCACATAAGGAAAGTAATCGGAAACCATTTTTTAAAACGAGGTTTCTCGCAATCTGGTATAGTGCACATGAATATCAAGTGAATCGGCCAGGTAAGTATCCACGCAGTCTTTCGAATCCATCCACTTTGCGATGGCCAAACGAGCAATTCGTATTCGTATTCTAAAGAAAATCAAATTTCTTTATTTAAAAACAAAATTTGAAATTTAATCAAAAAATCCTAAGAATTTTAATTAAATAACTATCAATGTAATGGAAAATTATTTATTATTTCTATTTTCTTAAATAATTTGAAAAAAAAGCTCACCAGGCTCGTGATTTTCCTCTTGTGTCGTTTTGGTGCCACCATTTTGTAAAGGCACATCTATTGTTGCAATTTGTTCACCAAGATCAGTTGATGATTGCACTTTATCAGATCTTGATAAGTGAATATCACCGGCGTCAGCTGTGAATCAAATGTCAATATTGATATTGAGTACATAGTCACTTATCATTTTTCGCATTTTAGATTAAATAATTTCACGCACAACACGACGCCGACTATTTGTCAGAGTTTTCAGAAATTTTTCAAATTCTTTTGTAAACAAACACCTCTTGACCGTGAATTTATTGAATTGACGCATATAATGAATTATCTAATATATTATTCAACCATACAATTTATTTTTTAATTTAATTAATAAATAAATGACAAATATTCACATAGAGAGATTAATTACTAATTAATTTTAAAATATAAGAGATAATAAATTTGAAATTGAATAATATTTACAAAATGTAAAAAATAATGATTCATTAGTATCGTGACTTTTTTTGGTATACGTGATTCCATCCATATATACTCTTCATTTAATAATCATTGACACCGATTATATAGAAGATCACGTACGATACATTGATCTTCGTATCAGTTCACGTTCGTCGAAATCAATTTTACTTATAGAAACTTCACTTCTTTCTCTCTCCTTTTCTCGACTATGCAATTGAGAACACGTCTAAAAATTTTTCCAATTTTTATACATATTCCTTATCTTAGAACTTTTATTCCCATGGAAAAATAATTGTGAAATAAAATCAAAAGAAAAATATTAATTTCAATCAAATTTTCATTGAACTATTCTAAATAAAAAAATTTGGTTCATTTAACTTTTGTGAAAAAAAATTTTAAATAAATCATTATTTGGGTTAAATAAATTTTTAAAATGATAAATTTATTTAGTTTAAACATAAATTTTCTTTGAATACGAATATTTATAATGGAAAAAAATAAAAATTGATGAAAAAAAATAAAAATTGACTCGTGGATAATTACCTGTCCTCACGTGAGATTCATCAGGAGGCAATTCGCCTTTTTTTGCTCCAAATCTGGCGCATTTTTGGAATGATTTATCCCAGTACATGACGGCAATGTAAACGATATAAAGCAGAACCAAAGTTAATGCTTCATACCATTCAACCCTCTCGTCGTGTATGATGCAAATTAAAATTGCCACGGTTACACCGTATGCTAGGCAGTCTCTGCTAACGGGCCACCAATCAAGTGGTACCACCTGAAAAACAAAATCAATTTTAACAAATTTTATATATATATATTTAAAAAAATATTTATTTGAAATAAAAATTTTATTTGGTTCCAAATAAAGATTTATTTGTAACAAAAATTTTTATTTACACTAAATAGCTATTCTGATGAGAGAAATAGTTTTTTTTTTATTTAATTCAATTTTGATTCGAATATAAAAAATTTCTCCCTATATAGGGTTCAAGGACAATTAATCAGACACTAAAATAAAAATCAAGAGGCCTTCGAACTATTGACTTTTCGATCCGTGAACAATTCTTTTTCATCTGCGAAATCTCGCTCGTATAAATTGGATATTTATGAATTGGCGTTAATAATTGAAAAGTTATGGATTTGGGAATTGGGTTGAAAATTCTTTTTTATCAACATTTCTGTAGGAATTTTTTTTTACGTTTCTTTTTATCGAAATTATATATTTTATAGAAATTAGGTTCAGTAATTGAAGAAATATTTATATTCTGTGATTAATCAAGTAAAAATTCATTTGATTTTTACAGTTTGATGTCACAATGAATTTTCTAAATATATTAATTTGAATAGCAGAATAATTTTTATTTAATTTCTTGAAATTCTTTTTAAATTTTTTACTTACCATCCCAGCACCAATTCCGCAACATGCCGGAACTGCTAAAATGTTGAATACTGCAGACCCTACTATCGTTCCAACGCCAATATCTCCTTCTGTGATAAAGGTTCCAATGGCGTTGACGAATAATTCAGGTGCTGAAGTCGCTGCCGCCATAAACGTGGCACCGGCCACGTCTTTCGACATCGAAAGTGCTGAAAAAAAATTCACATATACATATATATACACTCAAAAAAGTTTGGTTCAATCAATCAAAATTTTATCTTGTATTAACCATAAAGTTTTATGGTGATGACGTTCTCATCGTTTATGATCAAAGATTTAAAAAGAAATTTTTTTTTCAAAATGAAAAATTATCAAATTTTTTGTTTAAAAAAAATAATTTTCAAAAATATTTCAATCAATAGTTGCAATCATAAAAATTAATTTAAATTTTCAACTTTACGGTCAAAAAAATTTTAATTGAAACCAAACTGTTGTCTCAGTGTACAATGAAAATAATTTTTCTCGTAATGAAAATTGTTTACCATTTAAGTAATTAATATTTTTCACTCATTTTGATACAATCAGATAATAGTTTCTTTAATTCAAAGAAAATTTCTTTGAAAAAAAATCTATTTTTGCTAAAAGAATAAATTTTTCTTTAATTTTCTTTTTTTTTCTCTAAATTAAATTGAAACAAATAGAACAAAAAAGAAATTATTTTGAAAAATTAAAAAAATATCTTTTCTGAATGCAATTTTAAATTTCTTACCATGGCATATTTTTTCTACGGCAGGTACGAAAAACTTATCACATACTACTGCTAATGCTATAAAGAGGTAAAGAGATACTAAAACATGAACAATGACGGCTCCGCTTTGCCGTTGCTTCTCGTCGAAGATATCATGCGGAAAGTCTTCGATTGCCGGCTGAGTGCAATTGGCACCTGTAAAAAAAATTGAATTTCATTACAATTATTTCTTTTTAAATGAGAGTTAAAAAAAACAATTCTCATCTCTCTTGGACTCTTAAATTTTTATTTCATATGACATTTTTATTTTACAAAAAAATGCCAGACACTTTTTTTTCCGATTTTTAAATTTCAAATTATTTATATTCTTTAAGAACATTCTCTCTATTATTCTTGAAAAAAAAATTCAATTTCCTTTCAATTTGAAACAAATGTTTCTTTATGAATTCATTAATTGTGCGATAAAAATTTCAAAATCCCTTTCAATATACTAAAAATTAATTTCGAATTTCAACTTTTACACATTGGATCATGTTAAAAGTTCAAAATATCTTGTTTTCTAGTAAACGATTGTCAAATTTTACACGTTTTTTTTTTCAAAGGAGTAAAAATACAATTAACAATGATACCATCAGTCATCAATCATTGATGAAAATCTTCGAATTAAGTCACTTTCAAAAAAAAAATGATGCTTGTCCTTTGATTAAACGAGATTCATTTCGAAGATATTAATATCAGCAATATTCTTTATTTCAAACAAAGATAACTTTTTTAAAAACAATTTTTTAATTTTAATTAGAGATGCTGTTTTTTTTTTTTTTTGTAAAACATTTTTTTTATTCTCAGAAAAATATTATCTTTGATATAGAAAATATTCTACTATAATAAAATCAATAATAATATTTCCAATTTGATAACAAATTAAGAAATATTTCTTTGACTTGAAGAAATTTTTTTTTTTTTATTAAATTATTTATCATTCGAGGTTTTCTTTAATAGAAAAAAAAATTCCTTTGAATTTCAAATAAATCGTTTGTATATAAATAAAAAACTCAATGAAATTCTTTTCATAATTAGAAAAAAAAATTAAGTTTTTATAAAATTTTTCATACATTTTAAGTGTATAAAAAATCTTCTGATTCACGATAAAAAAAAAAAAGCTAACCACTTACGAATTGCCCTTTCGCTTCGCAAAAGAAACGAAGCGTTACTGTTCAGATACACTTGCTGCATTGTAACATATCATAACTAGTAATAATCACCGTATCCTCAACTCAACAGATATTCTCACTACCAAGCTCGACTCAAAAATGATTCAAGTTTCAACGCGCGCAAGCAATACTTCTGTGTTTTGTTATATTCAAGTATTTCATAACTATATCGAGATGTAGGAAGTAGTAAAGATGCAGTTAATAAATGAAGAAAAAAAAACACAACAATGCTGGGTCGATATACAAGTGTGTGAGAGAGAGAGAGAGAGAAAAAAAAATTGCTAATTTCGGCCAATACACGAGAGTTAAATGATTCTGACCTTCCAGGGGTTAATAACTTCCTAGAAGACTCGAAGGCAATGATCTACTTTCCCTCTTTTTCCCCACATTGTGGATAATCTACCTATTTTGACCAATCGATCAACCTTGTTACTTTATCTTGATTTTTTCCAAAGTTTTTTTTTTACCTACACCGAGAAAAAAGATTTCTTTGATAAATTTTTCCTTGATTTAAAGAAAATTTATTTGTTTCAAACAAATTATCTTTGATTTAAAAAAAAATTATATTCGTTTTAAAGAAATTTATTATTTAATTCAAATAAATGTTTCTTTGACTCTATATCAATGTTAAAATTTCTTTGATTTAATGCACAAATTTCTTTCATTCAAAGAAAATTTTGTTTTGAATCAAAGAAAACAAAGTCAAAGAAACTGGTTTCTTTAAATCAAAGAAATCTTTCTCTGGGTGTATGTGTAATTTTCGTTTTTAATTTAATTTTTTTTTGGTTTTCATTGATTCTTAATTTCTTTGATTTAATGCACAAATTTCTTTCATTCAAAGAAAATTTTATTTTGAATCAAAGAAAACAAGTCAAAGAAACTGGATTCTTTAAATCAAAGAAATCCTTCTCTGACTGGGTGTATGTGTAATTTTCGTTTTTAATTTAATTTTTTTTTGGTGAATCTGAATTAGTCAAAAGTCGTTAAAAATTTGAAATTTCTACTAATTTTTAGTCATATCTGTTTTGATTGAACATTAATTTTATTTAAAATCAAGAGTTTTGAAAATTCATCAAGAGAAATGTTTTATTTGAAGCAAATATAATATATTATTTGAGTTAAGTAAACTTACACTGAAAAAAGGGTTTGGTATTGACAACCATACGTTTGGTTGGTATTTAAGCAACCAAATTTTTTTTGTTGAATCAACAAAATTTTGGTTGTCCCAATCAAACTTATTAGTTAGGACAACAAAAATCCTTTTTTTCTAATTTTGGTTGTGTCAAACAAATTTTGATTGAGACAATTAAATTTTTTTTGATTCAACAAAACGTTCAACGATTCAAAGTTTGGTTGCTTAAATACCAACCAACACAGAAAAAAGTTGGTGTTATTTTTGTTGCGGGTAATTTTCTCCAAAGCTAAAACCCATAAGATTTAACCCAGATTTATGGTAAAATTTGTTGCGTGTTATTTTAACACCAATTCTGGTGTTAAAATAACACTTTGTTTTTCCTGTGAAACGTTTGGTTGTCAATACCAAACTCTTTTTTCAGTGTATATTTGTCTCAGACCATTTATTTGGCGTAAATAAAAATTTTATTTAAATCAAATGAAAATTTATTAGCAACAAATAAATATTTGTTTGAAACAAATATTTCAGACAAATATATCATTTCTCTTGATATTGAATTAATTATAAATAAATATATAACACTTATTCTAAAATAAAAAAAAAAAAATTCTAAAAGAAAACCAACGTTAATTCAATGATTCAAAGAGATATATATATATATTGTAATGGCAAAGAAATTACGAGTGGAATTAAAAATAGTAAAGTGCAGTCTAATAATTTTCGAGAAACAAAATTTGTAATTCGAATTTTCGATAATATAAATTGATTGCAAAATTTACTAATCAGATTAGTTCGACCAGAGAGCAATAATTATAGTTATTCGGAGAGTGGATCAATTGTGGCGTGACCCGGCTACCGATTCGGCGACTAATTATTTATTATTGACTAGAGTGCTATTCAAACTTAGTAGTACGGATGCACCACTCCCAGAAATGGGACCGTTTACGCAACACATAACGAGGTCATCAGTGTGGTGCTCGCAAATAAAGGAATTCCATTTTTGAATAGGCAAAAAGGGCGCCGTTCCGAGAAAAAATTATCTATCGTTTAAAAGTTTGCTTAATTGTTTCTCTGAATTCTTCAAACATGTGTGTATATAAATGCACTGGCCTCTTATTAACTTCTCGTTCTGCAATTCCAAATACCCTTTAATTTTTTTTTTTTTTTTTTTGCAAATAATTTTACATTCAAGGAGAATGTTCTATTTTAAAATTTTTTTTACAAAATTTTTTTTATGTTTACATTGAATTTTATTTTATTCAAATAACACCTCGGATCCTATAATCAGTTGAAATTTCAATAAGTTTGCTGTACACTCAGAAAAAAATTCGTTTGAAGCAACCAAATTTTGGTTAAATCAACAAAATAAATGCATTGATATACAGTTAACCAAACATTTGGTTTCATAAACCAAACGTTTATTTAGCTGAATCAAATTTTTTCTTTGTTCAAAAAATTTTATAAAATAAACCAAACAGCTATTTAGATCAAATAAATATTTATTTGAATTAAACAAAGTTTGTTTGAACTAACCAAAAAATTGGGTAAATATAAAAAAATGGTACATTTGGTTCAAACATATCTTTTTTTTTGAGTGTAGTAGCAAATTTTTTGCTCTTATTGTTAAGGAATAAGTTTTCTGTAGGGTTTAAGTTCTCATTTTTTATACGTCACAGCTAAATTTTTAGCAGCTCTAGCAAATATTCGTTATGTATCTGTAGCTAAATCATTTTTTTCCACGTAGTTACAGATTTGATTATAATGCAATTTTATATTTATAATACAAATTGTAATTTACTATATTGTCTTTTGATTTTTATCTTTTGAATAAGGAAAGAATTTTCTTGACAAAAAAAAAACAAATATTTTTGTTTTTTAAAAAATCAATTTTCTCGCATTGATTTCGAGTGTGATTTATATATATAATCACGTTGCATAACTGATTTAAATATCTGTGCGCGAGTGATTAGGGTGGAGGTCGTAGTAAGAAACAGATAATAATTTGAAAGCTTGGTTTTGAAGAAAAAACGAGGCTACATGACTTTTTTTTTGTCAAAGCAACGACAATTATGTCATGATAAAATTGCAAGCAATGACAAAACACCGAAACGTAAAGTAGGAAACGAGTCGTTATAACGCTTCACAACGATTACTACTGCAATTTCACAAAATGCCAAGAATATAGACTTTAGCAAAATAATAGATGGGTTCACAATCGGTGATATATATGCGCTTTTTATAATCCTTTCCGCAAATGACAAGATTAAAAGAGATCAAAAATTTTCTTTCTCTTCATTTCTCCTTCTTATCAATAATATATATACGAGAAAAATAGAAATTTTTTTATTTCAACCAAATATATATTGGATCTAATAAAAATATTTTTATTTAAATTAAATAAACTTTTTAATTTAAATTGTAATTAAAAGACAAACCACATTGAAAAGTAGAGATTTATTGAAAAAAGGCAAAATCGATTATTACATCCACAGAAATATTTTATCAAATATAATATATTTGAGTTAAGTAAACATATATTTGTCTCAGCCCATTTATTTGGCGTAAATAAAAATTTTATTTGTCATAAATACAATTTTTATGACAAATATTTATTCGTTTTATTTTTAATCAAATAAAAATTTATTTGAAGCAAATAAATATTTATTTGTCACTGAGACATATATATCATTTCTCTGGGTGCATTTCGAATTGTTTTTTTTTAGTAAATATTTACATTCGCCTATCAAATTTATTTAATTTGAAGAATATTAAAAAATTTCCTTTTAAAACTAGAAATTTTTTTTCCATTTCCTTATGTGATGTTTGTGTATAAACATATTTTCTACACACTGTAAAAAAAAGGAGTTGAATTTCAACTCCCTAGAGGATGCTATAAAAGTCCCACCCTTTTGGAGTTGAAGCGAAGGGAGTTAATGCTTTACGAGTTAATTTTATGCCTAGGGAGTTGGTTTTAAGGAGTTAATTTAATTATTAACTCCTTTTTTGAGTTGATTTTTAACTCGAAAATTTTAACTCCCTAATTTTTTTTACAGTGCAGCATTGAGGCATCAGTATATATATATGTAGGATAAGAAAGTGCATCGCCCTATATGGAACAATAAGTACACGAATAGTGGATGATAAATCCTTTCTTTCTGAATGCAAAAATTATTTTTTTTTCGATTTATTCCTTGACAACTTTTATGGCACTTGCTTGTATATATATATGTAGACTCAAACTTGTTGAGAATTCGCGCAATATTTATGAGAGCGTACATAATTTCAGTGTGTAAAATCACGGTTTTTATACACGAGAATTTTCACTCATCCGGATAAAATTCAAATTACAACAGTGTAAATATATACACTTTAAAATTGCTATAATAAATATTCTCATTCGTTTCTTTCTCTCTTTTCCTCTCTCGCATATCTTCCATCAACATTATGAAATTCAAATTTATTACTGATTTTATGAAAATTTTTATTTTTTAACTCAATTTATGATAGGGTTTAAATTAAAATTTTGTTTTGGAAGTTTTTTCTACTTTTTAAGTATAGAGTACTCTCAAAGAAAATATTCTTGTTTTTGAGAGGTTTTCAAAATTTTAATTATAGCAATTGAATGAAACTAAAAAGGGAAAATTTTCTTGAAAAGAAAATCTGTTTTGTTTGAAGTGGTAAATAAAAAAAAAAAAAAAGGTGATCGATAAATAGAGAGAGAGAGAGTGTTGAATAAAAATTTTCATAGAATTTCTCTCAATGTTGAAGTTGTACGATATGGATGCCTTATGTGTAGGTTATACCTATGTGGCTGATGTGACTTCCTACTGATTAAGCAACCTAAAGAAGTTAAATTGCTCTCATTTAACTGGGCAGAGTAGATGCCATTCATGCCTAATGTACGTCGTATAAACTAGGTATAACACGACTCAACAACTCGGTCGATCGAGCGACTGAACTACACACCGA